AATCTATATTTGAATCTCCATAATTTCTTTTCAAGAAGTGAAGTTTAATCTTCTTCAGGATTATGGGTATAGGCTTCTTAAAAGTCAAATCTGAGAGGACTATACTTAGGATCAACTTAAGCAACAGCCTCATCAATTCTTTATTCAACTTATTCATCATCTTTATATAATTCTTAATCAGTTTCAAAGTAATCATTATATAATTATTCTTCTTCTGTAAGACCTCCATAGAAATAAGTGTAATTATTTTCCCATCTTTCCTTTTATCTCAATCTCATTCTTCTTTCTCTTCTAGCATGATTAGCAAAATCAAGATATTCTCTAACATGGAATCTATTCACTTTTCTTTCTAATCTTTCTTAGATAGCTAAGACTTTCTCTGCTTCAATGACAGCTGCATATGTTGCCTTTTACATTGGTAATTTGTATTTAGGATTTCTATAGACTCTTTCTTCATTATAACCTGCTTATTTCAATTATTAATCAATGTATTTTAATTTATCTTCACCATGTTAAAATCTCCACATTCTATAAGCTGGATCAACAAGTAATCTATCATGTACATCGTTATCCATTGTTACCATAATATTTTATTCATATAATGCACTTTCAAATAATGAAGCCTCTCTATGAGTCCACATTTTGAGCATATTAATTGATTAAACATTTTCATTCTAAAATAATTGATTGATTAATTTACATCCAATTCAAAAATATCAATAGGATGGAATGAATCTCTATAGTATGACATTTCCTCATCTTCTTATTGTCTAAGTCTAACCAATTTGAAAACTTGACCACACATTGGGCATCTCTACAAAGGACCTTCTCTTAACATAAAGAGATGGATTTCGTGTTGTTCATAATCGTCTTCGTTTTACAAACCAGTGCATCCTACATATCTGAATGGAGTATCTGCAGTGAAAATAACACAAGGATTGTCTACTGTACCAAAATTGACTGTTTAGATGTTATCTAGGTTATTATACACTTATAAGTGGAATGGATTTCCAGAATAAGCAGCATAATATTCATGAAGCACTTCATCAAAAGCCTAATATGTCAAGTTAGGTGTCATAGAACTATGAACACCATCCTATCTCACATATGACCTTATATGTCTAATTGGAGCTGTGATCTTAGAGTTAAGCAATTATTCTTACCACGCTTTTGAGTGTTTTGAATGTATCCAACACATTAAAAGTTGAGGAGAATGACTTCTTGCTCACAAGTCTCAGCATATTAAAATCTTTATTTTATTAATAAATATATCAGAATATCATATTTTAAATAGATATAAAAAGGATCCTTCTATCTTACTAAAATTGTAATCAATAAATTATACAATAGTCTTACAAAAGTTTTTCTGAAGATTTTAATTGTATCTATTATATTTTTATTATTATTATAAAATAATAAAAATGAATTTATTAATAATGAATAACTAAAAACATTCAAAGTTTATACACAAATCTTACAAAACCTTATTGGATATCAAATTAAGTATCTGATTTTAAGACTATAAACAAAATAGTATTAATTTAATTCTAGATAAATCTTATATAAACGGAAATCTTGATACATAATGAACCAAGAATCATACACAAATATCAACAAATAAATTAGATTCATTTTAGAGTAACTATTTTAAGAAATACTAAAGATAATTTGAGAAATTTGGTTTACTAGAAATTATTTAACTTAAGGTAATTACAACAATAAAATAAACATAATTAAATATTAATTTGAAATATTTACTGCATAATAATAAAACAATTAAAAATTCAATATTTTTTCTACTTTGGCACTAAAAATTTACCTTTCTTATTTTTAATTTTTAATTTTCCTTGTTCCTTATCCCTGATAAATGAATCATTTGTCAATGGAGAATATTTCTTAGAAATATCCTTTAAATATGCTTATTAATTGATATCATTTTAAATTTCATCTAAATTATTTCTGAAATCTAAAGATTTTGCTAATTCATATTCTAAAAATATTAATTTTATATTACATTTTCTGGTTAATCCTTAATCTTTATATATTTTTTCATAGTCTGTTTCTGTATTTTCAGGCAATTTATCAATTAAATCCAAAATTTCTTCTGAAATCTATCCATCATTCTCCAAAGCTTTAAGCATTTCAATGGCTTTATCATTTGAAATCCCATTTTTCTACAAAAGATCTACAAACTATAAAATTAATATTTTATTTATACTTCTTTTTCTAAATTATGAAATCCTAAATCTTTAATTGAAAATGCATCTAAATCATATTTAACAAATGGTTTTTCACTTTTAACAATATATCTTTTTTTAGTTAAATTATCAACAACAAAATCATATTTTTCAGATCCTACAGCCACAAAATTATTCAAATCATTAACCATTTAATTAATATCAACATCATTATCTGTAACTTCAAAAGTTTCTGTAGTAATACCATGTTTGTCTAATGATATTAATTTTTATGTATATGATTATTTAGAAAACTCTTTAATTCTTGCAATCTAATCTTTAGTAATTTGACTCATTAAATGTTTTCTATTAGCTTCTTATTATCTAATCAAATCACGTGTATCATCAGTAATATCAAATTATCTTACATAATTAATAATTTTATCATTCAAGAATTCATTTCCTTAATCATCTTTTCCGAGAGCCAAACTAACTTTTAATTAATCCTTATGATTTAATGGATGGATAGCAATTAAACTTTCATTTTATGATTCATTTCCCAATAACATTTATTTAATATATTCCAAAAATTCTTAATGTTTTTACATAGCTAATTTCTTTAAATAAATTGGATTCAATATAGTACTACTAAAACGACGTTTGAATATTCTTTCCTTTTTCAATGCTATTTTTTCCTAAGCCTCTTTTGAATCTCTATTTGCTTCACTTTAAATATACTTACCTTTTTTTTTAACTTCAGAAAATATTTCTCCTATTCTTTTAACTTGTAAATCTACATCTGCTGCATACATAGCACCTGAACTCATAAATCTAGAATATTTAGTTAATTTCTTTTTCATTTTTTTCTCTTTTTGTGAATAATCACTCAATACTCTTGCTTAAAGTAAAGATAAAAGTGTATCATCTGATTTTTCAACATTTTATTCTAATTTTCTTTATATAGCATCAGATAAAAATAATGTTTAATATTTCTTTACTAATTTATCTGCATATTCTGTTTCTTTTAATTAAATATCTTTTGCTCTATTTTTGATTGCTTCAACATAATTTTTATATTATTCATTATGAATACCAAAATCAAATTTTCTTCCAGGTTATGCATCTTTTACAACTGATACACTATCTTCAAAAGAATCTAAGGATTCAGCAAAACTATTCTTCTCAACAAAATTTTTATATTCTTCACTTTTATTTAATTCAGAATAAGCTCTTTACTTTACTTTTTCTTTTTTCTCTTCAAGATCCTTTTCATAAGTATCTTCATTTGTTTAAATAGCTTCTATTGTTTAATCTCTCACTTAAGAAATTTATTTTCTAATTCTTTCTAGTTGTTTGAGATTGTATATTAAATCAATTTGATATAATTCTAAGTCTTCCCATGATTTCATTGCTCTTAATTTTGGATATGCCAAATTCTCTATTCTAAATTTACCACCATATTTTTCTTAATTGCTATGAGTTGTATTTTCAGGATAGAAATTAGGTGTATTCAATAAAGGTAATGGTAATACAGCTAAATCATGAGTACCTTCAGCATTAATAGCAAACAAAGCTCTTTGAGCCATAGCTTTACTTGAAAATGTACATACACAATAACCTCTATTTTTATATGTTTTAGCATTCAATTAGGATTGAAGATTATCTTTTGGAGTTTCCAAATTGATTTAAGGGATCCATAATTTATTATAATTTTCTTTAAGATTACTTGGTACTTTAAGACATTTAACAGTTTTTTAATTTAACAATCTGAAAAGTCTGAATTAATCTTATTTTTCATCTTTTTATTGTTGATATTCAAATAAAGTCAATTCAAGATTAGGATCATAATATTCAGGGACTATAAATTTGATGAATAATAATTACAATTTTTGTAAAGTTGTTCAAATTATTCTAAATTAGGATAGAATTCAATTTCTGTTTATCCTGTTTATACATTAAGGATTTCTAATTTACAAGGATCAACTAAGGTATGAATGATGTCCTCATAAAGAGGAAGATCAACATTTTGAATTTCCAAAGGAATAACAGCATTTAATACTCTTCCATATTAGCCAATATTATGTAAGACTTCTTAAAGTGATAGAGTTTTATTAATATTAGTAATCACTAGTGTTCTATTGAATGGAGATTCTTCTGCTGTATTCTCAAGGGATTTACATTCTTATAAAATACCATTGAATTTTGTAAGATGTAATTATGATTTGTATTATTCAGCTTAATTTTAAAAAGTGAGAGTGGCATAAGCATTTATATTGAGTGAACAAGTGTGAAGTTCAACTTAAACTTATTAATTAGTTTTAGATTAAACAAAGTCTTGTATTTCTTAGATGGTAACATTAATTGGAAGATTGATCAATAATAATTAATTTTCTGTTAGATTGTCGCAAGTTAGTTTAGGTTTGTATGATTACATGGCATCAACAGTAAAAATATCATCTTCTTCGATTTCTTTTAAAGCAAATTTTTAATGTTTTAAAGATTCTGTTTCTCTTACATATTTGAGTTAATCAAAAGTTGAAAATATCCTATCAGTTTACTTAAACTCAGGATGGTCAGAAGAGAGAACTTAAATCTCAGATGGCTCCTAATGATGAGAGATATAGTCCAATTAAATGGATGAGTGCTAGTACTTTTCATAGTTAGGGCCTAGAATCTATTGTATATTAGGTTTTGAAGGTTAGGATTTTAGCAAATTTACCTAATGATTGTAGTCAAGAAGATCGACTATAGGCCATTTGGAGAAGTGGTACACTCTCTTAAATTTAAGCATAAATTATTTGTGGATATATAACTCAAATATTAAACTTGAATAACTTGACAGACAAATCTGAACTAGCTGTGCATAGGATTCCATCATAATACTTAATTTTGTATATACGATCATTGTGAACAGGGATTTCTGAAATCACTTTTCGTTAAAAAGGATTAATTAATTATAGATATCCTTATTCATCTCCCCCCACAATTAGTTCATCATTAATAAATTATAATGATTCCAATTCTGCTCTTTCTAATTGCTAAGTATTATAACAATAAATTATTACAATAACATAAATAAATTAAAGGTCAATATCCCAAATGTTTACTTTACGATCATCTCCACAAGAATAAATGTAAGAATTAATCAAAATAGAATTAACACATCCTGAATGTTTTTTTTGTTTATTTTCAATTTTCATGTGATTCAATGACCATTCTATTAATTAGCCACCTTCATCTCCTGAAACAATTAAGTCTTTTTTGGTGGCTAAAGTATATACACAATTTTCATGTCCTTATAATACTGTTAGAGCATTCTTTTATGATGGATCCCATAAACGCAAAGTTCCATCTGTAGAACAAGTGATAAGATAATTGAATTAATCATTATATACAATTCTAACTACATAAGATTCGTGTCCTCTTAATGTGTTTACACATTCCCAAAGTGTTTATTAAAATCTATTATCTTTTTGATTTTAGATGAATTAAGTATAGATCTTAATAGTCTTATCATCTGAGCAACTAGCAAATTTATTATCAGGAATTAATGTTAGATCTTATACCCAATTAATGTGATCCCTTAATGTTTATATACATTAAAAAGTATTCTAATTCCAAATTTTTATAGTTTTATCTCTTGATGATGTTGCATAATCTCCATTATGTAATTTGATAACACATCTTACTACATTTTCATGTCCATTAATAGTAGTTAATAATTAAATAGAATCTTCTTATTTATGTTCACTAGCTTTACGAGTTTTAATCTCAAAAAGTTGTTCAGCATCATTTCTTAGTTTATCAACTTATTATTTAAGTTTTTCATTTAGTATTAACAATTTTGTTAATATTTAATCTTCCACATAAGACACTTATATCTATCCATCAATAAATATTCTTGGATTGAGATAATAGAGTTTAAGTATTGGAATATGTTGAATGTAATTGTTTTCATTGATATTTATTAAAGTTTGGTAATTTTAGTTGAGTTCATCAATATTAATTTTTTCAATCAAATATTACTTTATATCATGTTCCAATTAATTAAATATTTGATGAACTTGTAATCTCATGTCTTAAATGTTTTTGAATACAATATCAAACTTATCCTTTGACTTTTCAACTCTACAATCTGTCTTAAGCTTACATTGGACTTCTTTAAATAACTAATAAATTGTAATTTCTTTGTGAGAAGAATTGTGGCTGGATAGACATGACTGACAAAATTTCAATTGATCGCAACCCGCTTTTTATTTTATATATATAATTACGTGATAAACAAACTTTTATTATATCCTTTTGATGTTAATTACATTATAATTGTTCATTTTCTGTATCAGTGATGTCTAAATCTTTGAATGAATGCATTTAATTTTATTTAGAATCTATTTTATTATAATTATCATTTGTTTGCAGGTGTGACAAATGTCTTTGATATCCTCAATAAATCACATTCTTTTCTTGTAGTTTCTTAGATAATATTGAAAAATGTATTTTCCATAATTAAATCAGTCAATTCAATAAATTCTTCCTCTAAGAACATTGTCTTATAATCTTTATAGTCTCTTTATATTGATCTAATAAAATGAAATAAAATATTACAAATCCTCTTATTTAATGTCATCACTTCCTTATTATTATTATTCAGGTTGATAAAGTGTAATAGGTTATTAATCTAAAGCTTTCAAGATTTAATCAGTATGTGAATCAGTTAAGACTTCTGTGATAATTTGACCTAATAATTATTAAAATGGATGAGCCATAGCATTATGAATAGGTGGAGGTGGTTATTTAAATGAGTTTACTAATTCTACATTTAAACTTGATTTCTTTTTTATTCTCAAAAATAATGTTTCCTTATCTACTGTTATTGCTTATGAATTTTAACTCACTTAAGAAGTATTAATTTATTAATTTTTATTCTCCCAACTTATTGTACATTCACATTCTCCCTCATAAACAGCAGGAGTAGATGCTGTTGTTAATGTTAATTTAAGTTCTATAAATGCTTATGCTTCTAATTCACCTTATATTGGTTCAATCAAAAATTCATCACCACAACATAATCCTGGTCTATTATTTGACAGTGCAAATTATGATACACCAAAATCAAATGTAAATTTACGATCATTTGATTAATTGTATAAAATAATCATTCTATGAGCTGATTTTAATGGTAATAATTCTCCAAAATCTATTTCTTCTAAAGAAAAGAACACCTTTGAACCTATTGGTGATTAATGTGATCTTTATCTAGGAATTTCTACAGCCTATTATTAAATCTATTTCTTAGGTTAATTAGCATAACCTCTACCTTAAATTGCTAATTTCACTGGTTAAATTACTTTGACCATATCAGAAACTTCTACTAATAATTCAAAATTATATGATTTCTGTTCCAATGGTCTAAAAAGACAATATAAATATTATTTTTCATTTGGCAACAATGAACCTTAAGGATTCTGAATATCAAATACATTAAATTAAGAATCAATTATCTTTCCTTCTATATCAATCTCTTTTACAATTGTTTTATATTATACTTTTGAACTTCCTACATTCTAAATCTCTATAGGATATTTAACTGGCTATAATAAACCTACTGGAGTTTCTGGTAATTCAAATGAATTCTTCTTTACTGCTAATCTACCTTCTAATGGAGCAAGTGTTGTTCCTTTTAAATTAAGTACCAATGGTTTGCCATTTAAAATTTATAAAACAACTCTTAAAAAATGACTCTCATTTGAAATACCTTTTGATTTCAATTCATCATCCAAATTACAAGGAGTATATATTAATTCAATATCTTTGAAACTTTTAGGTGCTATCACTCCACCTTTAGGTCTTATTTAAAATATATTCTTTTCTAATATAGCTTTTTCAAATGTATCTTCTTCTGAAGGTTCACCTGGATCTGCCCATGGTTCTAATTCAATTTAATGATCTGATGGTAATTTAAATTACCACTCTAAATCAGTACCACCTATATTTTATATAGTAATAACTATTTTTCTTGATTTTACTTATGGTTTAGATGGTAAATATCCAAAGTTCCAATCATAACTTCTTAATCTTTTTTATAACTATTAAGCTTAATCAAATGTTAACTATTCTATTTTTAAAAACTTCTATTCATCTTCATTTAAATCTTTTCCTAATTCTGCATTTATTTAATTAATTTAAAAGTTTTCCCATAATGTAGCAACACTTATAGAATCATTTCTTACATCAGCAATCTTCAATAATGGATAACTTCCTTTTGCTTTAATTTCTAATTTACATTTTTAAGATATTATTTTTTTATTCTAAATATTTGGACCTTTTGGAGCCTTAGGATTCTTTTCTGTTGCTATTACATCTAAAACTAAATCAAATTCACAAACTTCAATTGGATTGAACATTATTCCTATATCTAATTTTGAATTAGCTGCAATAATTCCATTCTATAAATCTAAAGTAAATGATCTATTTATAAGACTAATCATTTGATGATCTATTTTATCTTTATCCTTATTTTTAGGTCTTAAAACTAATTCAATATAAAATGTGCATGCTGAATTATTAATTAATGTTGCATATTATTTTGTGTTGAAATTAACTTTTATAATATTGAAATCAATTTAACTTACATTCAGAAGTAGATTTCCATCTGTCCCTTAACCAAAAATTTCAAATTAATATGATAATTCAATAGGTTTTCTTTATTCAAGTGGGAAATCTTAATTTCCAGATCCAGGAATGTGATACCCAATAAGATTTTGATTATCAGCTAAGATTTCAGTTGCTGTCATAGGAACTTTAATTTTGTATTTCTTATTTCTTTTATAAGGAATAAATTAACAATCTAAATGAAGAACTTCGTTAGGTTTTATTTAACCAGATGATGGTTCAATATATAATTCATTTTAATTCTTTTCTGGAACATCAATTGAATAACTCATAGGAACTCTTGATTCATTATGAACAGTTATTTTTTATCTTGAATAAACTCCAACAAAAGATGGAGGAAAGAATACTTTGCCATCATTTTATAATTTTAACAAAGGAGAGGAACAATATCCTATTGCTTAAAGAGTAATTTAATTTGATGATTAATGATTCATATGACATACTAGAGTTTGATTATAAGCTTTATTTTCAATAGGAACAAATTCTACAATTATCATTTAAGATGATTTTCCAAATATTAAACCTTAATTAGGAAATACTCTAAAAGTTTTAGTAGGATCAGGGCTAAAATTGAAATATATAGGAGTATCTGATTTATTAATAAATTCAACTGTTTAATAGACAGATTCTTCAATAGTGCATGGAGGAAAGTACAATTTATTAGATGGTCTAAGTTCTATAATTGGAATATAAGGTTAAGAATTAATGCCAAAAGAATGTCCAACACATCCAATTTATCCACTAAATGTAGGAATCATTTCTTTAGAAGTGAAATCAATTGTATTTTTTTAATTAGTTAAACCTGTTTATGATAACTTTAAATTTGGATTATTTCCAAAGGATTCATTAAGAATTGAACCTTTAGTAGTTTTTACTTGATCTAATATTTTTTTGGTCAATTTTGGATTATACTTAATAGCAAAAAATTGTATATATTAGAAATAATAGTATGAGGATTTAGTAGGTCTAAAAGTTACTTAAAATCTGCATTTAGAATTTGCTTAAGCTGATTATGTCTCAGGAGTAACAGCAAAAACAGGTACTTTTTCACCATCAATTGTTGGATGAGTTTAGATGGTCCAAAATATAGTCAATTTGCAATTAAGTCGATTATGTAATTCCAATTCTCTAGCACTACTTTATTGATAACATTCTACATAGCCAAAATCTATAAAGTCTTCTGAAAACTTAATTAATCTATTATCTGAAGATGGAGGAAGCATTAATTCCTTAAATTAAACAGTTTGATTAGGATTTTCTTGCCATTCCCCTTAAAGATTGCTTTCATTTTATTAATTGATTTTCATTAAATAAGAATTTTCCATATATCTAAAATCTACTTCACTTAATTTTCCTTGAATTACTCTTCTTCTAAAATTATCAACATGTTATTGAAGTAATGGTATTGGTTTGATTAGAAGATCATAACATGTACCAATTAAATCAACAAATTTAATTTGATTACTTGCTAAACAATAAACTCTTTCATAATAATTAATAGTAGTTTTGGGTGCAAAGGAGATAATGATTCTATCAAAGCTTTTACCTTGTATTTGTCCTCTTATTTTATTAAATGCAAATATGTTATTAAGATCAGTATAAAATTGATAAGTAGTTGGAAGATCAGAATCATTATGAATTGTTAATAATTTAGTAGCTTAATTTCCTATTTTTATTTCTCCAAAATTTATAGATTTCTCACTCAAATACACAGCATGTTCTAAAGCTTAACCAACACATTCAAAAGTTAATTCATTTCCTCCTTAACATATTACTTTGAATCTGATTACTGAAACATTTAGGATTTTTGGTTTATAAGTTACTTTTATTAAAAAAGTGCTTTTTTAAGGAATGGTTCCAGAATAAAAATCTAACGTAAAAGCATTATCTTTGAATTCATCATCTATTATTTTTTAAATTTAAAATTAAGCTGTAACTTCCGATTAATTCTTTATTGTAATTTCTTTAGATACAGTTTTCCCAATCAATAAGCTTTCGAAATTAAGTTTTTTTGTATTTAATTATAAGAATGGATATTTTCCTATTCCTGATACTTTTATCACTCTTGGTTATTCATATTAAATATGCAAAATTATAGATGCTACTATAACTTCAGCTTAAACTGGAGCATATGTCAATGTAAAATTAATTCTAGCTCCAGGAGCTAATTATCCTCTAATTTATAAATGTTTATTTTACCTATCAGGAGTTATCTTGAATTTTAGGAATTCGAAATGAAACTAGACAGGATAATCATTTGGGTTTTCCATCATAAATGATAAATTAGATGATAAAGTCACAGCTGTAAATCCAATATCGAGGGCATTAGGGATATTGGTAATTATCATTTGATGTTCTGCCTATTTTTTTTTCATTATTTTTTACAATTATATTTATTAATTGTCTTTTTAATTCGATATATAATTTCTATAAATTTTTACTATATTTATTTTTCATAATAAAATATAGTCTTTTTTGATTTGTATAATACAAACAAATAAATAAATATTAGGTTAAAAAAATAAAGATAGAATAATTTTTATTATACATGAGAGAAGATTGCTTAATTATCATCATCTAATATCCAATCTAATAGAATCCAATTTTGATTGATTAACAAGATTTGAATTTTTATTTTTTGAAGGAAACAACTTCCAAAATCTAAGAGTTTCATCTCCACTGCCAGTTACAACATTCTCTCCATCAGGACTTAAAGCTAAATATAGAACTCTAAAAGAATGACCATATAAAGTAGCAATTCTTTCAATCTTAGGCATTTTCCAAACAGCAACTTAATTAAGAGAATAACTATATATATATAAATAAATAATATACCCATGTGAAGTGACTAATTCATTTGTATTAGTAGACCATTTCATATTGCAAATTTAACTACCAGTATCTATACTATTTTATAGTTATCCATTTGATGTATTCCAGAATTTTAAACATTTGTCTGTTGTTCCACCTCCACTACATAGTATATTTGGTTAATGAGGTGACCATGCTAAAGCTTTAACAGCTGCAATATGATCCTTAAATATATACATTGATTAATTTGGCATTTTTATTGATTATATCATTACATTATTATCATTACCTCCAGATGCCAAAAATTATTCATTTGGACTCCATTATAATCCACATACTTCTTATTTATGACTTTAAAATGATAATTCATAATCATTATTAGTTCTTATATCTTAAAACAATATACTCTTATCTCTACTACCACTTGTTATATTACATCCATTCCAATCTAAACAACCTACTCTAGAATTATGATTTTCATATGTTTTTAATATTTTAGCTTTAACAATATCATATATTCTGACTGCACCTGTATCATCTCCTATTGCTATAATATCACTTCTATCACACCATTTAACACTACTAACACAAACTGGAGCTTCAATTTCCAATAATTATGTTGTTTCATTTGTTATTGCATTCCAAGTATAAACTGAATTTCCAAGACCAACTCCAATTTAATTATTCATACTCCAATCAACTAGTTGATAATAGAAATCATCTTTTATTTTTGGGGCATCTAAAATTTTATAAGGTGCTTTGGCTATTTTTCTAACAGGAGAAGGACATTCATTCTCAAAAATATAAGGTTTATATTTTGATGGTTGTCTTTAATAGACAAATAGACTTGATTAAGATTTATTTTCCATTAATTTTTGTTTTAATAAATTATTGTATTTGGCTTGACTATTTTCAACTCTCAATTATTCATTAAGATCAAGTTCTCTTAATGATTCATTTTTTTAATCCTCTACCATATGAATTTGATAATCACTTAAATTGACTTTCTCTGGAACTAATCTGACATTCTAAGATACACAAATACCTATCAAAATGCTTACCCTTTGATGTCGATCGTTGTCTTAACATTAATATATTAACGGATATATTTTATATATTTTTAATTTCTTTAAATATTTTTTATTCATTAAACAATTCATATGTGAATTATTTAAATTTTAATATTATTATTTTTTATCCCCATGATAAAGCTTAATTATAAAATTTTTATTATCATTTATATATATATATATACCATATATTTTTAATACTGATCGAAATAATTTATTAATAATTTTTTGATTGTGTAATCTAACTTAAAAATAGATATATAGCATGTATGATTAATCCTAACAGAAAATAAATTCAAGGAAGTCAATTTTACTAATGTTTTCTGAAAGAAATAGACCAAGAAATGCTTCATTAGCAATATAATAAGAAAAATATATTAAAAATTAAGTTCGACTTCACAAAAAGGAAGCTAAATCTAGATATTTAACACCAAAAAAATAAAATCAATCATTTTAAGCTCGATTATTAAATCTTCCAATAATATCTTCGAGTATAAAAAATTAACTTTTTGTTACATAAATTTTTACTAGAATGGATGAACAATAACAATATCCATCTTTATAAAATTGGGATTTAAAATTTGATTCCTTATTATGTGGTACTTTAAGAAAATTCAGTTAAACTAAAGAATAAAAACTATTCAATAAATCATTTAGTATAGAAGAATAATAAGAAATGATTGAGACATTTAAATAAAAACCTCTTTTCCAGGTTACAAAAATAAAAAGACAAAGATAAACTAAATTGAAAGATTTTTATAAAGAAATTGTAATTGATGATATTTCTTAGTATTTTAATAAAATTCAAGATTGATAATGATCTCTAGTAATTTAAAATAATCGACCAAATTATTTTGAATTCATCTTTGCATTTTATATCAAAGTATTTTTCTTAACTCTAACTACAAAATCCATTTATTATGATTTGTTACTTCTCTAACTTTTACTTCCTTAACTTACACTAATACTACGAGATTTAATAAAAGGAGTTTATTAATGTTTATCATTATCAATAGAAAATTGATTGTCATCAATATTAAGTAGTTCATCTTTTATTTAAAGACTATTTAATTTTTATGGTTAAAATTAAGAATTATTTTCAATTTAGGATTATTTTATATCTATAGTTTATGATAATTATTCTAATTTTAATGAATTATCTTCTTATTTTTTTTTTGATAAATTCTATTCTATTTATTCAACTTCAATTTAAAATTTAGATTTTTTTAATTATTTTGTTTGATTTTAAAGTAAAATTGAATTATTTATAGATATTGATTAATCATCTTATGATTTTTCTGATTTTAAATGTTCAGACTTATTAATTTATTTATTATTTTATTAATTTTAAAGATCATTTGTAGAATCCTAATCCTCTATTTGAACTTGACTTTGTTATTATTAACCCTAAGCAGATAATCTATATCTTCTTATTAGTTATTTTTATTTAAGATTTTCTTCCTTTAAATTAGCTAATTCATTATTTAATTCTTTATTATTATTTTAGATTTATAGTAAATTATCTGTTTATTATTTGAGTTATTAATTCACTTCCTTAAGACTTACACAATATATCAATTATTTAAATTTTATTATCTTTAAATTATTAGTACTCTTATTATAATCTGTTGTCAGTTTTTTAATTAAGTTTAATTGATCTTTTAATTTATTATTTAATCCTAAAATTTCTTTATCTTATTATTAATTTAAATTCTGAAGTGATTTGACTTATTCATAAAGATTTTTATATGATTAATCTAATTTAATTAGTTTTTAATTAGTTCTATCCCATTAACTTAAAGCATCTTCAAGTTTCATCTTAGAAACCAACTCTTTTTACATAATTTTATAATTGTTTATTTTACCTACATATCTATCAACTAAAAAAGACTTATCTTTATCCATTAATTTTTATTATTCATTAAATTTAATTTCAAGTTGTCTATATATTCTTTAAGATTCATCATATTTAACTTTTATATCAGTAATTTCATTAATATATTCACCTATTCTTTAATTATCATTATTGATAATACGATCTGAAAATATTTATTTAGTAACTAAATTATTGTTCACAAAAACTTAATCTTTATACAAAGATTTAATCTCTGCTAATTCTTTTCTTTAAGATTCAAATTAATTTTAAAGAGCTTCAAGTTTATCTCTTTCATTAATCAATTCATGTCTTTATGTGTCTATGGTTTCTAATAATTATTCAATTTTTTTCTTATAAGATATTTCAGCTGCTGTAAAATCCTATTAATTTAATCTTAATTTATTTTCCTATTCATTCATTTCCATTGTCAAAGTATGTAATCTTTATTAACTAAAACTTAAACATTTTTCTAAATCTAAAATAGTTTCTTCTTTTCCTTCTAAACTATTTTATAATAACTATACTCGTGCCTTCTCTTTAATAAATAACTCATCTAAATGAATTTTGGCAATTTTCATTTATTAAATATTTTGATTTAATGCCAATATTTCATTTTATTAAACCTATATTCTTTACATACCAAATGAATGTTCTACTTATATTTTTTAAAATTTCTTAATTTCATTATCATGTTCTTCAATTATTTCTCTGTTTTCTTATTATAATTACAATATACTAGATCTATAACCTTATTCCAATTATCCAAATGAATCAACTGTAATTTTATATTTATTATTTTCTGTTTATAATTAAAATTTTTCTTATTTTATTAATTAATTCTCATTTGTTAACTTTTTATTTAAATCTAAAACATCTTAATAATTTCTTTAATATTTTTCTAATTCTTATAATCTATAATTTAATTAAGAAAATAAATTACTTTAATATATTTTCCTCTTTATACTTTGAAAATTGCATACATAATTAATTAAATTAATGTTCATAATTCATTGAAATACTTTAATCATTAACAGAACTCTTTGTTAATTTATTTATTTTTAATTCATATATTAGAATTTTATTTTCCTTTTCATCCAATTATCTTTTTTAATTCTCTATTGTTTATTTAAGATGATTAATTTCATTGTCTCTAATATCTTTTTCTTCAATTACAGTTTATAATTATTTGTTAGATTTCATAAGATCTTTACTTGTTTTATCATACAAAATTCTTATTTCTGATAACTCCTCACATAATTATGAATAGTTTTAAGCTAATTCTCTATAAATTGATGTAATTTCATTAATTCTATATTCAAATTTTATTCTTAAAGCTACTTCTTCTTCAAATGCTGTATTAGATTATTGAAAATCTAGTTCAGCATTTTCTCTTTGTAATTTTAACACATTATTCTAATCCGTTATATCTTATAACATATTCTATAATTGTAATATTTCTTCTTATGTCTTTTTTTCTATTACCTTAAATTTTGTTTCTCTTTAAGTTAGTGTTTCATTGAGCTCTTCAATTTTTTATTAAGTTTCTTACTATATCTAATTTATTGTAAATTAAAAATCTCCTTTAGCAACATATTCTAATAATATTCCAAATACTTTCCAAATGGATGCTGTTAACTATAAATTTCTAAGAATTTCATGAAGCATTTCATAAAATCCCACTGTATAAACAAACATGCTTCGATAAAGTCTACTAACGTCTTCATCCTTAACTCCGGCACTCTACAATGAAAATTAGAGAGTCATTTACAACCTTTAAAGTATTTTTATCAAGACCTAATTTGTTCAAACTGTTCTATTTCTCATTTAAACAAGTTTCTCTCAATATATCATTGATCCATCTTTCAATTCCATTTTGATCAAGAATGGATTTTGGAATGGATGTATCTAAATGCTATTTAATCTATCTGGTTGCCAATCTTTCTCTAGTATCAACAGTTGAAGCCTAAAATGATTTCCTAAATAACTCATTCATTAATTATATAATATAAAATTAAAAAGTCCAACAAATATCCTTACACAAAATTCATAATTTGATTAAACAAATAATAGATATCAGAATTATATTCAATATAAGTTAATTATATTCATATTTATTATTATTATTTGAAAATACAATCTGTTATCAAGTAATCTTCTAATACTGTAACATAAATATTATAGAATCTATTAATTAACTTATGTTTATAAAGACTTTGACATGATAATTGAATTATATTTACTAATTTATTTATATTTATTTTTATTAACAATATTAAGTTATTTTTAATTGGAGATGATGTAAGAATATTTATCAAATCTGTAAAAGATCCTAATATCCACTTTAATAATAAAAAGGGCTCTTCATGATTCAAAACTTGCATATAAAAATATCAAAATTAATATGATATGTTTTTGGAGATTTAATGTATATAATATTTTTCTAATAGATTAACAAATTTACATTTGCTCTTAAATTATAATGATCAATAATAAGTTATTTATTTTTAACTTAAGGTCACCAAATTTTTAAATTTTCTTATAAATGTTATTTTTTCAAAATGAGATGGAATGTGATTAAATTTAAATGAATTAGTTTGAATTATATAGTTTATTGGAATAAAATGATATATTTAATTACCAAATCCTAATTATTAGCAATAGTAGAATAACGTAAATTCTATAACAATTATTGAAATTATGTTTTAAATTAGAAATAGATTTAAAAAATAGAATATGGTAAATAAATTGATATTGATAAACTATTTGCTATGAATTTTTTTGATTTTATATAACAAATTAATGTAAGTTATTCTTAGGGATAGTCAATATAAAAATTAGTAGTCCATAGGAAACAAAAATAATAATTGAACTTATGTAAAAATTAATATAAATTTGAATTGTTTGATTTCAGAGATTCATACATTAAGCGACTAGATTATATTAGATTTTGAGAAGGCATAGTTAAAGATAGATAAATACAACATTGAAATTACTATCCATTATAAGAGTAGAGGGGTTTTTGTGATTTTATTTAATAATTATAAAAATTAGAAAGTTTAGGGTAGATTGATTTGTTAATTGTTAATTATTACAAAAAATAGAAGCTTTACAAAATGAAATACGTATTTTAAAAATTAAAAATTAATAATATAATAATATGAAATTTGATATCTTATTCGTCATTCTAATACTGACAGTGACTACTCACGCATAAGATGATGATGATTTCATTATTGATTCTAATAGTGGCTATGATGAGACAGCTGCTACAAGATATTGGTATTTCTGTGCTGCTAGTTACTGTAATCCTAATGTTATAGTAAATTGGTCATGTACTACACCATGTAGTAAAACACCTTACATGGATGATGTATAAATATTTGTTAATGCAACCAATGAAAATGCAGGATTTTCAGGATATGACCCTAAACACAACGAAATTATTATTGTTTTCAGGGGAACTCTTCCTTGGTCCATTAAAAATTGGTTTGAAGATCTTAATTATATAAAAACATCATTTCCATACTGTACAAACAACTGTCAAGTTCATAGGTTATTATATTTAAATAATATTTTAGAGGATTCTACTATTCTTATTTGGGTATTCAAGATTAAGTCTTAAATGCAGCAAAAAGATTGACAAGCAAATATCCAAATGCCAAATTAGTCATTACTGGACATAGTTTAGGAGGATCATTAGCTACACATGCTTTAGTTGCTTTGACTGTTAATGGATATAAAGTTGATCATTTTTATTCTTTTGGATCACCAAGAGTTGGAGATTCTGCATTCTTCAATTTCGTAAAATCAATATATCCAGCTGCTAAATTTAGAGTAACTCATGATCATGATCCTGTACCTCATTTACCTATGGAAGTTTAAGGATTTCATCATATAAACACAGAAGCTTATTACAAAGATTTTCTCATCTTCCATAAAGAGTATAATTTTTATTATAAAATTTAGTGTTAAAATTTGTAATGATGAAATAAAAGAAGATTCAAGATGTTCAAATCAAAATTTAGTTGATTTGAGTGTAGATGATCATTGCAATTATTTGGGATATAACCTAGCTATTGGAGTACTAGTTTGCTAATGATTTTAGATCGAAAAAATATAAATATATAGTTAATTTAATCAAAATAGTTAATCACTTTATGTACGCATTTATCTTCTTCTATTCAGCAAACTATTTTATTCTGCACTATTTAATAAGGGAACTTAAATGTATTTATTATCTTCCTCAACAATATAAAATAACTTTCCATCTTTATTTCGAAATACTTTCTTTTTGATTTCTTCTGGTAAAGTTGAAGAAGTCTTCAGTTTTAAACTTTTTTATTTCATTTATATAGGTTAATTTGTTTCCTATACCGATTTTATAGAACCACAACCCATCTATTTTTATGCACCAATTTAACTCTTGATTAAATATAATAACTTAGATAAAATTGTTAGGACTGATATTAATCTAATTAGACTTAATTCATTTTAACAATAATAGCTTCCTAAATCTTCAGATTTTTTATATTCTAAAATTATAAGAAATTTATGAAATTGGACTTTTGAGGTCTTACAGAAATAATTGATACTCTAGAAAATGGGAATTTAAATTTATATTTATGTATTTTTAAAATAGAATGGTATATCCATTGATCTATTTTAAATCTACATTTATTATACTTATAAATAATAAGTTTTTGTTAATAGCTTTAATTGTATATTTAAACTAGTACCTTTTTAGTAATTATGTTTAATAACTAAATTAATTGTATTACATTATAATATAATTTTAGATCTATTGAATTAACTTAATTTGAAATATATTAAATATGATAAATCAATACTTTAAATAATAATTAAGCATTATATTTAAGATTGATGATTATTAAATTTATTAATATAATATAATCTAATTACTAATTAAAATAATCATTTTCATGATTCTATTTTTATAATTTCATTATGTATACTAACATTAATCATAATAAATATTAAAAACTGATTATAAATTAAATGGAATTAGTAAAGAAATATTAGGTTGATCTTTTAGGAATAATATATTATATCTTATTAGAATATTTATTTAATAATATTTAATATGAAATCTACTGTTGATTTTTAAAATATGAGATTAGTAAAAAGAAGGTGATTAACATACATAATATTTTAAATAAGCCTTGGAATGGGTTGGGAAAAGAGATGAACAATATCTTAATGCTTTCTTTTGGAAAATTAGGAATAATTTTTTTGAAAATTAAATAATATTAATTATTTTATGAAAATTTTCAAGTATTATTATAAATTTATTATAAAAGAAACCTTATGAATTTATAAGAAGATTAAATAATCATAAATTAAAATTTGATCTTCTTGTAAATTTAATATTAATTTCTGAAAATTTACAATAATGTGGGATAATCAAATAGATAATAGTTTTTTTATGTATACCAATTATTTAAAATGAAAAATCAATAGTCACTTTATTTTTGTGTTATTTAAGAGTTTTAGAATCAAAGTCTTATAAGTAATCTAAAATTATGAAAATTTAGGAATATGAATAATTTTAATGTAATTATATTAATTATTTATGAATTAAAGTCTAGAGAAAATTTCTGCTGAAGAATGGCATCATAATTAAAACAATATTGTAATTCCAAAAGCTTAAATGAATGAATTAGTCCTCAATTTCTTTATTGTTGAAGGTTATAGAGATGCTGCAATTGAATTTTCTAAAGAGGCTGGAATTTAATGTAATATTTAAAATGTACTATAACAAAGTGTCTAATAAAGAACTTGATAAAATGATTGAGAGAATTGAGATAAAAAAAAATATATTAAATGGTGAAATTGATTTAGCCTTAGAAAAAGTATCTATGAGCAATAACAAATAAATTCTTTTTAAATTGAAAATGCAAAAACTAATAGAACTTATTAAAACAAATGAATTAGATTAAGCTGTTACATATGCACAAAATTAAATTATAGAGTTCTTAAAAGATTAAGTATAATATTATATTTTATAAAGCCTCATCTTATAGATGAAATTGAAAAGGCTATGTCTTTATTAGCTTACAAAGATCTTAATAAATGTCCTTTAAGTCATTTGACTTAAAACTCATAAAGAATTAAAGTAGCTAGCGAAGTCAATTAATAATTATTTTAAGACTCTTAAGGAAATGAACAAGCTAAAATAACAATACTAATGAAAATATTATAATGGGCATAAGAATTATTGAATTCTAAACTTTAATATCCTCATTTAATAGAAATATCTAAAGGGTAATTCTCAAAAGAATAATGACTCAATATTAAGAAATATATTGTTTTTATTTTTTAATATCTTCTATTTCTCATAATTAAGGAAATCTAAGTTTGAACAAACTCATGGCCACATTAGAAATCTCCTTGGCTCTATCATTCAACCAGTCCATTTGGTCTTATGTTTATGCAACTTCTGCAAACTTTCTTGTAAATCTGATTTTTGTAAATGATTCAATTTCATTAAATTTAGCCTATTTCACAAAATAAATTACCAATTCTTCATAATAATTATAAATATCTTAGGCTGAATAATTATTTGGAAGAACATGATCAAATCTCTTTATTGGACTAACATATTTTCTAATGATTTCTTCAAACTTCATTTTATTTATTAAAAAATTAATAAAATTTGGTTAATTTAATTATGAAAATTCAACATCTAAAAATATATTTATAATATCAATATAAGATGAACAATAAATATATATATTTTAAATATGATTTTATTTAGAGTATTAAATAAAATCATATAATCATGACTCCATGTTACTAATTTAAAATTTAACATTTCTAGATATATTATCAATATTTTCTCTTAAAACATTTAACAAATATTCTTTTTCATTAATTGTTATATTTGCATTTTCAATTTCATCTGCCATCAAATCAAGATCTTCTAACATTCTATCTATTCTTCTCATATATAAATTTAGTTTCGATATAATTATTTCTTTATCATCATCTTATTCATCATTTCTAACAGATTTGCTTATTTCTTCTTATTCTTTTTGAATTTAATCTAAAATTTCATCCTTTATTTTTTCATCTTAATTATTCTCTCTTTTTCTTTATGCATTAATTTCATCATAACCTTCCATAATTATAGCTATAAGAACACTTTGTACAGCTGTAAAAAACACTATCATAAAAACAATAAGGTATATTTAACCAATAATACCAATAGGTTTGACTAAATTAAATGATTCTAAATTATATCTTATTTCATAATACCTAATAAAATATCTCCATTTGATAAAGAAAACAATGATAAAATAGTATCAATTGTTGTTTAGAAATAATTATACTTCCAAAATATAGCCTAAGCCAAATATACAAATCCAAAAAAAAATGGTAAAATACTGAATATAAACATTGCAATATTCTTACTAGATTTCTTTAATGTCCAAGTCACAAGACTTATATCTTAAAAATATTCCAAATATTATAAAAGCATTAACCAAGATAAAAAACAACCAAATCCCATCATCATAATTTAAAATTTATAAATCGATAAATCATTTGTCAAAATTTAATCCATTATAGCTATTGTTGCTCCTACAACTTAAAAAAAACCACCTAAGGCATTTAAAATATACCAATTATTAAATACCTTAACATCTTATTAATAATTAACTGTCCTCCAAGCTTGTGAAAATTTAACACCAACTTGAGGTCCCTATTAAATTATATCTGATTAATCATTTAATGGTTATGTTTCTACAATATTTTTTATGTCTTTATACATTTGTTTATTATACATGTATTCAGACCCTAAATCATATAGATATTATATTGTTGTGTAAATTGAAATACTTCCTAATATAAAAACAATTAAATGAATTAGTAGAAAATCCTATCCACTCTACTTTTTCTGATCTTCAGGACAATTACTAGTACCTGTTTCCATTCTAGCATTTATGACTCCTATTTTATCAAATTTATATATTATTTTGAAATTCCAATTTGTACAAGACTCAACTCCTTCTATATCTCTAAAATTTATAAAATTATAAATCTTATTCCCTTAAAATTCCATAATTTAAACATCTTCAATAAAATTTTTGATTGAATGCAAATCTTTAATATCAAATGGTTCTATAAATCCTTTATCTATGTCAACATTAAATACTGTTTAATTTGCATTGTTAGTATCAAATTATGAATAGAAAACATTAAAATTAAACTCTGATAAACTCATGTTTACATTTTAAAATAAAATATCTTCTAAACCATTAAGAGTGTCTATCATTGTAAGTAGCTATTTTTAAAAGTCATTAAAGTTATAAAATTATAATTCATCGCTATCTTCCTCTAATCCAAGTAGAATGTTCTTTAAAATAATATGCTAGGCTCTACTTTATGCAGTTTATTGATCTAAAACATTAAGAACTTGAATTGTAGTAAAAACTATCAATAAAGTGTGTAATATCATTTGCCAAGGAAATTAGTTGTATAACTCATACTTTTACAAAGGTGATAATGTCAACTTTTGTTAATAATCCATATTAAATGATTTTTGTTCACTTGTACTCATATTAATTTATAATTAATATAGAATTAACAAATAATCACATTTATATATATCTATTTAAGAACTTCCTGTGAAAATCACTTCTAACAGCATCATTAATAAATCTTTGTTTTTCTTTTACTTCTAGTCTCGATTAATTTTTAAAGATAGTATCCTCATACCATCTAAAATAATTGATTATGAAAATAATACTTTTTCTTTAGAGAATAATCTTCACTAATTAATAAAGGATTTCCTTTAATAATTTCATCTTCTCTATTTTTTTCTAAATACTCTTGTTTTTCTATAAACTATTTTTATATGAATGAATTACTTTCTTTTTTTCTTCAATTTCTCTTTATTCTTTAATTTTTTGATACTCTCTCATTAATAATTCATCATCATCTTCTTCATCACTTGAGGAAGGTGAACTTTCTTCAATTTTTAATTCTTATTATTATACAATAGGCTTTTCTGGTTTTTAAGCATTCTCTTCTTCATCATCAGAAGATTTAATAAATTCTTTATCATCAGCATCTTAAGGGTAAATATCTTTTTCTTCTACTTTAATTTTTTTTAATATCATAGGTTCTTAAACATCTTTATTTTAATCTAAATAATAATTTAAAAAATGTTTCTACTTTTTTATGTTGCTTCTATGGCTAATGAAGTTTCAGAGACTCCCAAAGCCTTTAATTCTCTTTATCTTCTTCCTTCCTCTTCTCTTTTTATTAAGTCCATCTTAAAATCCTTTTATTCCAATTCTGCCTATGTACCCTATCCAGGTTTTCTCATTTTCAATATTAAATAAGCTGGTAGATCTTTTGAATGATAGGATCTTGAATGAACAAGCATTTTGTTTCCACCTTATTCACTACCACCAATAGCAGGTCTGTATGTTGGTCTATGTGCAGTTGTCATAAAAAAATATAATTAAAATAATAAACAATAATTCATCTTCTTTTTCTTTTTAGAATTTTTTTCATACTTCCTTTAAGTTTAGATCCTAATGGTTTCTTTATCTTTTTTGTTCCTTTATTGAGTACTTTATTAATAGTCTCGAATTCTTAGAAATCATCCAACCTTGTCACATTGGCCTTTCTTTCAGCTATTCTTTCCCTTCGTTTTTCATCTCTTGTTGTAGGCAATCTTGTCATATGATCTTCTTCATATTTCCTTTTTTCTATTTATTTTTCATCTTCAGCTCTTCCATAATATAATTATTATAAGTCTCTTTCTGTCATTTCCTTTGGTTTATCAGTCTAATTAAATAATGATATAAATCTATACTTCTTAATCATCTAATATACTCCTAATTAAATTAGCTTTCTTTTATGTTTTTCTAAGTTCTTCCCGTCTTTCTTACTTTTATTTATTTAAATCATTTTTTGAAAGAGTTGCTGCAAGTTTTGGTGGCACATACTTTTAATTTGGATTACTAGCTTTCTCATTATTTTCATCTTTATGAAGATTCTCTATTCTAGGCTTTAACGTTAATTTTTCAACTTAATCAACAATTTAATCATCTTCATTTATCTAAGTTTCTTAATATTTTGATAATTTATCAATGGAATATTATAATTTTTTTTAAGCTTATATAATTTTCTGTAATAAAATTTTATCTTCTATCAACTAATCAACAGGAAATTCATCCAGATTTCCATAATTGAGTTTATGTAATAGGTACATATTTAAATGAATCAAATATTTAGTCATTGTAGCATTTTTAGCTCTTAAATATTAAGCAATATTGTTTTTATTTTCAGTTGTACATGTGATAACATGCAGATTATCAATCTATTACAATTGATCATTAATAGTCGATATCAATTCAGAATATACAGGAAAATCTTCATTAAAATAGGTTAAACCACCACTCATTATATAAATTAATTTATGAAAATGAAATTAAAAAAAATATAAAATAATATACTATAATCATTCCAAATTAAATTACACCTTTCTTAAAGTGCTATCAACCTAATTTTACTAATTTCTAAATCTACTATACTTCATCTCCTATTTTAAAATACTTTTAGCAGATTTTTCATCAGGTTGCCTACTACCTCTTTAACTATCTGACATAAATGAATCTTCATCTCTTGGAGATGATATATTTTTTAGATTCAGTTATTGCTCAGTGACAGATTGTAATTTTTTAAGCCTATTAGAATCAAAAGATTTTAAAGAGTTTTTAGCTTCAAATGCAACAATTGGAGAATCATTTTTTTATCTTTTTCTGCCTAAAGTACAAGTTGATTTAAGAATTTATTCATCTTTGTCAACTTACCCAACAAATTAAATTTCTTTTAATGATTAACATTGTTCAGATCTTTTACTCTATTGAGACCTTAGTTCTGGAAAAGCAGGAGTTCCACATTCTTCAGTTTTTTTATAGCTATGCTTTGCTTACTAAACACTATAAAGAAATTAATAAAATTTTGATACTCTTATAATTTTGCAGACTATTAATTCGAATCTTCAAGGATAACCACTTCCTATACATCCTCGTCCTAAACATTTTTTTTACAACATTATGCACTCCCCATATTATAAAATAATTATGTAATATAAAATGATGTAAATTATCAATCATCATCAAATAATCGACCACTACCTCTTCCTTTATTATCTCCTCTTCCACGAGATCCACCTCTTCTATTTCCTCTATCATCTCCTCTATTTCCTCTATTTCCTCTATCACCTCTCCTATTTCCTCTATCACCTCCTCTTTAACCTTTCCTATCATCTTGGGATCTTTCTCTAATCTGTTAGCCATCTATTTTCTTTCTAAACTATGAACTATTTTGTTATTCTTTTCTAATAAATCCAAATCAGGAATTACTTCTCTTTATCTTTAACAGCATTAACTAATTTAAGCTTTTCCTCTTCAAATTCCCTAGACATAGCCTTAGGATTGGGATCCTCATAAGCCCATTTGCACATTATACACTCTTATTAATCTAAGGCTTATGAATCCATGGCTTCTTTGGCAAATTCAGCCTAGCATCTATGTTTGTATCTAAAGTATTAAAAATATAAAATACCTTATAAATGAGACACCCTTGGCAGGTATAACATTTAAATCATCTATATCTCCCAATGGACTGAAATGCCTCCACAATGTATCATACATTAAGGCTAATGCTTGAGTACTTGTTTCAGCCTTAGGCATTTTATAATGAGTTATATAAATAGCTCTGGTATCACTTGTGAAACAACCTATTCTATAAAAACATAGATAATCATTTGTTACCCTTTCATATCCTCTCTATGATTAGCAAATCTTGTTCTACCAAAAACATCTTTACTGTTATCTATTTATTCACATTCATCCATTGTTGGAATTCTGTGATAATACCTACAATTAACTCCTTCTGCACAACATCCCCGAGCATAAAAGATGCAAAAATATGTACTAAATTTCTCATATAAATCTGCTTTAGTATAACCACTATCAATATCAGGATGCATTCTTGTTAAAGCAGGATCTTTCTCTTTATATTTGTTTCCATCACTCAAAAATCTATCAAACCATGTGTTATATTCCTCATCTCCTTATTTATATCCAAATTTTGTTGCCAATGATTCTTCAACTTGCTTTCTAGCAGGTCTTAACATCACTTTCTATCTTTTCTAAAATAACTACTCTCTTTATCTTGCTATATATTATTTTGGTAAAAATTTAAAAAAATTTCTCTCTTAATAGTCATACAATCTATGCTCAAATTATCTTCTATAATCAGACAATTTCTATACAATATCTAATGGCAACTCCCAAACACTTTCCTTTGTAACAGGATTATAATAATAATTCTTTTTCCATGTATCATCAAATAACACTTACCAAGGATAAATTATTTTCTGGATCTCATCAGCATTTACTAATTATCCTCCTTTATTTATTTATAATTCTAATGGCTATTTTTGTAAATTTTGAAGTTCCTCATCCTTTTTTTAATTTAATTTTTCTTCTATCTACTTTTCTAATTCCTTTTAACTCTGCTCTGTCTCCTACACTTTTTATTAATACAATTGATAAGCCTCAATCTTTTTTCGATTCTCTTCCTCTTATTATATCTCTTTTGAATTTGGTGCTAGATGTGCAATTTATTAAATTTTTTGAAAATCAATTCCTATTGGTCTAAAAGGATTCTTCTCTGGTTTTGCTATATCAAATTTCACATTGTCAGAATCTGATTCATATTGATCTCCTTCTGAATATGAATATTAATCAACATTTTCTTCCTCTTCTTATTACTATATTTTTTATTAATCTTCTTAATCAGCCATTAATTTATAATATATAAATATTTTATTATTTTGTATCATATTTTATATTCATTAATTTACATCTCTACTTTCATGTTATCTTAATCTAAAGATACCTTATATTAATAAGTAATTTTAACAATAAAGATAGTCCTTAATCTTCATTAATTTTTAATATAAGCCTCTTAATTTTTTATAATAGATCTATTATTATAAAAATAAGGAATATTAAAAATATTTTTTCTAAAATTTGTCCAATTATTTATCTAAATTTATAAACTCAATCATGATTTAACAACTCAAAAACCTTAAAATAAAATACAAAAAAAAAAAAACTAAATCTTCATAAAACTAAAAATTGCCTCATTTATGAAACCTTATGAAATTTCAATCCCTTAGATGAAGAATAGCTTTTTCTGAATGGATTTTATGTTTTTGATATACTCAATTTGTTTATTTAATGAAAATGAAAATTAATATCACTATGTCTTTTTTCTTAAGCATGTATAAGATTTGCAAATAACTTTTTAAAATCAGGACCAATTTTAGAATAATTAAAATGCCAAAATGCCATTATTATAGATTAGTTTATAGCTAAATCTGCTTTTATTTTAGTCTTTTGTATTCAGAAAAAGGTAATTGCTTTTTGAAATGATACTTATTTTGATTATTCTAATTATCATTTGATTTTGATTTACTTTCTATAGTCTTAATCCAAGTCTAATATTCTTCTAATTTCATATTATTTTCATGGTTTTTATATATATTTAGTTTGATCTTGTTAATTTGAGCAACTTCTAAATATTAGAGCATTTTTAGTAAATTAGAATAACAATAGATCATATGATCCTTTAAAGTCAAAGATAAATCACAGTTTTATATGCCTAATGAATAGAACTTTGAATAGATTAAAAAATATATATATTTTTATTATAAAATTTTAGATATAATACTATTATTGATATTGATATTCAAATATTACTCTACAAATTGGTTATCGTTTTTGAATAAGAATTTTGATTAATATTTTTAATGCAAAAATATTTTTTTATTCTAGTTATTTTTGCCACGTGCAGTAATGCTCTCACATTTTATCTCACAGAAGGAAAGTAAAGGTGCTTTTTAGATGAATATACTGCAAATACAGTTGTTATTGGTGCCCATTAATTATTGGATAAAGTTTAACCTAATGGAGGAGGAGTTGAATTGAGTGTTCTTGATCCAGATAATTAAGTGATTTTAACAAAAATGACTAATAGTGAAGAAGGCAAATTTACATTTACAACAAAAAAATAAGGAAGATATTAAGTTTGTTTGAAAATGTCAAATAGTAAAGGTTGGTTTGGAGATAAAAAATAACCATTATATTTCTTAAGAATAAAGTAAGGAGAAAATCAAGAATTTTAATCAGCTGCTAAAGAGAGTTAAGTATTTATAAAAAATATTACTTTAAGATTACAGGATTAAAACAAAAAATTAAATAACTTTAAAAGCAAGAGGATGATTTTATTAAACTACAATAAATGAATAGAGAAAACGAGGATAAATTAAGTATAGAAAATATTAAAATTAATGATAATGTATTCAATGCCACCTTAATTCAAATATTTGTCATAATTGGAGCAGGAGTATTCTAAATTTACTCTTTAAGGAGATTTTTTGCATAAAAAATATATTATTGATTGTATTTATAAAATTATTCAATACATCTTAAGTACTTAATTGCCATATGTGCCTAACTAACTTCTTTAATTTAAATAAGGATTTTAATTGTATCCTGGAATTGGGTTTAAGAGAGGATTATGTATTGAAGGATCAATTTAATTATTTTCAACACTTCTAAACTAAATATATTATATAATATAATTACTCCATTACTCATAATCTAAGAACCATTTTGATGTTTAGTGCTTTACTCTTTTTCAAAGATTTATTTTTATAATGAATCTCTAATCATTTATTTATTATAGAGTTAGCTTTATTTCTTTTACTGAGCTTCCATCTCTTCTTTGTATTATACATTTTCAATTCCTCTATTAATCATATTTTCAATTTAGAATTATTTATCACTACCAATCTTTTCTGCAAAGTTTTTTTGCATTCTTTCTTAATGTTCTGCTACTTGTCTATAATACTAAATTAAAATTTATAGAAATACATCTCTATATTATTTTTGCTTGTCTGTTATTCTATTTTCTTCATCTCTTTAATTTAGTTATTCCTTAATTTTTTCTTATTCTTACTATTCTTTTTATTACATAATTTTTCTCATTTTATCATCCATAGATGCTTAAGCTATTTATTTCATTTGATATTATTATTGTATTTTCTATTGTCTCTACATTTCCTAATATTATTAAGCTTAAGAAACAAGGTTGAATTCATCTTAAATTTATTTTTATTTGATAATGTTTTGATTTTATTTTTTTTAGTTTATGCTCTATTCATAAGCTTCACTTAATTCTCTTTATTTTATCTTTTATAATTATTTACGCTAGAATTCATCATACTCCAAAGCTTTTGCTTATTCTTGAAGCATTTATTACTCTTATTCTAATGCCCTTCTTTTTGAATCAATCTATTATTATTATCTATATTATTATTATTCTTCGAGAGTATTTCTATATTGATTATAAAGAATAATAATTACTTTAGTAACTGTTTCTAATATTACATTAAATTTAATATTAAAAAATATTTATAATACTCATCTAAAATATTGATATTATTGGCAAATAAATCAAGAAATTGTTGTTACTTTAAAATAATCTGTTTTTAGATGCACTGATTATAAATTTATTTATTGATTGAATTGAAATTATTATTGAAAATGGGAAGTAAATGTTGTCGAGACGATAATATACAAATAAAAGGTTTGAGTACAGAAATTTCATGTAGATGAAATATAAACAGCTCAGAATCCAGATGTAACTGTACCACCAGGTCCCAAATAAAAAGAATCACTTTCCTAATAAGGAAGCAAAAATTCTCAAGGTTAGGAATTGAAGGCTCCAATTGAGAATAAGTAGAATGAATATGCGTTAGAGAGTGAAATACATATAGAAAAGGAATAAAAACAAGTTGTTTCTGTAGTTTAGGAACAATAATCAAAAATTTCAGAGATAGTTTAATCTCAAAAAATGACCAACGAATAGAGTAATCAATAGTTTGTAGAAATAGTTAAAAATGAAGTAACAAGTATAAATTAGGAAGACAATTGTGCTAAATCAATCACAAAAAAAATGAAATTAGGCGTTGAGACATTTGTATAATCAAAAGTTGGGTCAATTGGGACACATTACAATTTTGGAAAGGTTTTAGGATAAGGTGCCTTTGGTAAAGTTTGGAAAGTAACTCATAAAACAACTGGTCTTATTCGAGCAATTAAACAAATTAAAAAGAGCTCTATAATTAAAGAAGAAGAATCAAGATTATTTTCTGAGATGAATATTTTAAAGAACTTAGACCATCCTCATATAGTAAAACTATTTGAATTGTTTCAAGATGAAAATAATTATTACTTAGTGACTGAGTAATACAATTGAATCAATATAGATATTTATCAGGGGGAGAATTATTTGATAGGATAAAAAAGATGTCAACATTTAGTGAGAGTATAGCCGCAGATTACATTAGATAAATTCTATTAGCAACAGTACATTGTCATGAAAAAAAAATTGTACATAGAGATTTAAAACCAGAAAACATTATTTTTATAAGTGAAGATCCACAATCTTAACTAAAAGTCATTGATTTTGGAACATCAAGAAAATTTGATAATTAAAAAGCAATGAGTAAAAGATTAGGAACAGTATTATATAATATTTAAATCAGCCCTATTATATAGCACCTGAAGTTTTGGGTCATTCTTATACAGAAAAATGTGATATCTGGTCATGTGGTGTCATATTATATATTTTATTATGTGGTTATCCTCCATTTGTTGGTAAAACAGAAAATCAAATTTTAGAGAGAGTTAAAATTGGTAAATTTACATTTGATCGTAAAATAAATTTATTAAGTTTTAGCTGAGGATTGGGATTCCATTTCAAAAGAAGCTAAGGAATTTATTACTAAATTATTGAGAATGGATCCTAATAAAAGATTATCAGCTAAATAAGCCTTAGAAGATCCTTGGCTTGCTAAATATGCTCCTTCAACTTAAGTTAATAGAAAAGTTCTCGATAATATTCGTTAATTTTAAGTAAATCATTTTAATTAAACTAATATAGGCATAAACTGTATTAAAATAAGCATTAATGTCTTATATGATAACATAAATGTCAACTTAAAAAGAGATTTCAGAGTTACAAAAAGAGTTTTAGAGATTAGATATAAATAATGATGGATTTTTATCAAAAGATGAATTTCTTAAAGGTTATCTTTAGATATAAAATGATCTCAAATTAGCTGAAGTTGAAGTTGAAAAAATATTAGAAATGATTGATATTAATTAATCAGGTTTGATAGATTTTTCAGAATTTTGTATGGCAGCAATGAATTAAGAAAAATTGCTTTCTGTTTAAAGAATTGAATAGGCTTTCAAAATATTTGATTAAGTATTTCAATTTTTAATAAATTAGAATGGAGATGGATTTATTTCTAAAAAAGAATTAGAAGTTATAATGGGAGATTTAGGAGATGATGTATGGAATTAAATACTTAGTGATTGTGACAATAATGGAGATGGATAGATATCATATGAAGAATTTGTAAAAATGCTAAAGAATAAAAAACTTTGATTTTTATATAAATTTTATATACATCTTATAAATAATATAACTTGAATAATATTTAAAAGGATCTCTATTATTGAATATAAAAGATAATAGCATTTCAAATACTATAATTCTTTAAATTATATTAGATTTATTTAAAAAATATTTGATATATATTGATTAAACAGAAAATTGTATTTAATTTTAATACATAAAATTTAATCACTAAAGTAAGTCTTGTATTAAGGCTTAATTAAGTTTTCGTCTTAAATTAATATAATATATACTTTTTTGTAACACCAAAGTTTACAAAATCAAATTTGATAATGTTATCACTAATTTTAACTTCCATTTAATCTTCAATTAAACTTGGTTTGCTCTATGTTTTTTTTTCATGATTTCTTGATGAATAATTTTGTAAAGATTACCAAGTACCATTTGCTGATTCTCTAATACCTTCACCATCATGAATGAACCATCTAATTTAATTAAATATAAATTAATACTCATTATTTTTATATATTATTTATGCTTATCTTCTAGAAACAGTATTGATATTAACTATGACATCACATTCCTAGGATCTTCCAATTTTAAAAACTGATTCTTAATCATAATTGGCTATAAATATATGTGATTAAATTTAATTCACAGAAGCACTATTAAATGAAAATTTTAAATAGGGTCTATCATATTGATTCAATTTATTTGATATTCTTGGTCTTAAATTATTAGTTCTGAATTCATTTATTAATAAATTTAATTATTCATTCTCCTCTAATGTAAGTCCATGAATCTTAGTTCCTTTTTTTAAGTGTTCTTTTGCAAGAGCATTATAAAACTAATTTAAATCTTTATTTTTTTTAAATTTCATTTAAGTTGATTTAGATTTGATTTCTATAACTTGGAAGTATGTATCAGCTCCAATCAGATATGTATAATGTAATTACATAATTCTTAGATTGTCCTTTTTAATTTTCATAAATGTTCCAGCTTTAGTTGCATTATCAGTTAAATAAAATTAAGGCTTTTCTCTAAGAATTATGAATATGATTACTTAATAAATGAAAATATATGTTTTCTAACTGAAAAAGGTAGTTTTAATGCTGATTTATTTGACCTAAATAATGAGAAGAATATAAGAACTGATTTTGTTAGAAGATTTGAATAAGAAAATCCTTTTTCAGTTAACAGTTTACAATGAAGTTTTTCAACGTTTTTCTCTCCATGAGGTAAATCTAGAATGATTATTTAAAATAATTACAAATATCACAATTTTCTGATTTATCATCTTATTATTTTTTTCTACCTATAGTTATTTCCTTTTTGTATTCATTTCCCAAGATTCTAATTGATTAATAATATACTTACCTATCATATTAAAGAATATATTCAGCATCAATTTAACTTGAATGCTGTTTAAAGACTTTTATACGAATGTGTGGTTCATTTTCATTTAATTTATCATTTTATTATATCTACTTCTTAAATGGTTACTCTAAAATCATCAACTACTCTTATTGAGTTGTCTGTTCTCTATTAGTTTGTGTTTAAATTATTAATTATTGATTGGGATTAGGTGGATGCTAAATCTAATAAGTAATAATAAATAATAAGTTTACATTATCATCTTCTATTACAATACAATTGTCTGAAGAATTACCAATTATGGGTTAATATTAAAATGAGCTCATTTATTGAGGATAATTATTTAGATTATAAGGATGTATCAGATGAATGCCAAGTTAGTGAATATAAGGTGGGTAGTAATCTAAAATTATTTAATTATTTTACAGAATTAAAAAGGTTTAGGATAAAAGTGATAACTCATTCTCAGCTATTTATATTTGAATAAAAATAATTATTTTTATAATTATTAGCTATTATTCACTTATAAAAATCTAATTCTGTTCACTTATAATTATTAATCATAACTTTTACACTTATTATTAATCTTAATAAATAAAAGAAAAAAGTTTCAGATTAATTATTAAGTCAAAAGAAAAGATATTATGTTTATTCTTATAATCTATTATTCATTTTCTAACCTTACTTCTTATTCATTTGTTTTTATTTTATATAAAAGTAAGTCAAATAATAAGCCTTTGATTAAATATATTAGGATAACTTTATTGTAATATTTAGTGGTTTGTCAAAATCAATTTGTAATTTCTATAAATTAATAGTTTTAAGTAAAATGATGAAAATATTTTTTATATTAAACTTCTATTATGATAAAATTAAACAACTATTATTGAGATTTTTAGATGTACTGTTTTGATGCATTTAAAATTAATTTATTAATTTAAAAATATGACTTCTAATGAAATGGTAAATTAACTAAATAAACTTCTTCAATAATCCAATATTTCCAATTCTAAATAATAAGTTTAACAAATTTAAAGACCTTCCCTAGTAAATTAACAAAACACTCAATCAAAATTTAGTTAAGCTTTTGCTTTAAACAATTAAAAAATAAAAACTAGGTTATTTTAAAAGAAAGACAGTAACTCATTATAATCTGAAATTGGCTAATCTTGTAGTAAAAATAATGGGAAGTATTTTATGATCAATGGTAAGTTTGGAGAAAAAAGGTTTGTTAATAGAGAATCAAATGAATTTGAAGAAGAAAATAAGGAAAATATTTAAAATATATAAATAGAATCTACTAAACATATGAATTTTTAAATACAAAATGAATGCTAAGTTAATGAAAAATTAGGATCTTTTAAATAATTAATAAATTAGATTCACTGCAAAAATAAAGGAAAATAATATTGAATTTATTTTCATTTACTATACTAAAAAATTTGCAAAATATAGAGTTAAATATTATATATTATCAATAAATACAACTTCTCATTTTGTGAAAGATCTTAAATTTCACTAAAGAAGTTTTTTATTTACAAATTGTGCCAACTATTTTAGAAGTTATTTGTACTCATTTGGTAATTATTTAACTTCTTCATTTGTTATTGATTAAAAAGTAGTATAAAATTGATGCAGTTATTCTTGATTAAAAAGATTATAGGCAATAATTTCTTTTTTATCTGAGGGATTAGTATATTTAAATGATTATGCATTTTCCTCTTTAGTTTATAATTTTTCATGAGTGATGCATTATAATTGAAGATTTTTAGAGAAGGATTATAATTAATTATTCTTTGGAATTGCTTAATTAGTGTTACATCTATATTAGATTTTATTTTAATGCTAAGTCAGATTTATTTTTGTCTTTATGTCAGAATTATGTTTTTAAGGTGAACTCTATGTTTTCATTTTATTTTTTTATGGACATTTTGTAATTTCATTTGATTAAATTTGTGCTTTGAGCTTTCTTCTGAAATCATTAAATTGTTATAACAAGTCATTAGACTTCATGTGACAGTTAATAATTAATATAATTTCTTTAATTTATAATGGAATAAATAAAGTTTTTAAATATTATTAGTGATTAAACTTAGTAATTAAAAATCAAATTATGCCATATGAATAGTAATGTATTTAAGAATATATAATCTATCTATAAATTTGATAAATTAAAAAGAGTAATAGTTGTTTTTTAGAAATTAAAGATAATAAATATATTTGATTGATTATATATATTTTAATATATTATACAAAATATAGTTGTGTAAATATTATCAAAGTAATTTACGACATACAGGACATTGTTATTTAATTAATACCCATTATTAGAAACATTGATCATGGAAATGATGCCTATATTAAAATATTGATTTACATATTACTACATGGTAACTAGATAATCTTATCATTTTCAACATAATCAAACATGCAAATATTACATTATATAAAAGAAGCTTCCAATGAATTATTATAATGAAATATACGCATTTTCTTTATTTTATTCTAAGATTTTATATAATAATATACATTAGTTTGAATTTTTTTGATAATTTTGCAAGTGGACTTAAATATAAATAAAAAGAGTATAATAGGCATATACAATGTCATAGATATAATGGCTAATCCAAATCCAATAATGAGAAATGCAGAAAATAAATATCCAATTAATAAAAGTACAAAGGTTATATTGTTTAAATCTAAAAAATAAATATTAGTTAATTACTATCATCACAATCATTTGAATCTGATTAGAAATATGCAACATTTCCTCCTGTGAATATCAAATAGTAAACAAATTAATTATACACTTTCATGATTCTAGTATATTTGTTGAGAACTTCAGCCTAATGAATGATCTCATATTAAGTGAATGGAGGTTCAGTAATCCATTCTTCTTATGAAATTTCAAGAGTGGATAATTTCATTTTGATAAGAGTTTTGATTTATGCTCGTCTTGGATTTATTTAAATTGATTATTACCTATTCCTTTCTTACATGCCACTTAGATTCATTGATTCATTTGATGTTTTGGTTAACATATCAGCCATAACTAATAAGAAAATATCCTTTGAATTCATCTATAATGAATGTAGGACTGCTAAGTATCTATATTAGGATTATTGAAATACCGAATTGAATTGAAAAATTCATACATACCCACAATTGTTAACCATACAACTAATGGATTGAGATCACACTTTTAATCCCTCTATTATAAACTGTAAAAACACACAAGATATTTTCCAAAACTAAAAAGTAAATAAAAACCTGATGTAAAATAATAAGAAAGTACCTATATATTTATATGATTCTTTGAATTAGATTCTGAAATGTTATTTGAGAAATTTAAATTTTATCTCATCTCTATCTTTAGTAATATACTTGCTTTAATTCTCAGAACTTTCTTCAATTTATCCAATCATAATTATATATAATAATTGTAAAATAATTAGATTCAGATAATTATAATTTTACAACAAAATATATATATATAATTAATAATATAAATGAAAGGTCTGAATTAGAGATTTCCTCATTCTAGATAAGATTCAGGATAAGCAAATAGAGCCGATAAAAGCTTACTTAATTAAGGAAACCAAGGAGCCTAAAATATACATAATAATAGGTAAAGGATATAATATAAAGTAATTTAATAGATGGAATGAACACAACGATCATTCTCCATCTCCATTAATGCATGCCATGTAGAAGATTTCAGTATAGTCTAGTTAATCTACATCTGCTAATCATTCTAAAAAATCATCTATTTCTAAACCTAAATAAACTTAATAGATGTCATTTCTAAATTATTTAATACTTAAAAAAGAAGATGAAGAACAAGAGAAATAAGCAGTTCAACAATAATAGAATTAACATAAACAATAATAATCATCATTCATGTAAAATAACTACTTTCCAAATGAAGTTGTTGTTTAGAGAAATATGTTTAATTTTTTATATGTTATTGGAATTGGTGGGTTTGGTAAAGTATGGAGAGTAGAACATAAAAAAAATGCTTAGACTTATGCAATGAAAGAGATGTCTAAAGCTTTGTATTAATATATATTCATAAAAAAAGGATCATTGCTAAAAAAAGTGTAAATTCTGTTATGAATGAAAGAAGTATATTAAGTAACCTTAAACATCCGTAATAATTATTTATATTTAAACTCTAGCTTTCTTGTTAATATTTACTTTGCTTTCTAAGATAGGGAAAACTTATTTTTAGTATTAGATTATATGTAAGGAGGAGATTTGAGATATCATATAGGAAGAATGCGTAGATTTAGTGAAGATCAAACAAGTAAGTTTTCATTGTACAACAAAGAGGATTTTTTATGGCATGCATCTTTCTAGGATTAGAACATATGCACTCTAAAAATATTATACATAGAGATATCAAACCAGAAAATTTAGTATTAGACAAAAATGGTATTAATACAATGAAATTAAAAGGATATATTAGAATTACTGATTTAGGTATTGCTAGAGTTTTGAGACCTGATAATGCTTAAGATACAAGTGGAACACCTGGATATATGGCTCCTGAAGTAATGTGTCGTTAGAACCATTCATATGCAGTTGATTACTTTGCTTTAGGAGTCATAGGTTATGAATTTATGCTTGGCAAAGTATTTATTATAAACTAGAATAGAGGCCTTATACAGGAAGATCTCGTAAAGAAATTAGAGATTAAATTTTGGCAAAACAAGTCTAAATTAAAAGATCAGAAATTCCTGATAATTGGTCTCTAGAATCAGCTGATTTTATCAATAGAGTAAACTTTTAATTTCATATATATAAATTAGTTAATCTAAAGAAAACCTGCAAATAGATTAGGTTTTAATGGACCATAGGAATTAAGATAACATTCTTGGTTTAAAAATTTTCCATGGTAAAAACTCTATAATAAAGAGTTAAAGGCACCATTTATTCCTCATGTAATTATTAGTTTAATAATATATATAGTAAACAGAGGATAACTTTGATGCTCGATAAATATCAATTGAAGATGAAGAAAATAATGAATTGATTCAACAAAATGCTATAATGTTAAGGAGAAATTCAATCTAAGGTATGAGACAATCTAAAATTAGCATTATTTAATGGATATGAACTTGATAATTTTACTTAGGCAAGTGAACCTATAAAATAATAACTAACCAATAGTAATTATTGATTTATTCTAATTTATTTTATTTAATAATAAATTATATTAAATGAAAATTAAATTGCTTTCTAAATAAAGATATATATATATATATATATATATATATATATATATATATATGGTAAAATTAGATTTATTTTGAGTTAATTCAAGAAGATGGAATTCAATGATTAATATTTATAATTATTAATATACCTATATTACTACTATGATATATATCATCAAGCTTTTTGTTTTTGCTCTAATTGTCTTTTTTTTTATGATTCCTTATCCATTGGTAACTTAATAATATATGATTTATATACTTTCAATAATTCTTTGAGGGCAGGATCAGTAAGATCATGAGTAGACTTATATTTAGTCTCATCCAACTTCAAACCTGAAATTTAAATTGTGCTATTGGCTAGAACAGCAACAGTAATTGTGAATTATGCTACAATACTATTTGGACTAATCAAAATTGGATATGGGTTCAATAATTCATGTTTTGCACATTCTTAAACTGCTAATTTAGCTGTAATTTCATCTTCGAAAGCTCTCAATGAAAAACATAAAGATGGATATTTTTCATAGACTTCTTACATGAAGGCTCTACCATGTTTAGTTTTTAATTAATATTATCTATCTAATGCTCTTTTATAGACTGTAGTTCTTAATTCAGACTATATGAATAAGATAAGAATTATACTTCCTTTGTTTTTCCATCACCTGTAGTAATGTAAACATCTAAAACAAAAACATCATTAACTTGAATTTCTTCTTCATCAACTCTTTATTCTTATGTTTCTCTATTAATAATGACTTTATTTCCATCAATAAAATGTCTTTTGACTTCATGACTTAAAACACCTTCTAAAGGTGTGCATTTATGATCATCTGCAATTTATTAAATAAGTTTTGTTAAAGCTGTATTTGTAGTACCTGGTTTGATTGATCTAAAAAGAGCTTAAACTGATTAATAAGCAGCCAATATCACATCAGCTTTTTAGCCTTCTACTTAATCTTCTCCGACTACAACTGTGTGTGCAGCAATTGCAATATATCCATCAATATGTACACCCAATTAACTATTGTTTATAATAAATTTTACATCTTAGCAACATCTCCCTTTGCTAAATTACTGCTTTCACTCTTTAATGGAGAATAATGTCCGCATATTTAATTTACAGAAATAGTTGTTGGAAATGCCAAGCCTTTTTCAATATTTTTCTTATTGTAAACTTTTTATAGTTCTCCATTAATTTCTTAATCTCCAAAAGCACAAATGGAAGCAATGTCAGCATCTGGCTATATTTTAGCAATCACTTTTTCAAGAACAACTAATCATTAATAAATTAAAAAAAATACCATTTACAATCTTACCTGCATTTTAATATTTATCTAATACTCCTGGAGTGGCAATTGATTCAAGCTTATCTTATTCTGTTTATTAATCCATATTAAATTTAAATATTTATTTAAATCTTTATATATTTTATAATCATATATTTATATATTTAGTTAATTTGTCAACTGCAAAACCCCAATGATTCCCACATATTCTCCTAATCCTCATATTAATCAACTTTAAATTTTGGCAACCACAAACCAAAGTCCACTTCAGGAGTGAATACTTAATCCAATGTTAATTTGAAAGCATCGTCTAACATTCTAGGAATCAGCATTTTTAACAGATTTGAACTCTCTTCCAAACATGGATTTGCATTAACTTCTATCAACCACAATTTAAGATTTTCATCAATCATAAAATCATAACCTAATAATTGCATTCCATATTTTCTATTTCTTTTATTCAATCTAGTTGAATTCATAGTTATTTTAACCACATCTTTTATCATTGGCCAACCCTACTTTCTAAAATTATAGGTTGTCTCTTATTAACTACTTTTAATTTTTAGACTTACTCTAATAATTATTAAAATCTATTCAAAGATAGTTGATTACCATCTTCAAATTATCCATAATTTTGGGCATTCTTTTAAACTGCATTATTTGTCAAATGTATATATCTATCTTTCTAATTTATTATTTTTTATTTTACATTATCTAATGAAAATGCTGTTCCACTAGTTCTAATATAAGCTTCCTTAAATAAAAAGAATTGCATATCTTAAGATATAAGAACCCAACATCTTATATCAAATTTTCTTCCACTCAACAATAATGGTCTCTCAATATATTTTTGAATCACAAACTCTTTACACTCATAATTCCCTTTTCCATAATAATATGATTTAATTAAAGTTTCTACTTCTTCAAGAGTACTGAATACATGAACACCTTCTCCCCTATTCCAATCAGCTGGTTTTAAAAGCCATAAATATTATGTTTTACTAGTCAAAGTATCCTACATTTTATATGTCTTAATTCCATTATAATTGACTTTTGTACTTGCCAGATTTGATACATAAAAATCAAATTCTAAAGTGGATTTCATAGATGCTTATACTAATGGATTATTTGTTTGATAAAATTCTGTAAATTATTAAATATCTTTCATCCAATCCTAATTCTTAAAATTTATCATAAAAACTAAAGGTATGATATCAAAAGTTTTCTCAATATTATTATAATATTAAAGTAATGATTAAGATAAACCTAAAGTTAATTCACATAAATACCTGTCTTTGAAGTAATGTTCTTATGAAATTCAAAGAAATTATACATTACTCTAGCAAATTAACTCTCTGATTGAGTTAATCTATTAAAATCCATACCATTATATGATTATTACCACATAAAGTGTTTATATTAGAATGTTAAAGGTACAGCAGTCCAATATTATTCTCGCTTTTATAATATTCGTTTTACTAGTTCTCCATTATTTCCAGGTCCAACATAATAATTATACTTTTGATAATTACAACATGTACCTTTAATTTAGGCAAATCTCTATCTCTGTTGATTTTTAAAGGAGGATTTAATGCAGGAATTGGTATTCTTTATCTATTTGCAAAAGGAGTATAATTATTTGGATTGATTTATCTTTTATTTTATTTTTCCAAACTTTCAGATAAAAGTCTTGGGGGAAAGAAATCCTATTTGTATTATCTTGCCATTTGTCTATTTGTTATTAGAGGTAATGATGGCAATTATGGTTATTCCTCTGAAACTTCCATTAATGGTATTTCTTTTCCTGCCAATAATTTATCTCTCTGTTATTATCTTGCTATGTAATATTTAACTCCATCAGCATATATGTTTAAACTTCTAGCTAAGTCAGGTTTTTATTTAATTATCTTTTCTAATGTTTTTTTTTATCTATCATCAGCTTTACACAATAATTCCAAATTATGAAAGTTTCCTAAAGATTTACTTTGAATTTATTCTTCTTTCTCTTTTTTTTTTAATTTTTTCTCTTTTGTGGCAGATGCCATTTTAAATAATAAATAAATCAAATATATTATAAAATTATCAGTTATAAATTTATGAAATCTAATGTTAATTTAAAGTTGTTTCAAGTGTTAGAATATTTCAGTTTATAAAATTCATATTTAATGATTTATTAAGATAATAAATAAAATATATAAAATAAATGTACGACTTTTCGAGAATGTAAAAATTAGTGGATAGAATGTAAAAACTATAGCCTTCAAAGCCTCCTCCAGATACAAGGTTCTTACCTGAAGAATTAAAGAAGGAGAAGGTTATTGAGGATCCAAAAAAATTAGAAAAAAAAGCGAAAAGATAACTCCTCATAAAAAATTAAAAGGGTTCAAGTGGTTTGAAACCAGTCGAAGATGAAAGATTATTGCTCATATAGAAGGAGAATTACTTAAAGAAAAAGTAACGGGAATTAGAGATGGAATAAGTAAAAAAAGAATTAGAAGAACAAAAAAAGTTAGAAAAGCAAAAATTAGAAATAGAAACTCAAAGAGCATTATAGGCTGTTAAAGGCAAAAAGGAGTATATAATAAATTATTATATTAGGTTATCATAATTGGAAAGGGAAGAAAAAATAAAAAAGCAAAATGATAATGAATTTCTAAAAAGAAAATAAAAAGTGAATAATTCAATTTAGATGTCTTCAATTGATGCATCATATGTATCCTAAAACTAAAATTTAAATAATTCTTTGATTAAGAAATAAATTTTAGATTATCACACACTTCCTAAGGAGTAATATAATCGCATTTATCGTTAACCGGCTGTAAGTCCCCCAAAATGAATTCATTAATTATATTCATCCAAAATTTAGACCTTAATTATTAATGTATTAATTTTAATAATAGATATAGAATTCTAATATTTCAATTTAATTTTTATCTTTAAGATAAAGTTCTTTTAGCTTCTTAAAATTTCTTTTGAAATTCTGATAACTATGTTTATTCTCCATTATTTGCTATAAAAGATTAATTATTCTCTTTATTTTCATCCTATAATACTTACTGAATTGGAGTTTAAAATTAAAATAATCTTTTAGTTCTATCCTCTCTTGCTTTTTCATATAATTTTTTTTCATTGATAGTAGGTTCCACAGTTTCTAATGCTCTCAAAGACATAATTTTTAATTTAGTAGATCTGATATCTTCAATTTATTAGATGATGCTCTATGGATCCAATTAATATTATAACTATAATGAAGCACCCCAAGTATTTCTTTCAGTAAGAATGGTTCTAGTAAGTTAATCTATCTTTCTATTATTAAGAGCAATATAATTAAAAGCCATGATAGCTTAACTTTAATCTGGATGATCAGGGAAATAAGATTCTATATCACTTAAAACATCATTTAATTTCTATAAATATATTGATTAACATTAATACATCCATTTATGCTTAAATTTTTTGAACTTCTGCATCAATTTCTTTAACTTTTTCGCACATAGTATCATCTGCAACCTATATAAGTTCAGACTCTTTCAATTAAAGAGCTTTGTATAATTCTTAAAAGTTGGATTAAATCTACATTTTTGTGGAAGTGTTGATTTCAACTAATTCTTTCTTTTTTGCAGCAAATTTACATTAATCCTATAATAATTAATCTTGACTAGATTTGACCTTTTAATAAAATTAATCAGCCTAAAATATATGAATGACTTTACTTTTGTTGTTCTAATAATTGAATAAGATTTTTAGACATTCTTTACTTCATGATTTTTATGTAATCCTTATAGATAACATTCCATACAAAAACAAGGTGTTTCACATGAATAACAATAAAGTAATGCTTCTTCACTAGCATGTTATTAACAAGTCACAGTTAATCCTTGTTGAGTATTAAGATGAATTTATGATGTTTTTGAATGAGTGGATGCTTAATATTAGATTTGCTATCTTGAGCTTCTTAAATTTGCAGTTGACATTCGAGATGACTGTAATTTATACATATCTTATAAGACTTCAATAGCAGATGGATCCAAGAGGGTTTATGAAGAACAGATCTCACAAACTAATGTTTGACATTATAGTTTATTATAGAGTTTAGCTGAACATAAAAGACATAAATTATGTTCACATGATAAAGCTAATATTTAATCTACTTCATTTCCACATTTAGTACATTCCAAGAGATCCTCCATTTAACTGCTAATTTAAATTTGAATATAATTAATAAATATATAAAATTTCATTTAGCAGCTAATGCTTATAATAAATTAGTATGTATTTATAATAAAGCTTTTTGCATGTCATCTTAAAAATGAGGTCTTTTAGCATAAAATCCTTAAAATTGACTTTCCTCATAAACACCAACAATATATCTTTCATCATCAAATTTTTCTAATTTTTCTAATCTGACAACTAATTTTGCATCAACAACATCAACTAAATTTAATTAAATAATTCTATATTCTGGATTTCTATTAAGTACTCTCAAATCAAAATATTTCATAAAATGAATTTAAACAAGTGATACCATACATTTAATTAAAAATATTTATCCTGGTATTTCCATCAAAGCAGGTAGAATATGTACTAATATAACAAGATCTCCTACAATCATCATTTATTATGTTTTTGTCATATCTAATTATTTTTCTTTCCAAAATAATACTCTTCTGGCTACAAATAATCCTCTATCTATTTCTGGTTAATCAAAAAACTATAGATATGATAAAAATTTCAATTCTGGTATCATAAAATCATTTGTACAATAAGTAACTAAACTAGTCATTAGATATTTCATTGCATTTGTTATTTACATATATGATTAATCTATTTCTTATTCTGTCAATGGTTTTTCTGGATTCTTTTGATAACAAAGAAATATACAATAAAATCTATTTCTTTTATTTTAGTTAAATAATTTTCAACTTTTGCTAAGACCATTTTGCACCAATCATTAATACGTTTCAAAGCTACAGAATAAGAAATTTTTTATATCACTGCTTTACACTCAACAGAATGTTTATACAATTTTCTCCATAAAATATTTAAAGGTTTGCAATATATCTTCCATCTCATAGCAAGTCGAACTGCATTAAAAATTACTTTTAGTCTGGATCCTTGGAATGGCACTTTCTTGTCTCCTTTCTATATTAAGCTAAATTTATAATACATCAGAGAAAAAACTTTATTTAGTTTATTGATTAGATCTCTTTGAAACTAAAGGTATTGTCTTTTGACTAGATCTTCTTGAATTTTAGCCTTGTGAACCAGCAGTTTTTGTCTTAATTTTACCAACTGATTAAGGGTTTTATTAATTTGCTTAACCATCTTGGGGTTAAGATTAAGGTTGAGGATAATAAGGAGATTGATAGGGATTGTATTAATAAGGTTATTAATATAGTTATTGTTAAAGTGGATATGGAGGAGGTTATTATCCATAAGGTGAAGGAGGCTATTATCCATAAGGAGGATAAGGTGGAGGATAATATGGATAAGGTGGAAAATATTGAGGTTATTATATAGGTTAAGGCATTTATTAATAAATTATCTATGGAGGTTGTATAATTGGCTATTAAGGCTATTAAGCTTATTGGAAGAATGATTGTCTTAATGATGAAATTTCATGTTTTATTTCATTTAATTACTCATATTAAGGCAGTTTTGGTAATTTTAGATGTATAGTTTGAACTTAAGTTTTTAAATTCTCAAGTTCTTGCTTAAAAAGTTAAGCTTTATTTATCTTGATTATCCATTTATAATCTTACTTCTCTTTATTCTTTTAATAATCTCTTTAGAGTCTAGTTTTATTAATCTATAGCCTGCTACATTTGAGCTACTTCCTCATTTACTGATTCTTCTGGTAATGTTGACAATTTTGGAAACTAGAAGGATTTATTCAAATGATTAGATTATCTAATTCCACTTTTTTGACTAGGATCATGATGAAATTTAACATCATATGATGGTCTCATAAATTAATCAAGTAAATCCAACTGATTTCTCAAATCATCTTAACCTATTTAAGGTTTCTGATAGGATGATGCTCTTTTCTCCCTATAGTACATTTTATATTAATTTTAAACATAATATATTTCAAAATATTAAACTTCGTTTTTACTACACATTCTATTTTATTTGCATCATGAAATGTTTCCTTTTTTAATTTAAGAATATACGACATTTAAATTTGTTTAAATCTCTTAAATTGAATTTGATTTATTTTACAGATAATAGAAAGAAAGATCTATAAGAATTCATCAAAATAATGGATATTTATATCTGAATATAACAATAGATAATTAATAATTATTATATTTTATAGAATTTTAAAAGTAAAATCTTTATTACCCAATGTCAGATGATGATAGTGTATATTTGTCATAAAATGAAATTTCTTTCTAAAATCATAATGAAATTTCAAAAAGTAGTTACTAGAGATTAAAAGATTTAATCCCACCTAATGAAAAAGTGTAAAGATTGAAGAGAAATTATAAATCAAAATTTTGGAATGAAAAGAACACTGAATTATTATATCGTTTAAATGCTGTGTTCTCTGGAAGCATTGATATGATTTATAATTATTTCAAAAAACATGTCGATATCAATATTACATTGAAAAAGATAAAATAAAAGTTCAAATAAGAATAGAGAAATAATCCTTAAAAATTATTTGATAAATGTAAGAAGCCTAAATTAAAAGAAAAATTATAATAAAAATTAGAATAGGTGGCTAAAATGCAATCCTTAAATTTAGTAGTTAGATGGAGCCAAGTATCAGAGATTGATGAAAAATAAATCTAAGGAGAAAACTAATAGGATACTGAAATCTAATAACATTTATTTAATGAGATAAATGATTTGTTAAAAACAAATAGATTAAGATAAACTTAATAAAAAAGTCAATAATTATGAAAATGAATTTTTACTAATTATATTGAATATTTATTTATAAAGGAATAAAAATTATATATTACATCAATTTTGAACAAGAAAAATCTAAAAAACATTCATTAATCGATGTAAGCTAAACTGCGTTGATAATTCAAATTTTAAAATTTATTTGCATTTTGATTATTTAAAGAATTAAGGGATCCTTAAGATGATTTGAATTTGTTAGTGCTTTTATTTATTATTTAATCTATAAGAGTCAAAGATTTTGGAGGTATCATTGAAATGATTGTTTATTCATCTAATGGTGCTCTACAAAGAGGACATATCTAATTTAATAATATTATTTACCTTAATTTTTTCAATCCAAAGTCTTAAGCATTTAGAATGATAAAGATGTTTACAATATGTAATTTTAACATTATTTAATAAAGTGAATCTTTCTAAACAAATGGAACAATACTAACCATCTGTATGAATATAAGGAATATCAGAGTCTTTGATTTCTTAAAATTTGTATGTTGGCATATATAAATCAACATAAGTTGGAATGGGTTCTGTTTATAATTGTTATCTTGATAAATCTATTTTATTTTTAAATACCTTTGAACAACAACAAGCAATAATTAAGAATAATATTATTGATAAAATAATGATTAATAACAACATTATACTTGATATACCTTCTTCTTAAATATTGTTATCAAATATCTCTACATTATTTACATCTATAATTTTAAATAAATAATAAGGAATCTATTATACTTTCAACTCATCCTAAACTTAATATGTGATATTTTAACAATTCTTTATTTGATCATGATCTAATTATATCATATTGGTTAAAACTTAAGATCCATGATTAACATAAGGTTTCTCAGCATAACATTATTTTCTAAGAGGAATGGAATTTGATAATAATAATAAAAATGTAGTTCTAGTTAATTATTTGATGTTCAAATAATATAAATATTTTGAAGAAAGTGTTTTCTATTCCAAAATATTCAATCCTTATATACTACAATCATCTCCAAATGATCCTTACAAACATTCACAAACTCCATAAAAACAACTACCTCCATTATGACATTCTCTAATTTTATTTAATTTCTTTACTTTGAACAACTGTATATTGACTATATCTCTGCTTAAATGCTATAAGATGATTGTGATTTTGAGATTGCTCCAATAAATAATCCAGTATCCTAAAATTCATAAATATTGAAAATATGATGATATCGACCAACAATTAACTTATCTTAAAGAGAAAACATCTATTTTTTATTCTTATCTTCATATGCATTTACATCATACCAACATTATTCTCTACATATTATAATATGTTTTACTTTATAATTGAATCATAATTCATTGAAATATTAGCATTTGGTTTATTAGAACATAATAAAAGTATTGGTTTTTCTCCATCTAAATGTGAAAGACCAATAGTAATTTTTGATTTTTAAGGAAAACCATTTTTTGTTATATTCCTTATTTAGAAAACTTAAATTCCAAATACTCTGAGATAATTCTATTCGATTTTTTGGTTAACACTTAATTGGATACAAGTAAGAAATATTAAAATGATCATTTTAAATTAATTTTTTTATACCAAATAGTTTATATGTTTAGAAAATTCAGTAATCATTCTATTTAATTTACAATTCTAATTTATATTAGATAACTATAGACATATACCTAATTGTTGAACCAGTATCAACAAATACAATAAACTTTTATTTCCTATAGTTTTCAATAGTATTATTATTATTTTTCATCTTATTACTAAGTTTAAAAGAAATTAACAAAGAGACCAGATCTAATCCATACTTTTTTATTGTTCTTTCACAAAGAAAAGATTGTTATCATTTATTTTTCCAAATTTCTCTTAATATTAAAGTACTTTGATAATATTAAATTAGAATATATTTGAATATTACAACAAAATTTTATTAGAAACTAAAATATTGCTTAAAAAATAATAATTTGCATATTATATCAGATATAAATTAGTAAATTTTATTATTTAAAGATTTATCAGAATCTATATTTTATAGAGATTCTCAATTAAAATATGATAAAAATTAAAATGATCTTATTAGATTAAATTTAAAGCATACTTGATAGATGATTATTCTTATTCTTATGAAGATTTAGCAATATGTAAAATTCTTATGTTAACTAATATATTAATATACTTTGACATACTTAATATAGATATATCTTAATTATTTTCAGCATATGAAATTTCTCCCAGCTTTTGATTTCTATTTTAATTGATTTCATTTATATACTTCACATCTTTTCATCAATCTACTTTACTTTCTTGTATCCTAAAAATTATAATAGTTTTAGTACAAATTAGTGTAAATTGATAAGAAATGAATATTTGATTTAATATCGATTATGAAAATAAATTCAACTTTTTAATCTCTCAATCTAAATCCTTAAAATAATAACCTATTATGAAAATTTTAATAGAAAAGAATATCATAAATTTAGAAATTTTTATTTGTTACTTAAATAATATTTAAAATATTGATTAATATTTTTAAGTTAGTAACAAATAATATAAAGATGAATCCCAATATTATTTTTATTACTTATGCATTAATTAATCTTTTCACAAAAAGATTGGACTACTAACTGCTATTTTGATATTAGACAGCAATGGATATGAATTAAATATCTTTTCAAGATGAATAATATTATTATTTATCTTGTTAAATATTAAATTGGATAATTATTTAATAGAGTTTATTTTCTTTTCAAATTTAATTATAAGAATTAAACAAATATTTTAAGAGTGGGTGATAATAGCTTTATATTATATTTTTAAGATTAAAAATAGTTTGACTATTAAATTCTGATAAGGGAATAATCTTAATTATTAATGATATATTGTTTGATAATAATAGGAAAAATATAATTTACAAAAATACACAGATAAATAATAAACCTTATTAAAAATATTTAATTATTAAAATAATATTCTATAGTCTTTTGGATAAAAAACAAATCATTTATAATGATTAATCAAAAACCTGTTTTAACTGATTCTATATAAAAATTATCAGATAATCTTTTGCCTTAATTGTTTAATCGATATTATATTTCGAGATGGTTGAAAGAATATCGTTCTTTTATAGCCCTGTTTAGTTTATTCAACTCTTCTTATATAATTGGTTTTTATTTTAAAGAATCTTAAGATTTACATGCCCTTAAATATTTTTAATTAATACCAATTTTTTTCAAGTGATTTAATTTGTACAGGCTTAGGTCTTCTAGATTTGTATTAAGAAGGAATGCTGTAAATTGAATAAGATCCGTCTGATTGATCTAGATAATGTCTTAGGAGAGCTTACCCAATAATTCAAGGATGCCTTTCTCTAATTCTTATTTACTTGCATTTTTCTGATAAATTTACAAAATTTCTTAGGTTTTTTTGTCACCTTAAATTAGCAAATCTGTTAAATCACAAGCAAAAAGTTACCTTTTAGTTCTCCCTTTTATGATTAATTTATAACATTTCTTCGACACATTTCATATAATGTAAACAGATATTAACTTTCCTTACTAGAAGTAAACTACATGTATTTAAAAAAAAAAGTAAATTTATAAATAAATTATGAACTGTTAATACACAAACAATAAAATAATAGATATTGAAAATTAAATCTAAAAAGTATTCATATTTACTAAATGATATTTAACATATATGTAGAATAACATGAGATTTAATTATATTATATATTCTTAAAAAGATTTCCATTTCAAATTAATCAAATAATGTGCTTAAGTATTTTTAATTTTACAATTAAATTTTTTATTGAATTATGAAATCACTTAATATGTCAAATTACATTTCTTGGGTAGTATCAAAAGTATTAGTAGTTAGATAATCTATTTTCAAATTCTATTAATAGATTACTTTTCCAATTTGATTGTATTTTTAATTCTCATTGTTGATTGTCTATATATTCTACTCAAATAATTATATCTGTTTTTTAAAAATTATTAAGTTATCAATTTAAAAAAATATATAAAAATAGAATATAGATAAGTAATCAATTTTTGAATTAAAAAAAGAAATCCTTTATTAAATATATAGTTATAATTTGACTTGTAGAGATTAAATAGAAAATTATGAAAAAGACATGTTCAGAAGTTGATACTTCAAAATTATTAAAACAACGAAGAAATTAAATTGATTTAATTTATTGTGTTGAAGAAAAGAAAAAAATAAAATTGGTTTTAAAAACTATTATTATAATAATTAAAAGATATTTATGATGAGATATTAGAATAGGGAAAATATTATAATAGTTAATAGTGAAAAGAATTAAGGCGCAATTTTTTAAATTTGTTTTTTACTTTAAATTATATTTAGTAATAAATAAATATGTTATAAAATTCTTGTTTTGATGATAATGTTGGGATGGAAATTGAAAATTAATTAGGAACTAGAGATGAATCAAAAAATTATGATGAAAATTAGAGATTAAATATATTTCAAACACTTAAAAAATAGGATTATTTGGAACCTGAAATTTAGTTGAATGAATCATAATAATCGCCTTAATTTATTTTGTAATATAAAAATTAGAGAGAATCAACACAATACTAATAAAGTATAAATTTTAATTATAGATAGATTCTGAAAATGAAAATAGCGCAAAATAAAATGAAGATGAATTTTAAGTAAATATAAATTTTACACCAAAAAAAAATGAATGTCTATTTACAGAGTTGAATAATTTGATAGTTTAGGCTTAAGAGAGAATATAAAATTTATCTTAATTATCACCAAATACAAATGATATAAGTTAATGTAATGGAACATATAGTGAAATTAAATAATAAATATTTGAAATTGAGAAAGTTTATAAAAGTATTTATTATAAATTATTTTATAAAAAGGTAAAGATGATGAACTTTCACTATTAAATCTTTAATTGGATAAGGAATTCAATTCTTGTTAAAATCAAAAATATTTAGATCTTCCTACAAACAATTAAATAAATTAATCTTTTGAAATATATAAAAGATATCATTAAATTTAAGAAATTAAAAAAAATAAACTTTAAAAATTTAAGAAAAGATACCATGAAAAATATAATCTATTAAAAAGTGACCTTAATTAGTTAAAGTCTATAGTTATATAATTATTTTAAAAGAACTAATTTACTTTAGAAAATGAGTAATGTTTTTTGGAATTTGCCAAGATGTGTTATACAAAATCAAAATAGATAGAGTATATAGATAATAGTAATTAAGAATTGTAAAGTTAATAATAAGAATCTCTTAAATAAAGAAATAGTTAATATTTAGATTCGTTTATTTTAACATTGATGAAATAATTGAATATAAATTAAGGAGATATAGAGAAGATTAAATTATAAATTATTTAATGTATAATAAACTAAAAAGATCTAATTTAATAATATTAAATTTAATTAGAAACAATTTAGACCAATTAAAACTTAAGTACCAATCAATAAATAAATAAATTGAAAAAAATAAATGATGAATTAGAAAATGAATTGATATAGTTAAAATAGCATAAAGAATAATAACAAAAAGTTTTAGATTAAAATAAAAAGGAAATTTAAGAACTTAATTATACATTAGAATAAATAGAAAAAATGGATTTAAACTAATAAAACTCTAAATTACTTCAATATGAATAAATTTCAATGAAACATTAATAGAAACTAATTTCAATAACTTCAATAATATTTTAATAATTAATTGAGTCTGTTTCATATAAATCATAAATAAAGAAAAATTTATAAGAAAACTTTTAACACTTAAATACTTATTTCAATAAAGCTAATGAAAATATTAATAAATAAATTTGGAAATAAGATGAAGATCCTATAAAATACTTATATTATCATTTATAAACAGTTTAGAAAATGATGGATATAATTTGTGCAGAATACTCTAAAATGATAAGAGAGATATAATAATAAAGATAAGAATTAATATCTTAGCTATGATTTTATTTTTTTATTGTATATATTATTAAATAACCTCATTATTCAACATTAACATTCTATTGAGTGTCTCCTTACTTTTATTATCTATTTCTATTTCCACCTCTCTGTGGTTTCTATTATGGCTTTTTTTATCTAAAAGAATATAAAAAATGAATAACCTGCGTTCAATGGTTATATATTCTTCATCGGAACTATGTTAACTTTAATGATCATTATTGTATTATTATTCTACTACTTCCTTCTTTTCTTACCATTCTTCCTTTTATTATCTATCTCTATTGTGATATTATCTGTTTCCTCTATAAGGTCTATTTTTATAATCATCTCCATTATTTCTTCTATCATAATTATTATCGTGATGATAATTCTTCTTATAACCTTTTCTTGGATTATCATTTTAATAATTTTATCTATGTCCTTCTCTATTTTAATGAGTTTTCTCTTAATTATCTTATTTTTCATTCTAATCTGGTTATTATTATTATTCCTAAGGTTGATTTGTATTTTATTCTTAATTGGTAATTTCTTATTTTTAAATATCATCAGAATGTTAATTATCTTATTAATCTAATGTTTAATGTACTTAAGTCCTAGTTTCTTCTTAGAATGATTTTTTTGGACTAGATTTCATTAATACATATTACTCTTATTATTATGTCTATTCTTTCTATGTTTCAACAATTTCTTAAGGTTAAGGTGATTCTTATTTTAATGTTTAGACTTCTTAAACTTCTTTTTATGGTTCAGATTATACTTAATGTTTCAACTAAATTAATTATTTATATATTTACATTCAAACCCTTCCATGATTGATCTTTCTTTCTCAATTACCCATTTACTCTATTTTAAAGTATTTTAGCAAGTTCATAAAGTGAATTATGTTCTTGAGAAAGAAGGGCAACTGTGTCTTGATTTTCAGATAAATGCTCTAAAATGAGAATGAATGCTTCTTAAGTTAGGAGTGTTCCACTTTATTCTGCTTCTCTCTTTGCTGATAGCCAATTAGTTAATTAAGCTTCAAATTCCTTTAATTTTTCATTGTTTTCTTCTTTACTTTAAATCTTTTGAACTTATTCTGGCTTTAATTCTTTTGTCTTTGATAATTCTTCCAAATCAGCTATGTCCTTTAATTTCTTCTGTATATTTCTAGATTTTTTAGAGAGGTAATTGAAATAGAAATCCTTCTCTTCATTTTTAACCTAGTCCCAAATTGATTATTTCTTTTATTGTTTCGCTCCTTTCATAAATATGTATTTTTTAAAAATATTTAAATTAAAAACCTCAATAATTTGATGCAATACGAATTGGTTAGACTTATTTATTATTTGTTTCCATTAAATAACTTGCCTAACTATTTCAAATTTAATCCTGCTTAATTCTATTCCATATTCGTTTTTATACTCAATTAAATAAAAAATGGAAAACAGAGAATAAGATGTTCCAGCAAAAGAAAACCCAATTGCTGAAGTAAGATTAGAACAGAAATTAAATGAAATAGAAGAAGTTGGGGAAAAGGGTATAAATGAGATTGAGAAATACTACAAAATAACAGGATCTCCAATAAACAATGCAATTATTGTTTAGATTTTTATATGTGCTCTTGCTTCAGGAAGCACAGCTCTTGTGAATTCTTTAGGTCCAGTTCGTTGGTTGATTAGCTTAATACCTGTGTTTAACCTATTAAATTTCATTATCTATGCTGTTTTCTTAGCATTTTTATAGTTTGGAAGTCCATTTTTCAAAAAGGTATATACATTTTATTAATATAATATAGAAACCATGGAACTTCTTATTTTTTAGTATTCACTTTATTGGTAAGTTTTCATTCATGGTATTCTATGGTGTAAACTATCCATTAAGTAAATTTGAAGTATTTTATTTCCTTTGTGTATTTGGTTACCTCTATGTTTTAGCTTTGGTTAGAAATAGAGATGCAGGATTAAATGGAGTAGATTTTACAATTAAAGGAAACTTTTTCTAACTAGCCGGTCTTGGAATATTTTTGGGTTTCTTTTTGGTATTCTTTAATATTTGACTGTTAGGCACTTCTTACTTAAGCAGGATTTTGGCCAATGATTTGGTAACCAGTTTTAGGAGTACTATATTTCCTATACCTTTTACTTGAAGTTTAGAGATTCGATGGAAGTCTTGAATATTTAAGAGAAGGAAAAAATGCATTATTTTTGGGAGCAGCTCAAATTGATGCAGATTTATTATGGTTTTGTCCTTTGGCTCTATTTCACATTAAATCAAAAGGTGATAATATAGTAAATAAAGCATAAGAATAATTTGAAGGAGCTAAGGAAGAAACTAAGAAGTTGATTAATTCTGAATAGAATGTATGAATTGATTAAGAAAAATAAAATAAAATAAATAAAATATATTTATTTAAGTATTTTAAAAATAAGATTTCATTGATCACTGATATATCAAATTATATTTCTTTATATATAATAATTTTCTAGAGATTGCATTCATTATTACAATTATTTACATAGATATATATATTCTTAATTTTTGCATATAAACTTAAGAAATTAGAGGTATTTATAAAGAAGGTTTGAATGTGAGAGAGGAAAGTGCACATTAATTACATTGTCTTAAAATTGCAATTGTATCTTGATGAATATTATATTAAAGTATTTAGTTAATATTATAATGAATGTATAAATGAAAAAATTGCTGAAGACAAATAAAGATTTTGGCAATCAATATCTAGACTTTACATAATTATTTGAAAAGAAACTTAAATAACCTACAATAAATAATGATTGCAAGAAGGACTTAATTGATTAATATAGACAACGCAATTTCAAACATGAACCTTAACCGTTCTATGAATCATCAGAAATTATTGTATATGGATCTTTTGAGAATTCAAACATCATGGCTGTACAATAAGAAGGCAATGAATTGAATATCTTATTGAATGGTGACACTAATACTAATGGATGTACCTAATGGTTTTATTTCGGTATTTTGGTCAAATAGCCTTAATAATTGACTTTTCGAATTCTCAACAATCGAAGAGGTAAATCTCTATTAAAAGAATACAACCACATTCGAGTATATGATAACAATAAATGGAATAGTGAAACTACTAAAGAATTATATTATTACAGAACAAATATTAATCATCCCTTCTATCATTCTTAAGATTCTTCAATTGCTAATTTGCAGTAGAATTTTCCATTGTATACATTACAATTTAATTATAATTTCACTTAAAATAAAAACATTGTGTACTTTGCATTAACTTTACCTTACACAGTCAGTAATCTATATCATTTAGTTTATCATTCTGCTTTAAAACATAAAGTATTATGTAGTACTCCTTTAGGATTACCAATATTTAAACTTAAAACTAAAAATAAAAGTAAAGTATATTTTTATATTGAAATAATTAGTATCTAAAGTTGTGATCATTTTGGCACGTTAACATCCAAGTGAGTCAGTAGGTTCACATATCTGTGAAGAGATAATTAAATTATTAGATGCTGGTCATTAAGTCTAAAATAAATATAGATTCATAATATTTCCAATGCTTAATCCAGATGGTGTATTTTTAGGCAATTCTAGGTGTAATTTTAATGGAATAGATTTAAATAGGTAAAATCATTAATAATCTTATAGAAAGTGGGATATGCCTAATTAAACTACTGAACCAGAAATTTATAATGTAGTTAAGCATATAAAAAAGTATAAAGTAGCTTTTCTTATTGATTTACATGGACATTCTAAAAAATTGAACTAATTTTTATATGGTTGTGCTACTCCAATAAAACATATTTCAGATTATATGAGAGTTAAATAATTTAGTAGGTTATTACAATAAGGATGTGATCTCTTTAATTATTTAGTAATCAAATTTTAATTATATCTTAGAATTGTTCATTTAGTGTAACACCAGATAGAATGAGTACAGCTAGAGTAGCTATGTGGAAGAAGTTTTAAATTGCTAATTCTATGACTATAGAAACATCATTGTATGGAGCATTAAAAAAACCTTTCGAAAAAGAAGAGTTTTAACTATTAGGTTAAAATATTCTAAATGCTCTCTATCAATATGATGAATATTAATCTGATCCTCATCTATATGATACATAAGAAATAAATTAAGCCATAAAATTAATCAAAAAAGATGGAATCGATGATAAAGAGTCTGGATCTGATTCTGATGCTGAGTAGGATATTATTGTAATCAGAAATTCAAGATTAAAAGTTACATCTAGAAGAGATTCTACTCCTTTAATGACTAAAAGTAAACCTAAACAATAATCAGAAACACCTATCCAATAATCTACTCTTTTCTTCAAGAACGAGTAAACTTATAGTTTCAAAAGGATACCTTCTTATTAGATGAAAAGAAAAGTGTAAAATTTCTAATTAGATTTAGTTCTCGAATGAATTCTTTTCAAAGTTAAATAATTGATGAACCATTAAGTGCCTAATTACCTACTATTTATAATATTCCAAGTAAGTAATATAAAGGTACTCTTGATCTGATTTAGGCAATACAAGTGAAATCGCTTTCTAGATAATAGTGATATTATTATTTAGTAATTTATAAACTATTTATATTTAATAAATTTCAATCCTAAAAACTATTAAAAACTATTAGACTATTATTTTTCTAACATTAATCATTATTTAAATCTTAATCTAATAGTTATACGTTATTTTTAATGGCATAAATTATAATTTAATTTAAATAATAAAATCTTATTTACAATTATGAATATTTCTATATTAAACTTACATAGAGTTCTTTAAGGATAATTATAAATATATTATATATTTTTAAAAATATAATCAAAAAAATAGTCACAATGATATGTACATAATTAGTATGCACTATTTAATAGCTTATAATTTATAAATGATCATAAATCATCTAAATTAAAATTTGGTTGAACCATATCATCTTCCTCAAAAAACATGAGTTTAATCCTATTACTATTTTACATTTCATCTTCTAAGTTCACATTTGTTTCTTCTTATAAAGTCATACCTGGTGTTGTTTAATTAGAAGAAGTAATTATTTTACAAGATTTTCTCTAAGTTTGAGGGGATTAGGGATTGAATTTTTGATGATGAGATCTAAATATTTTATTATTAATTACCTACATTAACTTGGAGAACGAGTACCAATTATTTCAGACATTGGTTTAAATATTTTATTATTTTTCTTCATTAAAGTGTTATCCTCCAAGAATTTAAGATATTTTTCATGTTCATCCTTAGTCCAATGTCCAATATTTTTTTTAGGTGAAACTGAGTCAATTTTTTTTATTTTTTTTGATTTTGGAGATCTAGTATTGGTGAGTTCATCATTAAAATTATCTTTAAAGTTGTTTTCCTCTTCCATTTGAACAACCCCTTTTTTTTTATATTTATTAAAAAAAAATAAATATTTTCTTTTTACTTTATTATATAGTTCATTTTCTTAATGAATTCTCCACTCTATTACAAGTTTAATCAATAAGATTTATGATAGTTTCTTCAGTAGCTTCCCTCTCATTTTTTTCAGCATTTAATTCACTATTCAAATATCCATTCATCTCATCTAACATTCTAAACATCTAAGCTTAAGCAATTTCTCTCTATTTTTTTTCAGTTGTTAAGATTTCTTATAATTTCAATATTGAATCACCTAATCTCTTGATAGTTTATTAATTCTATTCTTCTCTAAATTATATATATATTAATTTATATACCTCTATCTTCTCTCTTCTTCAACTTCTTCTTATAATTATAAAACTCGATCGCCTATTTCTTAAGCATTCTTTTCTTCTGTTTCTTCTCTATATTTCTTTTATCTAGCTAGATCCAATCTTAAACTATAGACTCTATCATCAGTATTTTTAATGATCTTTTATTCATATTCTTTTCTATTAACTTTCTCTCCTTGTAATTCTTTGCTTAAATAAGCCTCTAATCCCTTTAAATCCTTTGTTCTTAATTTCTCATCACCACTCTATTGATTATCTATTTTAAATATACCTCTCTAATTATTTTTTCATTTTATGCCCCTTCCTCTACCTTTGATAATTATTCCTTCAGTAACTTGAATTTTGATTCATCACTCTATTATTATTTAGTAACTTTATCCTCTAAGATTTTGACTTTTTACTCAAATGTTTCTTTCTTGAACTAAATAAAAATGATAGATATAAGAAAATACTGCTTAGTCTTCATTAATAGAATGTTATAGGTTAGAGAGTTTTTCAGTTAATTATGAGATCTTAGCTCTGCTTGGAGAAAGTGCCCTATCTCTATCACCACCTGCATATGAAACAGCAGATTAACTCTTAGGTCCAGGAGAAGAGTACATCAATTTAGAAGCTGACATAGTTTTTGATATTATTTTATGATAAATTTATTTCTGTATATTTTGTAAATAAATTTTATGATTTCTAGATTTATAAAACAATTTATAATAAGATCTAGCAAATAAAAGATTAAGATTCATTTAGACATTTTTTGATAATGTTACTGTTTTAAAAAACAATTAATATTTATTTATATGATTATTTATTTTTATAGAAATCTAAAATTTATAATAAGAAAAGCAAAATAACAAATAACAAATAATCAAAGAATTTTAAAAGCTTACAATTTTTGTCTCTTTCTTAGATCATCGATTTAAGTAAATGGATTTTCTATTTATTAAGATGGATTTTAGAAATATTTTGATAGTGCAAGATCAAATTATTAAGTTTCGACATTTAACTACTATTTTATACTATCTGGTAATTTGCCTACTTCAGATTGGAATACTGATAGAATTTCAATACAATCTTAGATTCTATAGGGATCATAGTATAATATGGCTTCATTCATCTAACTTCTAGATTTTAGCTTGTATTTTTGAACCAAAACAGATTCATCTATAATATTTTTTTGCTGAGTTTATTCATAGATTGGAATGAAGTACTTTTATTGTTGATTTGAACATAATTATTAGAAAGATACTTCGATATTACAAATTTGACCAGCTTCAAACTTTGGACCATTTCCAATACAGACCAAATGAGTTTTATTATATCCAATTGAAATTAATTTCTTAGTAATTTGAATTTCATATGGATTAACATAAACAAATTTACCACCTTCACATTCTGATATTTAAATTGGATTATTTTTATGAGTTTTCACACTTATTAGCAGATCCATAATTACAGTCTATTAGAGTTTAGAAGCTTCAAAGCAAAATATTTAGGATAATTAAGATAATTAATCAACCTTTTTTATAATATGATATCGTCCAAATTTTAAACTCTCTCTTTTTTTTTATTATGGAAATTACATATAATTTTTTGAAAACAACAAAAAAGCTTTAAATTTAAAAGCTTTTTCATTTTAAAAGATTTATTTGAAATCTAAGCTATTTTTTCTTAAATCATAGTCTTAACTGATTATATTGACATTAGTAATTTAATTTTAAAATTATCTTAATTTCAAACATAAACTAGTAATCTAAAGAGCATTAAATATGTTTGAATTTCCTTTTTTAATAGAGATCTATTCAATTTTCTCAATTATTTTCTATCTATTCTCTTCATTAAGTGGAATTAATGGAAATAGTTTATCAGCTTTATTACTATAAGTAATAATGCATAATCTATCTCTATCACTTAAATAATTGGCTAAACATTTAAGGGCTGATTTCATTATTTCTAAAGTTTGATCATTTAATGTTTAACTTATGTCAATTACATAAATTAAATCGACCCCAATTTTGAAATCAGGCTATTATGGAAAGTTTTTATGAATTTAGAAAAGTAATGAATTATTGTCTTAATATCCATATTTAATATCGATTGGATTATTCAATTCATACTTTTATTTGTATTATTTTGGGATTTCATCATCTGGAATATACTGTTGATATTTTTCTTAAGTGTCTTTGTTGTTGGATGCAAGATTCAAGTAATTCTTATTAAATGAGGACATTTTAAATAAATAATGAAAAATCTAAATGAAGAAGATAAATTTTTTAGTTGGGGAGGTTACAAAATAAATAAAATATAAAAAATAAATAAAAAAAATTTATAATGAAATTATTATAAGAATAAAATTTTTCTCTTTTATATTAAAATTCTTGATTTATAAAATATACATTATTAATTAATAATATTATATCTTAATGAACTTGATGATTAATTAAAACTAATAGTAGATAAAATATTTTAATAGTCATCAATTTCTACCCTTAAAAATTAAACATAGAATATTATATTCTAAAAAGTTGTTATTATTTTATTATTATTAATTCTAACATCCCCAGATAATAAACTATACACAATCTAAAATTTTATTTTAATATCTAATGAATTTCCAAACATTGATTTAATTGTATATAATTGTTTTCATTTTACTAATAGATTCTTTATAAATATTAGAGATTTAATTAATAAAATTATATTTCTAACAATATAATTATTATTATTGATGCACATTATAATTTATTTAATGCATTTGTTTTACTTTAGTAATTATTAATTTTTTAAGATAGTACATAAGAAAAGAATATAATTTATTTAATGAATGAATTAAAAATATTTACAGAATTTTAATAATAATTAGAATATGGAATTTAAAATTTATATACATATATTTTTTAATCATTTATGTCATAAGAGTCATAAACGAGTTTGTTGGGAAACTTAAGAAAAGTAATTACATTAGTAGATCAATTACGTGATATTGGACTTAATGACTATATTAAATTACCTCGAATTGTTGTTCTAGGTATCCAATCTGCAGGAAAGTCTTCATTGTTAGAACATATTGTTGGAATCGATTTCTTACCAAGAGGATCTGTAATATTTTGATTAGATTGATAGGGAGTTGTCACAAGAAGACCATTGGAATTACGTCTATCTTATTCACCTTAAAGTGTATGTGCTTAACCTACAGCTGAATTCGTAGAAGAAATCAAAGGGNATCTGGAATATACTGTTGATATTTTTCTTAAGTGTCTTTGTTGTTGGATGCAAGATTCAAGTAATTCTTATTAAATGAGGACATTTTAAATAAATAATGAAAAATCTAAATGAAGAAGATAAATTTTTTAGTTGGGGAGGTTACAAAATAAATAAAATATAAAAAATAAATAAAAAAAATTTATAATGAAATTATTATAAGAATAAAATTTTTCTCTTTTATATTAAAATTCTTGATTTATAAAATATACATTATTAATTAATAATATTATATCTTAATGAACTTGATGATTAATTAAAACTAATAGTAGATAAAATATTTTAATAGTCATCAATTTCTACCCTTAAAAATTAAACATAGAATATTATATTCTAAAAAGTTGTTATTATTTTATTATTATTAATTCTAACATCCCCAGATAATAAACTATACACAATCTAAAATTTTATTTTAATATCTAATGAATTTCCAAACATTGATTTAATTGTATATAATTGTTTTCATTTTACTAATAGATTCTTTATAAATATTAGAGATTTAATTAATAAAATTATATTTCTAACAATATAATTATTATTATTGATGCACATTATAATTTATTTAATGCATTTGTTTTACTTTAGTAATTATTAATTTTTTAAGATAGTACATAAGAAAAGAATATAATTTATTTAATGAATGAATTAAAAATATTTACAGAATTTTAATAATAATTAGAATATGGAATTTAAAATTTATATACATATATTTTTTAATCATTTATGTCATAAGAGTCATAAACGAGTTTGTTGGGAAACTTAAGAAAAGTAATTACATTAGTAGATCAATTACGTGATATTGGACTTAATGACTATATTAAATTACCTCGAATTGTTGTTCTAGGTATCCAATCTGCAGGAAAGTCTTCATTGTTAGAACATATTGTTGGAATCGATTTCTTACCAAGAGGATCTGTAATATTTTGATTAGATTGATAGGGAGTTGTCACAAGAAGACCATTGGAATTACGTCTATCTTATTCACCTTAAAGTGTATGTGCTTAACCTACAGCTGAATTCGTAGAAGAAATCAAAGGGAAAAAATTTACTAATTTTGAAGAAGTAAGAAAAAGTATAGAAGAATTAACAGACAAGGTATGTGGAAATAGTAAAAACATTATTGACAAACCAATCATTTTGGCAGTGACTGGACCTAATTGTCCAGACCTCACACTTGTTGGTAAAGATAAAAGATTCTATGTAACATAGACTTACCTGGAATTACAAGGATACCTATTATGGATCAACCTAAAGATATTGAATAAATTACAACTAATATGGCTAAGAGATATTGTGAAGATCCATCAGCTATCATTTTATGTGTTGTTGCAGCCAATGCAGATATGACAACATCAGATGCATTATTATTGGCTAAAAAATTAGATCCAGATGGCATTAGAACTGTAGGTGTCTTAACAAAAATAGATATTATGGATCAAGGAACAAATGCTATTAAAATGTTAAAAGGAGAAGAAGTACCACTCAAATATGGTTATGTTGGAGTGAAATTAAGATCACAATAAGAAATTAAGGATAATGTTCCAATTGTCTAAGCTGTTCAAAGAGAAAAGAACTTTTTTGCTAATCATCCTGTTTATTCTTCTATTCCTGGAGATATATTCGGTACTTAAGTACTTACAGGAAAATTAACTAGAATTCTTTATAGAAGAATCCGAAGTTTCTTACCTACTTTAATGTAAGAAATTAATTAAAGAATTTCTAAAGTATAGAATAGACTTGATATTTTGGGACCAGGGTTGCCTATTGAAGATTCTGTAATTTTATTCTATAACATTATTGTAGGAAAAATTACATTTTATTTGGCAACTCATCCATGAATTTTCAGTCCGTTTTAGAAATTCTATAACAGGATAATATGAAAAGTAAAAGGCTAATATAAAGAGTCTATAAATACCAGCTGGGTCATCAATTAAATTACTTTTCAAAGATTTATATGATGATTACAGTCAATTAGACTATTGTGCATTAAAGAAATTTAAGGATGAGGATATTCTTTAAGTCATATAAAAATATTAAGCTTAATCTATTCCAGGGTTTTTACCTGTTGATGCATTTTATGCACTTTTGAATCCAGAATTAAAGAAATTGTATGCACCTGCTTATGATACTCTTGAATAAGCATTTTAGATTCTAGAATAATATGCAACTACTATTTTAGAAAGTCAATTATAATTGTAATTTAACTATTTATATTTTATAGATTGCCTTCTGTATATAAAATGTTATAAGATTAAATTATGGAAGTGATTCATGAATGTAAAAAAAATGCCTATGATTCAATTACTGATGTTCTCGATGCAGAATAAAACTATATTTTCACTAATGATTTCAATTATTTAAGTGGCAAACCATTTATTAAATTTGGAAAAGAATCAAAAGCTGATTAACAAAAAGGAAATCCTATGGTTTTAGAGTTAAGAACTAAAATAGAACATTATTTCAAATTAGTAGTTCGAGCCACTAGAGACAACATTCCAAAACTTATTGGATACTTTTTAGTTAAAGGATGTTAAGTAAATTAATCATTTTGATATTTTAGAATTAAATGTTAAGATAATTATAATAAAATTTAATGCAAAATTAAAGCATTTTATAAGTCATTACTGAAGATTAAAATGTAGTTGAAGAGAGAAAGAAATTAAATAGGGAAATAGAAACATTTAAAAATGCATAAAAAATTATAAAAAGAGATCCTGAGTAAATATCAAAAATTATTAATTAGTCTATCAGAATATATTTTATCAGCAACAGAAGAATAAGAAGATTAATAATATATATAAAAATAAAAATAATAAGCCAGTTCTATACCTATTTAATAATAGAATAAACCATAAGTATGATATTTAAATATATTATTAGTAATAAATACCTTAATAATAATAATATTAATAATAATAATAATAATAATAATAATAATAATAATAATAATAATAATAATAATAATAATAATAATAATAATAATAATAATAATAATAAATAACAAAATAACAAACTTAATAATAATAATAAATCTCTACAAATAATTATAATAATAAAACATAGACAAACAATAATTTAATATCTAATTAAAAAACAGATGTAATAAAAGATTAAGAATAACCTCCTTAAAGACCTAATGATCCTATTGTAAACAAAACTACAACAACTTAATAACCAGATTCAACCAGATAATAACCATCACCAACATTACCATAATAAAAACCAGCTTAACCTTAAACCTAACCTGCCTAATAAAGTCAATAAAATTAAAATAATTATCCATTGAATAATAATAAACCCACTGGAGCAGCTCAACCAGTTGCTTAATAACAAGTCCCTCCTCCTGTAATTTAATAATTTTATGTATTTTTAGGTTCAATAATAATCATAACCCTAAGCCTAATAACAATAACCAGAAAAAAAAAGTTTGTTTGGGTTTATGAAGAAATGATTTTATATGAAAAATTTGAAATTATCAAAATATAATGGACTGGGGATATATTGTTTATTATTATAAATAAGTTTTCAAATGTTAAAATCTAGTCCTTAATAAGCGGACTTAACAAAAGGTCTTTATTTAGATTCTGTTTTCTAATTTATCTTCATGTTTTCTTCCTCTATTTATTACTGATGTTACTCAGTTTTTATTCTTCGAGATTAATCATATCCTTTAGCAAAGATCTATTTAAAGAAATTAAGATTCTCTTCTTACCTTTTTTACATTCCTATCATTTAATCTAATTTATTCATTAATAGATTTCTTTCCTATATTTATTACAAATATATGATACATCAGTATTGCAATCTGTTTCTTATTGAAATTTACTTAAGTTTTCAAACAGAAACTTATTTTATAATTCTAACTATTCAGATTTCTTTTTTAATAATTGAACTTAAACTACTAATTAATCTATTTTGCTTTCCAATTTTCTTTGTTTTATATAAGTTTATTGATTATTTCCAAAATCATCATCTACTTATGTCTAATAGTAATTTAATTTTTATGTCTCATCACATTCATATTAATTTTTTAAATTATCCAATAAAGAAGATTAAGAATCAACTGATTTACTTCTCTAAGATACATTTTCCCTTTATTACTTTTCACCTTCTTTATAATCATATCTAGTAATACATTTTTAATTCTATTTCTTTTATGTCTTTAATAATTCATCTTCAATTTAAATTTTATTTTACCTTAAATCTCTACTTAAGTTACTTAATTTCTCTTTGAATTCTTAAGTTGTTATTTATTATTATTGTTATAATTTTACAATTGGTGGAGATGGGAATTACTTCATAGATGAAGATCCTTTTAATCCCATTAATTTTTAATCAATAGTATTTTGAATAAGTTGCAAAGCAGATGGACATTCAGATAATCCACTTCTTTATGAGAAATAAACTTATTCATTCAAATTTCCATAAGAATTAAATTTCTTTTTAGTACTATTCTTCAAATTGCCATTCTCATTTCGTTATTGCGATAAAAGTGCTTAAAAATCAGCACTTTAATTTCTCTACTCTCTAGTTAATCGTTTATATTCAGTATGATTCAAATTTTAATTTATTAGATTTGAAATAACATTAACTTAAGCATGAGAATTTCTTTAAGGAGGTGAAGCAGACTGTTCTTTTTCTTTCTCTTTTTTTGGTGATATTGACATTTGACCTTTAAATTACTTTTCATTTCCCTCTGTACGTATTCTAGTCTTAGAGTTATTGTGATTTAATGATTTCGATGGTCCTGTGATTAATTTCTTAAGTACTTATAAACCTGCTAATTTCTACATTAATTGAGTATTAGAATATTTATGATGTTATTTAGGATAGTTATATTTTTATACTTCATTGTTCTTGATGTTAGATGATGTTTTCCTATGCAAATGGTTATTAATAGTAAACATAATATAATTTATAACAGCTTAAAATAATATAAATTAGTGATGATAGGATTATTTGAATTAACACAATACATTTTAAGATATTTGATGAGTTTATATATTTAATATGAAGTGAATATATAATCATTAATTATTTAAATAATGAACAATATCTAAGGGTATTCACTTTCAAAGCCATCAACTAAAACCACATAAGCACCAGGTGGTAATTCATCCATCTCATTTGTATTTTTGAATTCTTATTCAGGGCTCTGATGAGCCTGCTCCTCAATAAAAACGAGTTGTTAGAGATCCAAATGCTAGTCATTTTACTCTTGGAGGAGAACCTGTTCCTCAAAGAGGATAGTAAACATAGCAATAATAGCAACAATAATAATAATAATAATAATAGGAATAAGGTTTTTCATATTTGAATATTTTTTTAGGGACCCATACATCAGTCAAAGTTAAGAATCCACCTGGAGGTCGTTCATAAATATAATTTGGATGAAATATTAGTTAAACAAATAATTCATATACAATTAAATTCATCTAACTTATTCTATAAATATGACGAATTGTGTAATTAATCATGTTTCTTGATATGAATAAATACCTTAAATAAATAGAGTATCAATAAATTATTCACATTCAGACGTTAAATTTATAAAAATATAACATTTATTTCAAACCTTAAAAAATTAAAAAAGAAAATTCATCAATTTTTATATTATTTTTGAAAAAAATCATAAAATTTGCATTGGTCTTAGTTTTTTAAATTTACTTAACTTCAGATTACTAATCTCAAATTCTTTTTTATTAAGTATTTTTAAACTCTCTAACGGTATCTCTCCAATTTTATTCATATTTTTTATTATTCTTTATTAAATTGATAATAATTCTTTGTCATTCTAATATGATTTATCAAAAGATGCTTTAGCTCTGTCTATTTTTTAAATGAATTGTTTAAATTAATTTTTTATCTTATCCTAAGGTTCCTCCCTTTCTAAAATTTGACTTATTTTTCTAGAATCAGGAAGAGCAGCTTAACTTAAAAATGTTCTATGAGAGTATATTTTGGATGTATTGGGAGATAGCTATGGAAGTTTATTAGTACTACGAGAAGTTTCAGGATAAAATTGATGGAAAGTAGTTCTTTATTCACTAATTTCTGACAGTTATTAAATAGGTTCTGTTAACTTCTTCTTTTTTTTAATATATCTTTGAGGTCCCTTTTTCTATTTATTATTATATAATTGCTTTGTTGTTTTTTCAAGTAGAGTAAGTACCTTTTCAGTTTATTCTTTAAATTGCTTAGCTTATTTAGAAATCAATTCATCCATCTTCTCTTTTTCTTAAAGATTTTCTTCTAATTACTTTTAAGGTATTTTAATTATTTAGATAGATCCTTTACAATTTTTTCTTTCTTACTCATATTTTTTTTATAAAGCTAACTATTCAGATTTAGTCTTGATATCAACAAATAGTTAATCAATTCCATTATAAAATTTATCATCTTCTGTTTTGAGCTCCTCAATATCATTCTTAGGTGAATTTGGTTAGTCTTCTTATATCAAATATCCTTTGATGTCAGGTGAATGTCTTATAACTGTACTCTTTTCAACAATTTACTTGCTCTTTTATATGATCTCAGCATAATCAAATAAATCATCATTATCACTATCTGAATCAATTTTCTTTAGAGTTTTTAACTTCTTTTTTTTTTCAGCTTTAGCTATCTTCTAATTACTTAAATGCTTGAGAAACTATTTAATATCAAGAAAGGTATCCATATTAGCAAAATCTTTAAATCTCCTATCAAACAACTACTCCCTTGTAACTTTATTGATTTTCATTTTCTTTCTTTCTTATTGCAACACTTTACTGACATTTTAATTGAACAATCTATTTTCTTTATAAAATCAATATGAGTTACTTTCCATCTCATCAGTTTCATCTTATGGAGTATTAGGTGATGAGTCTTTTTGCCTTCTTTTTTTGGCTAATTAATCTTTAACAAATTAATAGAAGTCTTATTCGAAGTTGTTCATTATAATTAATTAAAAATGGCTGATATATAGTCATTAAAAGTAGCCTTTATTGAATTCATAGAAAAATTACTACCTTCGATATCAGATCCAATGTCAATCACTTAATAAAAATGCTAATTGCTTATAAAACTCCTAAAAGACCAAGGTAAGACAATTTAGGATGTTTGTTTATATATTTAAAACCTCAAAATAGGACATATGAAACCTTCTAATTAGAATAATTAAGAGGAAGAAAAAGTAAAATCTCCAACTAAAACCAAACAACCTGATCATGAACTCTTCTAACCAGAATCTTATTTTAAGTTAAGTATGAAATAACTCTATAATAAAATAGATCTTCCTAATAAAGATTTAATAATAAAGAAATCTAGTCATAAGAATAATGAATTAAGAGAGAAAATTATTAATGTTGAATAAGTGGAAGGACAAACAGAAGACACATTAACGCCTCTAAAATTTGGAATTGATAAATTAAAAAGTATACATTCTATCATATATTAAGAAACACCAAAAACCACTTCAACCTTGAATATGTTCTTTTAATAGGTAAAAGGCTTTTCAATAGTTTCAAGAGAATATATTATTGATGATTTACAATAATGCATGAAAGAATTCAGAAGACACACTAAAATAATGGGATGCATAGAATAAAGATCTTTTGAAGTAAATAGTGGAGAAATCTCAGAAGTAGATAAAAAACTACATCATTAAAACTATAATTTTACAAGTTATTCTAAATAAGTTGAAAGATAAAAATCTTTTAAAAAAATGAGCATATTTGAATAAAAAAAAAACACAGAACCAAATATTCTAAAATAAAATAATGAGCAATTATAACCTACATAGACTGTAATACCAATTTAAGATGTATCCTCTATTTAAAAAATTTAAGAATCTAAAAATAACGAATCTCAATAACCATTTACTGCCAGAACTTATTAATCTTCCAAAACAACATTATATTCTCATAGAATTTAATAAAGAAGAAATGATTAATAAGCATAATTAAATTAACGAAATATAGCTTAATAAGAATAAAATAATGAATAACTTAACAACACTAACTTATAAAATAATAGAACAGATAATTAATAATAAGATACCAAATTTAAAGTTGCACCATTATCTTTAGAATCAACTAGTAATTAAACATCAGAAATAATCAAATTAGGTACTGTACCATCCCCTAAATAAACATCTAAACGATCTATTAATGATACAGTTTCTCAAAATACATAAATAAATTCACTTCCAGTTTCACCTTTTCAGAATAATAATAAATTTACTATTGAATCTACTTAATCGTAAACTCATTCTAGAGAATAGTCAACCAAAGAAGAAATTAAAGTTGATAAGAAATTAGAAGTTCCATATAGAAATACTTATACCAGATTTAATTATACATAATAAAGATTATAATATATTAAAGGGAATTATACAGGTTAAATTAATAATAATGGAGATGATAAGACTACAGAAGTTAAAATAGATATGAAATAATTGGATTCAAATTTTTGATTATAATATTCGTTTTAAATTTAATAATAAGTAAAACTTTTGTTAAAATTATTTTTTGACTTTTTTTTTGAATATTAACATTAACTATTTAATGAATGCTATACTCTTATCCATAATTGTCTATTTAAATATTCAAGTTTACCATTATGTAACTGATGATAAATTTAATCTTATATATATTATATTATTGTAAATCTGATTAATTTAATCTTAAGAAATTAAGTAATGATCTTATAAATAGATATATAGATAAATAACTTTAGATTATAAGATCAAAAATATTTAATGAAATTTATGTCATTTTTAAATTACACAAAGATGAAAGTAGAAATGAAAGATTTACTTAGAATATGATGATTCATAAATAAATTATTTATCTCTATCAAAAATTAAGTAATTTTTGAAGATTCTTAAGAACAGAAAAAAACCTATAACTTCTTAAGGGAAATAAGAAGAATTCTATTGTAAGCTCTCTATGCTAATGTATTCTAATTTGTAATATTAGGATGTTTAAGTTCTTAACTTAGAATTTAATTGTAAGATGACTTTATCTAATAACAAAAAAGTTCAGGTATATTAGATTAAAATTTATTAACTGTGTTTCTATTGACGAGTAGAATACTATATCTAGGATATTTATAATTAACTTGAAATTTATAGTAAGAAAGACTTTGGTTTTATTTTTATTTGCTGGTACCCATTATTAATTTTTTAATAAATATTTAATGCTAACTTATATTGATTTTTGTCTTAAACTAGTTAAAATAATAAAAGATGAAAAAATTGAGTCATCATCTTTGAAAACTTTAGTTGACGAAACAATTAACTAATTAGAACATCAATAAACGCCAATTGATTCATATGTATTTGTTCTCAATAATAAGAGGAAGTAGTAATTGCCAAAGAGTTATAGTTTTACAGAGCTGAATGCTAATATCTTAATAAACTAAGACAATAACTATAAAATCATGTGAAAGTAAGATAAATAAATACATAGGAATTGCAAAGATAATTATTTGAAGAGAAAGAAGCTAATAGTGAATTAATAAATTTTCTAAAGACATAGAAATAAGAATAGCTATTAAATTAAGTAAAAAATGAAGGATTAAATGATATTATTAAAAAAAATGAACCTTTAAAGTTAATTAATCGATAACCTAAAGACTGTAATTTTAATATTTTATTCTATTTTCACATAGAATATAGCATAACTTAGCGATAACCCTTATTGCCTTAAACTACTAAATAGTTGTAAATAGCTCCTCATCTTACAATTGAAATAAAAAATATAAAAACTCCTTTACTGGAACAATAAGATCCTTAAAATCTTAAGGAATTGTTTGATTAATGTGTATAATAACTTTATCGAGATATTTGTCTAAAAGGAAACCACAATAAAAAATATAAAAAAATATGTAACAGAGCTCATTCAGGATAAATTTAATTATGTGAAGAGGATAAAGATGTTACATTTTCAAAACTTGATATTAAAACTTTGACAGAAAAGTATTAAAATATAAACACAATGATTATAGATTTTTCTTAAATCCACAATTTATAAAAATGATTGAAGCCTAAATTTTTGATATAAAATGTTGTAATAATATGGCCTGTCTATATAAACCTTAATAATCTAAAGAAATTCAACAAATTTAAAATGAAAGCAAAGTTCTTAAAATTCCTAAGAAAATACCATAATTTAGACAAGATCATAGAAGTAAAAGTGTATGTAGACAAGATGGTATATTGAAATGATCATTTTAGATTTAAAACTTCAGTATTAGTATTTATTTGCAGATGTATTACGTCTAGAAAGAGAATTATGCGGAACTCCAAAATAAAATAAAAATAGATATATTGAATTAAACAATTAATTGAAAGATGCACGTGATAAACTTTATTAACTATAATGTAAGATTTTAAATTGAATTTCAATCTTTTCCTATTCATTTAAAATTTATATAAAAATATTAAATCATTAAATCATATAGAATCTTGAATCTCTAGGTAATAATGTTTAATATTTGGATTTTACATTGCTTTATGATCTTCTATTTAAAGCCATAAGAGAATACATAGCATTAGTCATATAATTTCTAGATAATAACTCTTGTTTACGTTTTTCATTTTATATAGTCTTTACTCATATAAAAATAATAAATACCTTCATCTTAATAGACTTAGGAATCCTTCTTTTTTAATTCATCTAAATCACTTGCATTACTTATTGTTAATAAAGTTGTGTCATTTGAATTGATCATACTATTTAGTATTTTTTGTCTTGAATCATTCATTATCAACAATTAATATGGATATTTAACTCCATTTTTTAAAACAGTTCTTTAGTTAACAAGAAAATTATTATTTATAGTTGAGCTCTTTGTTTATTAAGTTTAGTTTTAAATACTAATTGAATTTCTTGAAAATGTTTAAGACACCCTAGGTTAAAATGAAGTTTTCTTAGTAAGTCCAAATTAGTTCTTTTACTTGAAAATCGAAAACTGATATTAAATCTTATCAATAACCTTTTAATTTTCTTTTTTTGTATTTGATTCACAAGGAAATTAATAAAAAGTTTCATCAACTGAAAAAGATGAATTTGTTTATTTTTAGTTTTCTTTTGGAGAATTATAGATATGAGAAATAGTCTTATTTAATTTAGAGACTGCAAATATATTCTATTCAATAGTATTGTAATTTCTTATAAGATGAGGAACTCTTTCCAGAGTTCTTTGTGGATTCTTAGCACTTTATAGCCTTGATTTAAGTAATTTAAGAGATTTTTTCTTTTACCATGATTCTGCTAATTATTGAACTCTTGTCATGTCATCCATGTATTACATTTGATAATAATTATTTTTTCTTATTTTTATTTAATATAAAATGATGATAAATTTAATTATCACTAAAAATTATATTTAGATTTTTATTTTAATGTTATTTTTTATGGAATATGGTATAATCATTAACGAATATAAAGATACAATGATATAAATGAGTTTATTCAAATATTTACAAATTATTATTATAAATAATTGTTTACTACATTTTATTTATCTAAATTAATAGACTCTCCACAGATAATGAAACTCAAATTAGAATCAAATATATCTATACAGGATTCTTTAATTAAAAAAATTTTAGTTTGAAACTTAATTTACAGAATGTCCAAAATAAAAACTAACAATATCATTATATTTAATTTATTTAATTATTCATTAAAATATCTCAGTTAATACAAAGAGTGTTGAATAGCTATTAAATTATCCATATTGTAATATTTTATAGATAAAATCAAAATATATAATTATTTTATCCTTATATTCTTAAACAATTTTTTTCTTTTAATTTATTTATTTGAATAATTATTTATTTTTATAAGATATAAAATGTTTTTCATTAAATAATAAACTTCATAATTAATAAAATTCTGATCTTGATTTTATTTTATGGGTTTTATCTATTCACTAATCTTTTCCCATATTTTAGATTTCCTTTTAATGATTATATTAGAAATATAATAATAAATTATAGTGTGTCAATAATTAACAGTTATAGAATCATTTTTGTAAATTTAAGATGATAACATTTTTTATTTAAAATTATTTAATATATATCTATTTTTCATGGATATAACCTAGCTGGTGTTGCCTCTTTAACGACTTCCTAACTTTCAATTACTCTTGATCCTCTTGTTCTTGATTAACTTGATTAAACTGTTGTTATTGTTGGTCCTACAACTTTCTTTTCAACTTTAACTTCCTTAACTTCTTTTACTCCTCCATTTTTAATTGAATCAATTTCAGCTTATACCATAATTAATTATTCTTAAAAATTGAAATATTCTGTATTTAATTTCTTGAATCTACTCTTCCAAACTTCTACTTCCTTTAAATAATAATATTTCATAATACAGATCTTAATTTAGTTGTTTTTTCCTCAATCTCATAAGTAACAGAACTTTCTACTTCATGACATCTTCTTTCCAAATCTACAATTTCTTATTCCTTTGAATTTAATAATCCAGTGATTCTTTCAATTTCCAGTCTTACATTATATAATTATTCCTAATTTAATTGATAAATCATACTTCAATTATTTTGATTCTCTATGATAATCCTTATTATGATTAATCATTTCCACTTCTTAATTCAATAAACTCCTACTCTTTCAATCTTAATTAATTTTATGCTTATTGTAATTATAATCTTAATCTCTATGCTTCAAGTTCAAGTTCTTCAACCTATATTGATTAATAATTTTATTTGTACCCTTGTGTTATCAATTACTTCAACTCTCTCTTTAACAGTTTTTACTTCAGGCTCTCTTGCTAATAATTCTGCTACTCTCTGTCTTAAAAACAATAATTCCTCCTTGTATGATTCTCCATCTTCACATTCACATTCCTTCTCTTATTATTAAGGATAAGGAACAGGAACATACATAGGCATCATATAAGGTTATTAAGGAGGAGGTTGACACTTTGGTCTGCATTCATGATTGTCAATCATAATTTAATAGCACCCATATTGATTATTTGGAAATTAAGCTGATACAAAAGAAGTAGACATGTAATTTCTCTTCCTATTATATCTTATAGGAACTTATTCAACTTCCACATTAGTCTTTAATACCTATGATTCTACTACTGTTGTGGTTTTCATATTTTTATTTGAAATAAATTATATTTACGATTTTTATTAAAAAATAATCATGAATACATATCCAATAATTCTAGATACTTCTTTGTTAATAATTCCTTCCAATTTTCATAATTGACTAAATACATCTGTTAACCTGCTATTCCCATATCAGTATCATCAAAAAATCCTAATTATTTTTAAATTATAAATGTACCTTATTCTGTATTTATTGCTGGATCTGTGAAATAATTACCAACTCCTTAAATATCACATACCATGTATTGTGCACCACTAATAAAATATGTATAATATGTGAATGACTAAGCAAACTTATTTAATTCTAATTTATCATCTGAATTAATATAACCATAATTATTATTATATTTAACAAATTCTCCCTTAAAAAATCTTTCTGCAATCCAAAAAGAATCTAAATTAATTAAAATTACTAATACTTTTAGATTCTTCGAGAATTAAAAAGTCGCTATATATAACAGATGGTATTGCTATATTTACATACTTTTCTGATTTTTACTATTATAAATCATCAACAAACTTCTTCATAAGTTTCTGACAAATCAAATGTGATCTGCATTCTTTTAAAGCAAGATCTATTGATTCATATGGTTTGCTACCAATTGGCGTTTTGATGACATATAAATCATTAGAATAGTCTTTAATTTTTTTCATTAAAAAGACATCCTTCATCATACCAAAGGCAAATGGTATTTCAGTTCTAATACAATCCCAATTTCCTTCTTCTATAACTAAAAAATCTTATGGACATTTTATATTATTTATTGTTTAAATATTTTTATTGAATTATTCTTACTTAATTTCTACTCTAAAAACTTTAAATTTTGAATTAACCGTTTTCACATTTGGTTATTATTCAAAATTATAAAAATTTTCCTGTTTGCATAAAGCTTCCATAGCACCTTCCCTTACTCTTATATCTTTTTATATTTTAACCCCTTCTTTAGATTTTGTTTCGCTTTTATTTGTTTGGGTTGCAATTTAAGATGCATCACCTATAAATCTTGACATAATTGATGCTAAGTCTTTTTAATTTATATTTAGTAAATCTGAATAGAGATATAATTCTAGTTTCTTCTTAGATTCATAGATTTTCTGTATCTCCTTATACATTTTTGAAGTATGATGTGTGAAATTAAGTGCTATTAAAATGATATTCTTATCAATCAATTGTTAAATAGCATCTTCAATATCTTCATCAGGATAATCATCTCCACAACCATCATGATATTTTTTTCCATGACATGGAGCATCACAAATTAGTATTGCAATTCTAAATATACTTGGCCAACTTAATTTACAAACTTATTTGATTGCTCCTCTTATATCTTCTGCTGCATCGCCTCCTCCATCACATGCAATGTTATCAAAAAATTGTTAAAGTTTTTCCTACTCTTTAGAAAATGGAAATTCATAATATTTTCCTAATTGTCTTAATTCTGCTTTATCTTAATAACATACGGATGCCCAATTTGTATCTCTATTTGTAGCTTTTTTAATTATTTATAACGATTACTAAACTGACATTTTTGTTTAATCTTTATAATGATCCATAGATCTTAATTTAATAAAAAATTTAATACCCAGTAACATCAACAATAAAGCAGACATCTAATTAACCTCGCTCTTTTATTGCCTTTTAAAATTTTTACTCTATTTATTTTTTATTTTCTTATTTATTTTTTTAATCCCTTTATTTATCTCTCTCTTATCTCTCCTTTATTTATCTTTCATTTTCTTCTCTTTCCTTTTAAAGTTAGTCTTTTTTTTCTTATTAATTTTTTTTAAGATTCTTTAATTCTTATTCTAATTCCAAAAATTTACTATCTTATAATATGTTGTTTGTTATATTTGAATTTTTTTGATTAAGTAATTATTATTTTAAATATTCATTTTACTATTTTATTAAATTAAAATTTTCATTTTATGATGATATTTCAAAATCTTTATCTTTTATTTAATTCTTCAATTTTTATATTTCATAATTAGAATTTGTTAGGACTTTCTAGCTATTATCCATTTATTACTCTAATTATTTTATTTGATCATTCTTTGCATCCAATTATTTTTTCAAACTAACAGATTTATCTATTTCGTCCAAAAAATATTTATGTTCCTTATTAGATTATTCTTTTTCTTTTTAAAGTTCTTTTTCCAATTCATTTTTTTCCTTTTCTAATTATTATAATTCATTCTTAAAATCTTCTCTCATTTTATTTATTTATTCTCTGAACTTGTTTATTTGTTCATTCATGAAAGTATTATCAGGTTATGAAATAATAGTATCTCTAGTTGTTGTACTGAAACGATTAGGTAAAGTTGAAGTATTAATTATACCTAAAAGTTGATTAATTTTATCATTAAGTAATTAATTTTCTAATTTCAAATCGAAGTTTTCCTATTCAACTTTCTCTTTTGTTTTATTTATATTTGCTATATCAAATTATGATAAATCAATTTTTGATTTTTAGTCCTTTATTTCTCTCTTCTATACTTCTATTTACTCTTCTAATTCTTTTCTTTCTTAATTAAATTTAATAATAGTTTCCTGATACCTTGCATTATTTTAGACAATTTATTTTTCATATTCTTCTTCTTAGTATTTATTTACTTCTTCTAAATTAGTTATTTTTTTTTTTGATTCTTTTTCTTTAATTGATTACTAATGAGGATTAAGCATGTAAATTTTATAGGATAATTTAATTATTAAAATTTTATAAATCAAACTTCAATAATTAAAACTAATGTCTACATTTATTAATTTAATAGAATTACATCAAAATCTTATAAATAATTTTATTTTATTTTTTCAAAAAGATGGTCTTAATTACTACCTTTTTATGAATAAATAAAAGCTGAAATTAATTAGTTAAAGATAAAAATAAGCTTTCACTTAAAAATAAAATATTATGATATTAAATATAAAAATTAAAAGATTTTCAGATTTGTCAAGAGGATCAGTAAAAAGTAAATAATAAAACAATAAGGAACTTAAATATTTTTGGATCAAATTGATAAAATTAGTACAAAGTAACAAAATAAAATAAATGATGAAAATTAATTTAACAATAGATATTATTTTTGCTACTTTAAAATAGTCTATTATTTAAAATGAACAATAATAAAATGAAATTTACATAAAACAACTATATCTTATCGTAAATTTAGAAGAAATTTAAAATCATCTAAAAGGAAATGATCATAATGAAGGATAAGAACTTTATATAAAATAAAATTTAAAATCATCAAAGAAACAAGAATAAATGAATTTTCAATAGAATTAAGAAAATAAATAAAGAAAAACATGTAAAGTGCAAAATATAATAAACATTCAAATGTGTTTTTTTAATTTTCAATATACTTATATTAACCAAATTCTATCTAATACTTTAATCAGTAACCTTTATCTTATCTTTAATCCATAATTTGGCTTTCTGACTTTTAATATCCAATAAAAAGAAGTATTAAAAATTAAAAACGATTTATACATAAGTTTGCAATCTATACTTGTATCATTTCAATATTAAATAGATTAGGCTTAAATTTTTTAAGAAATATTATAAGAATTATAGAATTAATTGATTTATTTTAGTTGGTTAATATATAATTATAATAAAATAATTTTTTATCCTCTATGATAATGTTATAATTATTAAGATGTTAAACTATCAACCATTTTTTTTTAGTTTATTAGCCAAACATAATTCAACTCTTTAATTTAAATAAATAGTAATGAATTAGAAAGAATTTCTATATAAAATCAAATGCTATTATAATAAAATGAAAATTATTCAAAATTTATAGAAAGTTGCTTGATTAATACCTATTTGTATATATTTTCTATTATTTCTGAGTATGAAGATGTATATTTGAAATAAAATCTTTTATTTAATTAAAAATGGTTGTCAAATCACTAGCTCACAAAAGAATTGTACACAAGAGAACAAAGAGATTTGTTAGATTTGAATCAGAAGACTATCCACATAAATTAAAACCTAGTTGGAGAAGACCAAGAGGTATTGATAACAGAGTCAGAAGAAGATTCAGAGGAAATAGACCTATGCCAAAAGCTGGTTATAGAGGTGATAAAAAAACAAGGTATATAAAAATAACATCCAATTAGATATTTGGATTAATCAGGCTTCAGAAAGTTATTAATCACAAATGAAAAGGATCTTGAATTATTACTCACAAATAATAGAACATTTGCAGGTGAATTGGCTCATAATCTCTCTGCTAGAAAAAGAGCTACACTTGTAAGAAGGGCAGCCGAACTCAATGTTAGATTGACTAATGGCAAAGGAAAAATTAGAGCAGAAGAAAAAAAAGAATGATTTCATCTGTACAATATATAAACATACATTAAATTACAATTAATATAATTTATATAATTCAGATTTATCTCATTTTTCATTTAACAATTGATTAAGTTTATCTATTATTGATGGGATGGTTATAATCTAAGTTAATTCAGAGTAATTATGAATTTTCATGCATTCCTATTAAAATATTAATTAAATTACTTATATAGATTAAAAAAAGTATGACCTAAAATTAAATGTCTCATCATATAAGCAATTTTCTTATAAGATTTCCTTTCTAAAATTATTTCTGAATTATTTGGATAGACGAATTTATTTGGAATTAGCTAATTTTTTTTTGTTTTTTTATTGAAATTCTCTAAATTCTTAAGATCTAAGCTCAAAATCATAATCTATTTCAGGAAATGCATCTTAAAGTACATGTTGAAATAATTTTTCAAATGTAGATTTTGAAATATATTTTAGGAATAACAATTAAGAAATTAAATTAATTTTTCTGTTACCCCTATTTATTATGTGTTAAGCTGTTTCTTACCATAACGTAAAATATTAATCTAATTAAACTTATGCAGAATATAATACTTATATCATACTCTATAAATCCTTGAGGATAAATCTATTTAGTATTTCTAATATATTATTCTTGTACTAAATTGTATAATACATTTGATCAACCTAATCACCTCCACTTAATTTAATCAATTCTTATATTAAAAATACTATAATCTTTTCGTATTATTGAACTGTTATACTATCATATTGTTTCAAAATTATAGCTTCTAATAAACTAATAGAACTCTTCTTTAAAATCAAAGCAGCATCATGGCAATCAATTTATTAAGCAATTTATAATCTTTCTTAAAGAAGATTAAAAATATTTGGTGTTAACTAAATAAGATTTAATAGATATAGTTCTTCAATTACTCTTAATATTGTTTACATATGGTTTAAATCTGTATCTTCTAGAAACAACTTTTCATGTGTACTGTACAAATTACTAAATAAAACACCAGTAGAATTATTATCAGATATAGGTTCATATTCTTATAATAAGAATTGTAAGAGTTCAAAAATGTTATTTTCTTTTGAGTCTATATTAGTATCTATCAAAACAAGTGCTAATTTATATAAATGACTTAAATTTGATCCTAAAGGAAAGGAAACAAACAAAGCAAAAAACATATCACATAATGCTCCTATAAGTAATTATGATTTTGTTTTCATTAATAAAATTATGTCAGAATTTTCAATTACTTTAACTAAAATTTACATAGAATCTACATTAGTTTCTGAATATTTTTATATTAGATTTTCTAATAGTTATAACAAAGGCCATAATATATTAGATTTTTATAAATTACATAATAATTTAACAATCACAGGGGCAATTTATTCAAAAAATTAAATATTTCTAAAATCAAAATTTTAGCCCATACAAGTAATGATATTTTTAATACACATTAAAGTTTAATATTAAACTATCTAATCTTATGAATTATTTAATAATTATCTAGCATATTCTAAAATTTAAGGTAATTCAGTATCAGTAAAACAATTGCTATAACTTCTACATAAGAATGCAAATCTTCTTTAACTTTAAACTGTATTTGTCTATATTAAATATTATAAAATTGGTTAAATTTATATAGGTTATAACTTCAATTTTGTAGTAATTTTTGGTGTTGATCCTAATATAGCAAAAAAACTCTCCAATATACATTAGTTTGCATTAAAATTACTATTTAATAATTATTGCATTATTTAGGTTATTTTTTAAATAAATAACTCTGGAAATCTTAACATTAATTGATCATGACATATTAAACAAATTGTAAATATTGGACATTACATTTCATTTTTTGCATCATCAATTGTTAAATCTTCTTCTTATTCAATTAACTCTTCATCACTTAAATCAGTTGGAATTGAAGCAATTTTTATTAATTATTCAATAAGAAATTACATATTTTCTACAAAGAACTAGTTGAAGAGTTAATTTGCCATTAAAATTGATTATCTACTCTACTCATTCTTAGCTTCCTAAAGTTTCTTATTATAAAAATGTTCTTCTCTTAAAAAGAATAAAGATTTAAGTGTTTTGATTATTCCAATTAATCCAGTCCTTAAAACTCTTTTGTCATCCCAGTCATTCTATATTATTAATTTTAATAACATTAAGTAATCTTGAAACCCTTAAAGAATAATAAGGGGAAAAAGATTTTGAATATTACCCAAACTATGAATCAAAGTTTTAAGATTTGGTTATAATAACTTTTGTTGTTATACATTTTTTAGGAGATATGCTGTTTTCTCTAATAATAAAATAAATACTAATTGTATTCTATCTCTAAATTTATATTAAATAAATATTTACTAGTCTGATTCTTAATTTAAAGACATTATTGACAATGATAACAGTCTATCCAACTTTTTAGATATGTTATTGACAAAAGAATAATTATTTATATTTTATTGTAATTCTTGCTATTATATTTAAGTGATATTCTTCCAAAGAAGTAATAGATTATTCCAAATAGCTTAAGAGAATTACATTTATTATATTCTATAGGCAGCTAAAATATTTTTAATTTTAATACTATTTCTATTTTATATTACACTCTATTAAACTACTTTTAGTGAGCAAATTAAATCATAAGTCAATGCACAATTAGTGGATCCACTTTATATAATAGTTTAAAGACCTTAAACAAAGTAATTAACTAATCCTTAAAATTTAATTGGAAAATCATGTTTTGCTATTACAGAAATAATTATATTGATTTCTTTTTTAAATTTATCATCTTAAACAACCCCCAAAAATTATACTATTTTATCCTTTACATGATTCTTTAACTCTTCTGATATATTTTATATTCTTAGATTATCTTTCATTTAAAATTTGACCCAATTTCTTACAATAACATTCTTTATTAGTAACAATGCTTAGAATTTATTTAGATATATCTGTTAAATATTATATCTAGAAGTATTACCTAACTGTTTTCAAAGATTTGAAATAGTGATAGTAAAATGTATGGATAATTTTATTCCAAATTTCTTAGATAAGTATCTGCTTCTTTTCCAATTTATTGATTTTTTGAATTCATAATTATGTTAAATGCTTCTTCTATTTTTTAAGGGTTAGGAATTTCTGTGTTTAGCATAGATTTTTGTTTATTATAATATTAATTGTATTTTATTAATTTACACAAATATTTTCAAAATAAAATGCTACTTAAATTTATTATCATGTTAAAAATTTTAACTTTCTCATTTTATTCAAATCTAGTATTCTCTAATATCTTAATATATAAATTTTAATTCTATATAATGAACTTGAGATTAAAGAAAATAAAATACATATTTTTAATCAAAGTATATGTTCTTTGTTATTATTTAATTAAATTAGAGCGATATTCATTAATATTTTAATTATTTTAAAAAATTATAATAAAATAATTAATTTATAACCAATAAAATACTTTTAATCTTATCAGCTAGAGATTATTGGATTGGATATTCTACAGAATTAGATTTTCATCTAAGATTTTCAAAGGTCAGACTACTTGTTGTGTATCACTATTTACTACATTATGAATGATATTGTTTAATTAATCATTTTTCTTCATCAAATTGTGCAATATTTAAGGAGATTTTATGAATTATCAATAAATTAAGATTTTTTAAGACTTAAATTCATGATATTATATATTAATTAAATTGATAAGCACTTAATTGATATTCATTAATTTTTATATAAATGTAAAGATTATAATTAATACATGCTAACCTATGCACAAATTAAAAAGTTATGGTTGAGAAATTGGATTAAGAATAGATTGGAATAATATATCTAAATTCTCCAACTGATTTAAATTCTTTATCAAGCTAGATGAAGAAAGAATTATGTGCAGCCGTGATTGAATTAGATAAAGATTCTAATATTAAAGTATTGATTTTAAAAAAATTTAATTTAGGTTATAGTGATACTATCAAAACTAGATAAAATATTCTGTGCTGGAGCTAATATAAAAGAACTTAGTGATTGTTCATATGAATCATAACAAATTTCTGATATCTTCTATGAAATTCATAATGTTTTTGATTCATTAAGAAAACCATTAATAATGGGCGTTAATGGTGTAGCCCTAGGAGGAGGTTTTGAATTAGCATTAAATGGGGATATCATTATTGCATCAGAGGATGCAAAATTAGGATTACCTGAATTAAAATTAGGTGTCATTCCTGGAATTGGTGGAACATAAAGATTAACTCATCTTGTAGGTAGAACAACTGCAATGAAATATATCCTAACATCAGATTAGATTACAGCATAGGAAGCCTTAAATAGAGGAATTGTAACAAATGTAGTCAAAAAAGAATAATTAAGAGAGGAATGTATAAAGATAGCTAAAAGAATTAGTGAGAAATCTTTATACACTTTGATAGTCTGTAAAACAGCTATTAAAAATGCTTAAGAATTACCATTAAGTTAAGCAAATTAAGTTGAAAGATAATTATTTAATAGTTTGCTTAATACATAAGCAGCAAAAGAAGGAATTTAAGCTTTTATTGAAAAGAGATCCCCTAATTTTAGAAATATTTGAAATGATTAATTATATTGTTATAAATTTTAATTTATAAAAAAAACTGCGAATTAAAAATAAAAAAGGAAAATCAAATTTGAAAACTGTGATCAATTTAAGTTTTTGAATCTGTTTCTGAAAAAGCATGTTTTATTTTACAATGTAAATTAAGTGATGCTTCTGAGCCATATTTTTTATCACAATTTGAACATCTATACTTTTTTGAAATTTCATTAGCCTTTCTTCTTAATTTTTTAGAAGGTTGAGTCATTTCTTTCTAAATTAATCTTATTTCATCTTAACACTTAAAGATTTATTCTCTTAAACCTTCATTAAACAATACTATTTTTCTTGATTCAAGTAAATAATGTTATGATTGCTCATACTAAGGACATTCTATTATAGAAAAGATTATAATACTTTTTATTGCTTTATTTATGATTGAGATTATCTTATTCATATTCACATTCTGATTATCTTCTTGCAACATAAATTATTTTCAATTTTAAATTTGATTTAATTATTAAAATTATGTTAAAATTATTTGTTATAAATATTGCAATTTTTGAATTTATGTATAAAACATTTATTAGATTATGTATAATAATCTATTAAATAGATTTTTAATTACTCTAAAAAATATAAGTATAATAGTGTTTTTTAATAAATATCATTAGTGATACACTTTTATTTAATAATTTTCTGCTTAAGTAATTTTGAATATCTCTTCAGCTGCTTCATCCAACAAAGTTTCAAATAAAACATCTGATAATTCAACAGCAACTTCAGCTTATTCTTCATCATAATTTTACCATTTTTCTTCTTATTCTTGAATCTAAAATTGATCAAATTATTTATTACCTCATATTCTAACATTTGTTATAATCTATCTTCTTTAATTTAATTCAAGTAATCATCTTCTATTACAATAATTTCTCCTTAAGGTGTCTCTATTTTTTCAGGGATAAACCCACATAAAAATGATCCCCATTTTAACATTTTAGCAATAGCAAATCCCATAGCTTTATCAATAGATTCTTTAGTTGTTTAACTTTAGTAAACCTTCAAAGGATTTGATTTCCATGGATATGGCTATCCTCTTATTCCGAATGGTCTTATATAATTTATAGACTCATTAAATGCTTCATAAATCATCCTTAAATGATAAATCTCAAGATCCTTAAATTCATCACTTATATTAATATCATTATAGTATTTTAATTTAAGAGCATAAGACTAATTAAATTTAGTCCAAATCTCTTCATCAATTAAAGGTTCCATTTGATGAATGTGTTTTATTAGTGGATACAAAGGTCCAGATGTTGAGTCATCAAGACCATTTTATTACATATCACTAAGTGAAATTGTCCTTAATAAATCTTAAGGTGTAATACCTAAAGGAGTATTAACCTACTATATAAAAACCGTAAGATAATGCTCTATAAATCTTTAAATTTTTACTTTAAATAAATTCGCTAAATTATACAAGATAATCTTTAATAAAATTAAGGGTTGTTGGAAATCCTGGAGGAAATAATTAGTCTAATTGAGAGTCCTCATCCCATTCCATCAATACACCTAGAGATTGTAATGGAAAATTATTCAACTCTTCAGCAAATTCTGAAATGATATTTTAAACTATATTTTCAGTTAAATTATCAATTTTTCTATCATCAAAAGGTATTATTGATTTTTTAAAACCTTCTTTTGGTTCAATTACTTTATTTTCAGTAATTTCTATTGATTCTTAAGAAGGTACAGATTATTAAAGAGTGGATGGTAATTATATAGATTTATGTTAGGAATGATTTATTAATTCTGTTTGAACATTAAATATTGTACTTGTTTAGATTTCCTCATTTTTCATAGAAATTTCATCTAAACTTACTTATTAATCAAAACTCCTCACTTATTTTCTATTTTTCGAATATTTCTTAAATTAATCATTCTCTAAATTTTATTAATTTATTAATACTAATTTATTATAATAATCCATAATGTGGAATAGATTTTCTTTCTATTTCTCCATCAGATTATTCAGTTTCTGAACGAATAGAAAAAATTTATCTAATAGATAAATTCTCTTCATCAGTTTAGATTTTCATTCTTTCCATAAATAATTGATCTTTTTATGTTGATCTTATTGTATCTTTAAACATTTAATGTAATCTTTCAAGGTCGTTTTTAGATTATTATAACTTATCTTTCTCCCTTCTATATCTTTTATCTAATTTATCTTTATTTTCTGAATACAAATCACTTGAGACTTTCTTTATTTCTAACATTTTTTCTAATAATGCTAGTTATTAGTTATATTTCAATTATAAGGCTTCTTCTCTTAAATTTATCACTTGCATAAAGTATTCTGGATCAGAATTCAATCCATGATATAAACAAATGTTTTTTTAAGGAGTTGAATTCTGATTATTTTCCTAGTCTATGATTTAAGATTCTGATTCTGATTATTATTATTATTATTATTATTATTATTATTGAATAGATTTTTACGGAGATGATTATTATTATGAAAATTAGTCCAAAATTAAATTAGAAATACTTTTATTTCCTCTAGAACTTGATTATTATAAAGACTCTGATGGAGGAGGGGCATTATCTTAAAATTAAGGAATTGGAGAATCCTATTATTGTAAATCTAAAGGGTTTAATTGTATTTCAGAATCATTCAATTAGTTTATGGATTTAATTTCTCCCTCTTGAGACAATCCTTCAAACTACTAATGCAATTTTTATTCCTCATTTTTTTATTCCTCCAATTCTTGCTCTTAAATTAAATATTAAAGATATTCAAAAACAATTGATCTTGTCTTATAACCTCTCCAAATCTTTTATATCATAGTAGCAGCCATATTTTATATTTATTTTAATTATTCTTCGTTCGTTTCATTTATGATTAATTCTTTTGGAGATGTAGATACTTTTTCTTTTTAAGATTAACTCCTATTACTTTAATGAGTCTAATGAGTTATATTTTATTATTGAGATTATAATTAGCTATTAGATAATTATTATTTAAAAGTCTATTAAAATCTTTCTTATAATTCATTAAATCGGTCTTTGATATTTGATTTAGTTTATTATTCAAATTTTTCTTTTAGAAATTGCTCTAAAAATTGAAACATTTCTTATTCACTTAATTTGTATTGAAATCCTTTATTATTCATTTATTCATTTATGGATTACATTTGAGACATTTATTCTTAGATATAAGATTCAGGTACTTTTTATAGCCAATCTATAAATTTCATTTAACTTGTTTTTCTTGTATGAGATTAAGTACTACTATAACTAGATTATCTGAGAGATCGCATGAGTTCTTTATATTCTTTTTCTAATTTATTAAAATTAGGAGCTTCAGAAGTTCTAAAGTGTTAAGATGATTATTATCCATGATAAGAAGCTACTTAAGCTGTTAAATTTGATTTTAGAGAAGCATTTCTTGATTTAGCAAAGAGTTTAGCTTCTTAATCTAGTATTTGTAAATTTTATTCCAATTTCTCTTTTTTCAATTTTTATTATTTTTTTCTAATTAATAAATAAATAAATTAGATACTCTTCATTTTTTTTTTGCCTCCATAATTCTCTCTTATACATCATATATAATTTAACATCCTATTCAGCATCTTTATTCTCTAAACTACTTTTAAGTTTTTATGGAGATTAAATAATCTCTAAAACTTATTTTGATTTTTATTCTAATAATTTAAAATAGAATTTACTTTGTATCATTTTTTATATATATTTTTCAGGTTTTGAATTGAGAAAATCCAATCCCAACTTATGTCTTCTAATTTTTTCTTTAATTGCTTATTCTGTAGCAGTTTAATTTATTTATTAAGGATTTTCTAATTTATCATGAATGTCTAACATTTTTGTCCAATATTATTTTAATTTATTCTAATTAATACCCCAAGGTAACATGGATGATGATGGAGATTTTGACTTTATACAAATAAAATGTAAAATTTACCCTAACAAATCTTTGCTAATTTAATTATCTAATTTGCTAATCCATCATTTTTCTCATTTCGTTAAAACTAACTACCCTTTGCTTTTGCATTTCTTCCTTAATCTATTATTCTTATTTTTCCTCTATTTGTAAATCATATAAAATACTTTAATGTTTCCTTAAGTTTGATTTTAGTAGATGTTCTAGTCTAACTTCTGATCCTTACTTATCTAATGTTTATACTTTATCTTTCTTTTAAGTCTTCTTCTTCTTTTTCTTCTTCTTAATTTAATTTTAGAATTTCAGTAAAGCTTAAGAGTCCTTAGTAGGAGCACTTTGATGAATTATTATCTATTGTTGCAAATTTATAATCGGACCAGAAGATGAAAGTTTAAGTGATTTACTATTCTTTGGACTCTTTTTTTCTGGACTCTTTATTACATGAATTATCTCTTCCTCAAGTTTATTTGCCTCGATAGGGCGTTGCACTAATCTTGCAGAATTCATTATAACATTCGGTTCGACTTTGCGACACTGCATTAATTATATATAAAATTATTAACGATAATTGAGTATCAAAACAAAAATTTTTAAAAATAATTTATTGATCATGTTAGTGTTAAAATATAAATTAAAAGAGGATCACTATTCAATTTAAAAATATGTTACTGCAATCTATAATAATTTAATATTCCTCATTACTTTAAGATAATTTTTTATGTAATTAATCTAAAAAAATATTATTATTCTAAAATTAAATATAAAATTTATTGTAAACATGTAGTTGTAAAGTAGTTAAAAAGTATAATGATTTAAAATATTTAGGTAATCTAATTTAGAATTAAATTGCAAATATAATAAATAATTAAAATTAAATTATGAATGACTTATTCAAAAAGCTTAAATATTTTGTTCTTAAAAATATTTCTTAATTATTTACATTCATAGCGTCCAAACTTTTAGATATTAATTATAAATATGACATAATTATTTATAGGATAATTTATTAATTTGAGTTTTATTCTTTATCAAAAATATTAATTTTTTAAAATTAAATTCTTCAATCTAAGATAATAATCTATTATGCATGGCAAAAATATAATCATTTGGAAAATAATATAATCAGCTATTTCTATATTTAATCTTTTAATTTTTTCACAAAGTAAAATAAATCAGGTTAATCATTTAATAGTATAAAACCTATCAATACTTGGTTATTAAATTATAATCTAAGAGATCAAATTACATAATAAAAGAATTCTAATAATCATTCAAAATGATCTATAATCACATTCTTAATTAATAAAAATTATTAACTTGAGAAATATTGGCTTAATATCCATATAATTAAACTTCAAATAGATTAATAATTAATCATTAATGTTTTAGATTTAGGTCAGATGTTATTAATAAATATTCTTATTCTTAAACTGGCTAAACTAAATTTAAATATCATCATATAATTTTAGCAAATTCTTTAATATTTTTTTCTTAGAATCTAATATACTTAATAATTTTAGTAAAAATTAGAATTAGGATATCTATCTACAAATTCAAATGAGTCATTTGAAAATAAATATAAAAAAAGGACAAATTTTATGCGAAATTTAGTTATTAAAATTATCCATCAATTTATATTTCATTAGTATTGATTTCTTGTAATGTAATTGGCATTTATTTAAACATCTTATTAAATAGTATGAATCAAAATGATTAATCAAAGTATCCATGATTTTATATTAGACTTTTATTTATGTATATTAATTAAAAATAATAAAAAATAGAATAAATTGAAGATTTGGAACATTTAATTATAACAAAACTTATATTAAACTGAGACAATTTTGTGAATTTAAGATTTCTTAAAACCTATTGTTAAATTAAATTTATATTAATAAAATAAAAGCTAGTATTATTGATACAAAAGTAATAAATAAAATTATTTGAAGAAGTTAAATGATTTAGGATATAAGATTTTAGATGAAAAAGAGACAATAATTTATTTTTTTTTAATTATTTGACATAATGGAATTTTTGGTTGGTAATATTATTTGAATAAAAATTTGAGTATTAATAGAATAATATCGTTTGATAAATTTTGAATTATGATTTAATTGAATCCCTTATATTTAAAAGTCAAATGGAAAATTGTAAATATAAAGCATTAAGATTTTTGGAGAGAATTTTTAAAAGTCTAAATAAATTCAAATAAAATTAATATAAATATCGTTAATGATAGGAAAGAAAGAAATATAAATTTCTAATGCTACTAGAGATAGGGTTGAAGCATGTAGAATATATATTGAGCGTATGAAAACTTTATAATTTATTTAGGCAAATATGCAAAATAAATTGAAGAAGAATAATAATAATTATAAGGGTGGTAATAGTTATCTAAACTAATGGATTCACTTCATATGAATGCAAAAGAAAAGGAAATTATAAAAAAAGATATACTTAAAAAGGAAGCTGAATAAATGAGAAAGAAGTATTAAATTTTCAAAATTGTTAGGAGGATGAGATTAAGCATTGAAGATTTTTAACCACTTGCTATTATCGGAAGAGGAGCCTTTGGTGAAGTGAGATTATGTAGACATGTGCCATCATAATAGATAGTAGCAGTCAAGAAGATGAAGAAGCATGAAATGATATATAAAAATCAAATTGGTCATGTTACTAATGAAAGAAAGGTATTAGAAGAAGCAAAAGGCAATAATTGGATAGTAGAAATGAAATGTTCATTTTAAGATGAAAAAAATCTATATTTAGTTATGGAATATTTACCTGGTGGAGATTTGATGACATTATTAATGAAAAAAGATATCTTATCAGAAGCAGAAGCACGGTTTTATATGGCAGAATTAGTTTAAGCAGTATCATCAGTGCATAAACTTGGTTTTATCCATAGGGATTTAAAACCAGATAATATTTTACTTGATAATAATGGTCATATTAAATTATCTGATTTTGGATTATGTAAAGATGCTGAATTGCATTTTGATAAACCAGTATTTTCCTCAAAATTTAAGTAGAAATAAACTAGAAGAGAAGTAAATATTTATATGATTTATCCTAGAAAGCATTTTCAACAGTTGGTACTCCTGATTATATTGCTCCTGAAGTCTTTTTATAATAAGGATACAATGAAACTGTTGATTGGTGGAGTGTAGGAGTAATCTTATATGAAATGTTAATTGGATATCCACCATTTTATACAGATGATCCATCTACTACTTGTTAAAAGATTATTAGATTTTAATAATGCTTTACATTTCCAGAAGAACCAAAAATATCTTAATTGGCTAAGGATTTAATTAGTAAACTTGTTTGTGATACTAATAATCGATTAAAATTTGAATAAATCATAAGACATCCATGGTTTGGTGGATTATCAATACTTAAAATTAGAGAAATGAAAGCTCCATACATTCCAACTATAAGAAGTGAATTAGATACTAGCAATTTTGATAAATATGAAGAAGAAGAGCCTTGGATTATTAAAGGATCTCAAAATAGTAAAAAAGAAATGAATTTTGTTGGATATACATATAAATAAGAAGATTTTGAAGAAAAAAGGCCAATCTAAAAAGCATTAGAGGAACTTGAATATTCTAAGCCTTCAAATTCAAGAGGAAATACTAAAACTACTAACTCGCCTTATTAAAGTCCTAACTTATAATTTAAAAGTACCTTAAATAAATAAACTCCTTCCACTTAATAAATAAAATCTTCAAGTACAACACAATCTCCTTTTATTAAATAATAAGCAGTCTCACCTATGCCTTTATGTAAGAATTAAATTTAAAAAAAATCATTTTTAAATAATAGACTATAAACAGAATAGAATGAAAGTTTTCACAATACAAATTAATAACATTTATCAACATAAGGAAACTTAAATAATGAAAATTCAAATCCAAATGCAAATTCTTAGAATATCAAAAATTTTATATTTTAAAAAATTTAGTAACATACTGTTAACAATTAACAATCTATAAATAATGGGAGTATTTAAAAAACTGTATAATTTAATGTAGATTTACAAAAATTAGTTTAACATTAAAAATTTAAACCAGAAAAATCAGATTAAGAATAAACAAAAATAAGTAGTAATACAAGTAACAATATTAATGTATTCAAATAAAATATAATGAATTAAATAAGAGCAATAAGTCCTTTAACAAAAAGATGAACTTATATTATTTTATAATAGTTAAATTTTATATTAATGAGAAGAATTCATGAGTGGACACAATTTTTCTAGCTTTAAGAAAAGCTTTATACTAAGAAACCAGTGTATATCATAAGATATTTCATGATATATAAAGATCAAATGACTCCAATAATGAGGGAAGTTTATAAGTTCAATCCTACATAAAAATTGGTTCCTTATAAATGGACATTAGCAATCTTAAGTTGTTTAACAGGAGTAACATTAAACTTATGTTATAATAAATATTTCTTTGATGAATAATTTGTAAGGGATCCTGGTTGTCCTTAATAGATAGAAATGCCTTTTGTATATTGTTTGTATAGGTTATTTTGGTATGAATTATTTTGCATTGCACATGGTCATCCTCTTGACAGATTTCGTGATGGGGATTTTGTTAATGCAAAAATAAGAGCAGATCATTATGAATATTATTAAAAAAATAGAGATTCAACATTTGATTTCATGTAATTAGGAGAATTAGAGTAATTTGATTTGGAATGAGTAAATAAGAATATTTATATAAAAAATTAATTTTTTTTATTATTTATTTTCAAATTTTTAATAATGTAGGAGTTAACAGAACTTAAGAATTTAGTTATACAATCTTTAGAGTCAAATGGATCTTTAGCAAAGATTAGAGCTTAAATTAGAGCATCTGTCTTTAATGTAGTTGATTAATAAGAAGGCAATAACAAAAAACCATCTCCATTTTTTTGGGAAAATAATAAAGCATAAACAATATATGAATTGGGTTGTGGTAGAGATATGTTAGAATTGATAAAAGAGTTTTTCCTATTTTTTGATATGCATTACACAAATTCAATATTTTCAAGGTATTAACTTTAAATGATTTTTTTAGTGAAAGTAATTTAAGAGATGAAATCAATAGAGAATAAATTGCTAAGAAATTAAATATTGAAGCTAATGATACAACTAAACCATTGCTCTTTTTTTTATTAAAAAATCGACATTCAGAGAAATAATCGTAAAATTTACATCAATATTTTTTTAAGTGAAGAAAAAGTTCCTTAAAAAATAGCTCAGCCATCTCCAAAAGAAGTATAATTGTAGTAATAATAATAATAATAATAATAATAATAATAATAATAATAATAAAAATAATAATAAGAATAAAAATTATAAGAGTAAAAAAAATAAGATGAATTGAGAAAATAAGAAGAACTTAAAAGATAAGAAGAAGAAAAGAGAAAGTTATAATAAGAAGAATAAAGGAAAGTTGATGAATTAAAAAAAAAATAAGAAGAATAAAAGAAGTTAGAAGAATAAAAGAAAGAGTAGCAACGAAAATAATAAGAAGAATAAAAAAAATAATAGGAAGAATTGAAAAAACAATAAGAATAATAAAAATAAGAATAATAGAAGTTAGATTAATAAAAAAAGGAATAAGAAAAATTAAAAGAATAATAAAAGCAACAAGAATTATTAAGATAATAATAAGAAAGAGAAAAATAAGAGGCAGGATAAAAAAAAGCATAACAAAAAAGATTTGATAATAGAAATTTTGAAGATGAAAAATATGATAATGATGATTTAGAAGAAGAATTAGAGGGAGAAGTATAATTATTATAAATTTAGGATTTAAGGGATTCATAATTATAATAAGATTAGTTTTAAGAATCAGATGAATATATGCAACAATCTTAATCATAAGGAGTTGATATGACTATTGATTCAGCTGCTTTAGAAGAATTTGATTATTTTGAAGAGATTGAAGAAATGGATTGAAATTTTGATATGCTAAATACAAAAATATATTAAATTTTATTTTATGTTGCAAAATTTAAATGTTCCACCTTTATTCTCTATTAATAGAGAAGAAATACTTAAACCTGTTCAATAAGCATAGGTAGAGCAGGTACCAACCAAATAAACTGTTGAAATTAAAGAAATTGATTTAAATATACCAAATAAAACTTTATATATCAATAGATTAAATGAGAAAGTGACAGCAGAAGAAATGAGATAAACATTATATGCATTATTTTCATAAAGTGGAAAAGTGCTTGATATAATTGTCAAAAAAAATATTTTAATGAGAGGACAGGCTTTTATTTTAATGGAAGATGAAGATTCGGCAATAAAAGCTCAAAAAGCATTTCATAATACTTAATTGTATGATAAAGTTATGGTAAGACTAAGTTTGATGATTAGAAAGTGAATTTTGCTAAAGAAAAATCATACTATATTTCAAAAGGAGATTATGAAGAAAAAGAGAAGTTGCCTATGAGTGATAAAATAAAAGAACATAAAAAGAGAATTCAAGATAAAAGATAAAGAGAAATGATAAATTAGAAATAATAAAGAGAAGCACCAACTATATCTATGCCTTTAACAATGAATTAAGTCTATACTGGAACTAGCAATAAAATAAAAGTATTATTATATTTTTAATTCTTCGATTCCAAATTAACCAAATAAAGTCTTATTTGTTGAAGGATTGCACTTAGTTGACTTTGTTAACTTAGAATAACATTTTAGAAACTTTTACGGATATAGAGAGTTTAGAGGAATAAAACCAAAAGGTGTAGCATTTGTGGAATTTGAAGATGAACTATAGGCAACTCATTGTTTGAATGAATTAAATGGATCCTAGTTTGAAGAAGTCACATTATAAATAAGTTATCAGAAGAAATGAGAAAATATTTATCAAAATTACAAAAAATGAATTTTACATATTAAAATTTTGTTCATGTACTTTCAATCTAAACAAAAACAAAAATAGGAGTCATTAAAATACTTATGATACTTGAGTTTGTTCAAAATGTTGCATTGTGTTTTCCAAAACATGGGTGGCAGTAACTGAAATATAAAGACAAAATGTTAAGCAGCATCTAATAATTAACTAATTATTCACTTTTTATAGATAGAAAACATACTGAATACTTATTAGAAGTTTTCATCATATCGCTTTCATTAATCTATTTTATAATGCTTATTATATACTTTCATTTCCCTAAACAACAAAAAATTTCTTAATTAATAAGCATTACTTTAAATATATTCTAAAAGATATTTAGGATTCCACTAATAGTAATTTATATTGATTTTATGAATCACTCTTAATCAGGATTTGTAGAAATAATTATTACTTTCTTGATTTTTGCAGTATTTTTGATATTCTTAGCTGCAACTACATATTTTTAAAGAGATATGGCTATTAATTTTAGTAAGTTGTATTTTCCACTTAATCGATATTATACACCATATTTATATGCAATTTATATATTAGATTTAATAAGAATTTTCATATTTGTTGTGATTGATACTTAAACTGGATTTGTCATATTTTATATGCTAACTATTATAACTTAGATTATTGCTTAATATCATAATGTATATTAATAAAATGATCCATATAAATTTAATTAAGGTCTAATTTCTTGCAATTTAATCATTTCAGTATTTCTATTATTAGGATTAGGTACTAAAATAGATGAAATTTTAATTTTTAATATATTACTTTATATGATGACATTGTTATTTTATTTATCTACATAAATTGATTTATTTTAATTTGTTAAATCAAATAATATACTTCATATAATAGAGAAGAAAATTAAATTAAATTTTAATCCATTATTTTTAAAATAAGTTACTTAATACAAATAGGACTATGGATTATATCTTAATTTTATCAAATAAATTATTGAAAATGAAATAAAAGGTAATCATTATTTTTAGAATGAAAATAATGTTTTGATATTATTTGATTATTTAACAAAGAATTAGTAAAGTTACTTTTAAGCTTTATTTATTCTCAATAAATTTGAGTGCTAATAAATGAAATTATCCTTTTTTTATAAGATTTATAGTCAATTATATAAAACTTAAATTTAATTTGATATTATTCAAGTTAATAAACCAACTTTAATGATATAATAATTAAATAGAGATCTTTTAATAGAAATAGAATATCAAAAGAGATTTTCTGATATTCTTACTAAATAAATTGAACTTTTCACTAATTTAATATAGGGTAGCAAAAGCTTTGCTGAAGCAGAAAACAAGATTATTTAGGTTTCATAATCTATTTAAAATACTGAGAGATGGCTAATTAAAAATAAAATTCTTGAGAATTACACAAATATTATTTATATAAAAATCTCAATTAATTTTAACTCTGTTATTATGTAAAATTATGGACAAGTATTTAGATTATTATGTTTAGGCTATAAAATTAAAGAAAATCATTAAGAAAATTTTAGAAAGTGATCATAAAACATTAGAAGCCATTTAGATAATGAAAAGTAAAGCCATAATGCTTACAGTAAGTATGATTAGATAAAAAGGTTAAATTTTAAATGTTAATAAATCTATGTTATAATTTTTTGGATATAATACTGATTTTAAATTAGAATTTTTGGAATAATTAATGCCTGATTCAATATCACCATTACATAGTTAATTTATAGAAAGATTTCTTTAAAGAAATTAATTGAAAACCCATAATTTATAAAATTCTCTTGAAGTTCTTTAATAATAGGAGAATGATAAAATTTAATGTTTAGAAGTGACTTTTACTGTAAGTAATAATAAATCTGATTTTATATTAATATCTTTACTAAAAAAAGTTAATTAAGATAAAGGCTATATAATTTTTGATCCATCAGGTAAAATTACAGGTATGAATGATTATTTAGAGTAATTTAATGAATTACATTCATAAATGAAGCAATACAATTATATTTAATATTTTTCAACAGAATTATTTTATATCATTAATAATAATGAATTCTTAAATGAAAAAGAAGTTAGCTTCAATTTAAGGTAGAATATTCATACAATTGATAAATAATATAAAAGTTATATTTAATCTTTTATTAAACTAAATACTTATGGTAATAATCCTCATTAAGATTATATAATTTGTTCAGATAGATCAGAGAAGAATTTTTTATTAAGTCATAAGAATTATTATTCTAACAATGAAACATATTAATTTGACTTTTTAGAGCCACAATTATAGGAAAAATTAAATTAGATTATCAATTTCAATATTGTAAAATATTCAATATTATTTTTAGTCATAAAATGATATGGCATTGAAATATAGAGTAAAGCTATCAAAAGTTGAAATAAAAGGCCAAATAATTTAGTATTAATTAGAGTTGATTCCATTAGAATCAAAAGCAGAAAATGGAGAAATTGAAAAAATTAATGATGAAATTCTATAAATAGAAAATGTGAAAGCTAAATCATTAAATGATGTTAGTATAGTTAGTTCAGAATAAAAAGGATAATTTATCTTACATGATATATTACTCAAATAATCCAGTAGCTAACCATTTTTTTAGATTTATTTTTATAAAATAGTATTAGTGATTTTAGTTGTAGTATTTTTAATAATACAAGTTAATTAGTTAGAAATTGATTTTAATACAAAGTTAACATATACAGAATATATATAATCACCTTAATTAATTAATTAATTTTATAATAGGGCTTTTCATTATGGATTTAATCAAATAATATATCAAAATTTAAACTAATCAGAATATTTAATAAATTCATTTAATTAAGAGAAAGAAATGATTTTATAATTACTTCGATCAGAATTTGGTAAACTATATTAAGATTTAATAAATATTGATGAAGACTAAGCATCACCTTCATATAACCTAATATTACTTAAAAATTAGATAAATTTTGAAAATTATGCAACGTTTTCTTCTGTAATTAGAGAAAATACTATTAGTTTATTATCATATTAAAAAGATACAATATAATTTAATAAATCATTATTGTTTTTCAGATTAAATATAATATAAGCATATTAAAGTACTATTTATCTAATAGAAAAGTTTACATCTATTTTAAATGATTACTCTTTAAATTTTATGTTATTTTGGGAAACTGTTTTAATCATATAAATAATTTTATTTAGTGTACCTTTTATAATCAATATTAAAAATTGGTATTATTTTGAAAAAAGACATAAATATTTGATATAAATTATTTCAAGAATTAATGAAGATCAAGCATCTAGATTAATAGAGATTAAATAATAATTAATATAGCATTCAGAAAATGAAAAATAACAAATAAATATGAATTAATCTTATTATACATGTAAATCTCCTTTAAGATTGATGCATTCAACAATAAATTAATCTTATCAAAATCTTCGATCTAGAGATACATAGTTATTATATGAAAGAATATAGAATAAATCAATCAGTATTGTTCTAAAATTGGGCATAGCATTATTTTGTTATATTGCATTAGTTGCATTAGCATCTTTTGGCTATTTTTAAATTAAGACTAGTGATACTTAATATATGCCAATAGAAAATTTAATTAAGACTTATGTTAAATTTTAAGCTCAATTAGGATTCTTGTTGTCTTTTGCATCCATTTTAAAAGGGCAACATTTATTTGAAGAATCACTTAGTAAAATAAATGATCCTGAAATTGGAGATTTTAGAATTTACTTTGAGGATGATGAAGTTCCTAAATACTTTTAGAATGTCTCATAAACATATTCAAAAAAAATAATATCTATATTTTCATCAATAATATTAAGTGATTAAATAGATGAAAATGATAAATCACAATTATATGATCTTTATAAGGGTGATTTTTGTGATTATTTAATAGATATCTTGCCTTTTTGTAACACATCTATATCTTTTAATTAATTTGAAATGATTTATGGTTAATTTTATCCTTATGAGAATAATTCAGAAGTTCTAAGAAAAGGTATAATTGGATTTATTAGTAATTTGGATTCATTATTTAAAAATGATTTCGAGATAGAAATATCTTAAGGTATTTATTAAAATAATATATCTAATGAAATCTATTACTACAAAGAGTTTAATAATCTTGTTGTTTAGTATTTTTTTAATACTTCAGAAGGATTTATATTATTTTATGATAAGGTAGATAGTGTATCAAAAGGTCTTATATAATAATAGAAAAATAATTTATTAATTTACTTTTATTCATTTGGTTTGACTTTTTTGCTTGTTTATTTTATTATTGCAGTATTACAAATCATTTAATCACAAAAAAGATATAAAAATTGTGTCTTAGCATTAGTAACATTATCTGAAGATATATTAAATGACAAAACTAATCTTAGTCTATTGAAGAGATTGAGTAGATGAAATTTAATTTTTTATTAAGTTTTAGAGTCTAATTTATTTTAATTATATATAAACTTTATATTTATTTTAAATAATCAGTTAAGATTAATAATGAGTACAGTTCAAATGAAATAACATATAAACTTCTTAAGAAAAGCTGTTGGGGAAATCAAGGATAGCACTTAAGAGAGAATAACTGAAATATCCACTGAAGTTTAATTTAATCCTCAAGATAATAAAGAATTTAATGATTTACTAAATGAAATTAAATAAGACACATTAAGAAAGTTACATGCATTTTATGAATTAAAAGTTAATAATAAGACAAATGTATATTAATAAGAGTTGTCTAATTGTTCAAATAATTATTCAGAATTATAATAATAAGTATTAGAATAGTAAGAAATTGTAAAAGAAAAAATAAATTAAAATTTATAGAAAGTAATATTTATATTGAAATTAGAGAGAACAATATGATAAATTGGCAATCAGAATGGTTCTCAATTATGAGAAACTAAAATTATATAAATAATATTTTAATTCTCTAAAATAATATGCAGAAAGAAAAAGAAAAAATAGATAAGCAAAATTTGATGCTTATCAAAAATATTAGTTAGGATTATAAACTAAAGTATTTTATTATTGGAGAAGTACATGTCATAAAACTGGATATTAGACTATGCTTATAACTTAAGCTGCTAAAGAAATTAAGAATATATAATCATGTAAAATAAATCAATTAATTTAGAATTTATCGATATTGTTAAAATATTGAAAGCAAAAATAGCTGAAACTGAGGAATAAATTTAAATTAAGAAAAATGCTAAAGCTGAGTTCTCTTACAATTTGAGTAGAAATCTTCTAAAAACTATAAGTAATTTATCTATGGAAGTTATGTCTCTTCATTAAGTTACTATAAAAGGTATCATTTATATATATTAATTAGATAATTAAATTAATAATGATGAAAATACTAAATTTTTGAAAGAAGTTAATGGTTTGATTCAATCTAAATTGAGTAGTATTCAATAATTTAAAGAAAAATTAAAGTCTAATGAAGAAGCAGCAGCATCAGAGACCTTTAAAAAGAATAAGCAAACCATCTAATTTGATCTTTAAAATTAGTCAAAAAAATGATTTATATATATATATATAACATATAAATTTTAGAGCTTTATCAATAAAATAAATTATTTATTATTAGATTTGAAATTAAAGGAATGGGTGTATGTAATACCAAGAAACCTATAAAAGGGGAATTGCCACATATTTGTGAATAGGTCAAAGAGAATCCAAAATCTGAAAAAATTTTAGGAGATATGAAAGATAATAACTAAAACCTTAATCCTTACAAAAATCCAATTCTAGCAAGAAGATTACAATCTATTTCAGTCTAATAAACACTCTAATAAACTCTTAATTCTAAAACCTTAAACCAAAATCCTTGAATTTATTTCATTCTTACATAAAATTATCTAACACTATTATTTTTTACTGTTCTTCTAAAAAAACTAATAATAAAAGTCATTTTATAAATATTTCTATAAAATTCTTTTATATTATTTATAGGGTTAGTCTAAAAAGAAAGTGATGAATAAATAAAAAATACTGAAAACATTAATTATAATTCTAATAATAAATATTGAATGATATTTTATTCATTTTTCATCTTCTTCTTAGATAGCATCACCATTTTGAAATTATTTAATAACTTTTTCCATTTATGGACTTTGAGCATTTTCAACATGATCAAATTCTGTAGTATTAAATTTTTACATTATCTTTTATTAATTAGATTAAATGGGTCGAAAAGCATTATCTTATGTTACAAAAGATCCTTTATTTTCAAGTCTATCCTAAGGACTACCTTTGATTTTATCATTTGGAAATTCTGTAGTCAAAGCTTTGCCACTTGTAGAGAACATTTATTTTTTTTAATTAGCTGTTAATTTTGAAGGTCCTTATTATCCTTAAGCTTAATAACATGAAACAAAAAATGGATCCTGTAAACATTCAGCTGCACTAATTCTTTGGTTTGGTTCTTTTTCTAACATTTTTTAAATTAAGGTCTAATTTATTGAATAATGATTTAATACCATAATCGAGGGATCAATTTTTTTCATTTATAAAGGAGTTAAATCAATTTTGCATTATTTATTTAGTTTTAAAACTAAATTAAATCCAACTCCTGGAAAAAGATCTTTTCCTGTCAATCTTAAATGAATATGATTTATACAATTTAAAGAAGATTACTCCAGCACTGAAAACATCACAAACTTTATCATATTTAATTGTTTTATCTACTAGATTGGCAATTTCAGGAGCAACATAACCTGGTGTTCCACATTTAGGAAATAAATATCTATATTATTAATATTAATTTTATACTTATCAAGATTGCAATATGTAGCTAAACCAAAATCAACAATTTTTAAAGAATTCAAATCTCCTTTTTTTAATAACATAATATTTTCAGGTTTTATATCTCTATGCATAATTTATTTTTCATGCATGTATTCTATACCAGTTAAAATTTGCTTATGATTAGGAGATAATAAATACCCACATAATATTTCTAACAATATCCTCTGGGAATCCATTTTTATGATTATTTAATTCATCATGTAAACTTCTTCCTTCTAATAAATCCATCACCATATAAAATGTGTTATCTCCCTCATAGACAGCATGTAATTTAATAAACGAAGGATGATCAAGAGTATTATTAATAGAAATTTCTTGAAACATAGATTCCTGAGATTAAAAAATAAAGTACAATTCCATTTTCTGTTTCATTTACATAAGATTTATCTACACATTTAGCTGCATAATATAATTCAGTATTTTTATGTCTAACAAGTAGAACCCTTGATGAAGCACCTTTTCCCAAAGTTTAAAGAGGTGTATAAAAGTCTTAAATCCTTTAAAATATGATTTTATTTCTCAAATGCTCTTTTAGAATTGTAAGAGTCTTCTCATCACTATAAAATGTAGAAATTTTAGCCACATGATTTTCTTTGATTTATTTAACCTATATGAAATATATGATTTTTATTCACTTATTGAAATTTGAATGACACTATTTTATAATGCTTTTTTCCATTCAAATTATCTTCCTCAACTTCCCATTTAATGTGTGTTTATAGTTGGATTGGCAAAGAATGCTTAGATACTTGTGAATTTTCCTAAAATGAAAATATCAGTTAAATAATTTTACCTTGTACAAATCTAATCTATCAGACTTAAGCATTCCAATATACTTTTTATTTCCATTCTTTCCTTTTCGAAAACACTCGAATTAATACAAATTTTAGGTTTCAATTTACATTGCCAGAAAATATTTTAAGATGTATTTAAAAGTTAAAACAATAAAAATTAATGATATTATTTAATACAAATAAAATGATAAGAAAAAGATTTTATTTTTTGTAATGATATATAAATATCTAATCTAATATATGTTTTGTATATTTGAACTTAAAAATATTAAAGATTGATAATTATAATTATTATAATTATGATAAATATAATTCAATATCCTCAAGACACTCATTTTGTTAAACCTCTTTTTCTAATAGGTTTAGGAATTACTATTCATGAGGTACATAATGAAGTTTGAGACAATATTAGATTATTTCATATCCATTAGACAGAATTGTAACTAGAATGATTGCAAAAAGTCCATATTAAAACTAATCATTTTCTGAATAATTAAAATAAATTAAGTTAGCTGAATCAATTAAAGGATTGTATAAAGGATTTAGGACATCATTTGATAGATCAATAATTTAGAATCTATCATTCTATTTTTGTTTCTAATATTTCTTTTTAAGATATGGATTGGAATTTAATAGTAGAACAAGAATAGAAGTAAAAGATTAACCATATTTGAAATATTGTGAAAATGCAAAGTTTTATGGAATAGCATTTGGATCTGCAATACTATCAACTATATTTTCACAACCTAGTAGTGTAGTTAATATCAAATTATAATGTGAATAATTAGGATTACCACCTAAGAAATATTGGGATAATATGAAGCATTTAGAAGAAATAATGAATTATCATAACAAAAAATTTAAAATTGCTTTTACTCCTGGATTTAAAAGCAAAGTTGTATTACTATATTGTTAATTTGTTACTGAAATCACAATTTTCTAAGAATTCTTATATTAACAAGGATACTAATTTATGAATAAAAATGTTTACACAAATTGTGATACAAAAAATAATCATTTTATTGGAGCATTAGCAACTAGTTTATTAGTGCCAATAATATTCCATCCTTTGAATTTTTTATAAAAAAGATATATGATAAGAAAATTATAAAATATGAAATTATTGACACCTTAAGAGATGTTAAAATAAGTAATATTATTATGAAATATTCAAAGGATATATCTAAGTTATCTACTTTATATTGTGGATTTGGAGCAGAAGTGTTTAGGTATAGTTCTAGAAGTATGTTGATATTTTATTTGATTTGGAATTCTGCTAATTAAACAACAAAGTATTGATTATGGTTTATAGTATATATGAGATAATAATAAGCTAATTTTTATAAAATTTAATATATTTAAATATAAAGTAATGACTGATGCTGGAACAGAATATTTAAATCTTAAAGTTAAGTCTTAGGATGGAGAGAAAGTGTTTTTTAAAATAAAAAAAGCGACATAAAAAACTTATGGATGCTTATTGTTCAAGATAAAATGTATTATTAATATTAAGAATAATTAGATAAATATCTAAAATGTTAGATTCTTATTTGATGGAGAAAGAATTCTAGAAACTTAAACTCCTGTTGATGTATTAATTTATAATAATTTAGATTGGAATGAAAACAGGTGATGAAATAGATGTAGTAATAAAATAAGTTGGTGGAGATTGACATTCAGAATTAATATATAATATTTTAATTAATTAGTTCTAATCAAAAAAAACATAGAGGTGATTAATATTATGCTCCCAGTAATACTCTAATTCTCTATAAATTAATTTCTAATTTATATAAATGAATGCAAATGAGAAAGCATCCTATTAATATAAGTCCACATTATGACATTTCCATTATTATTTTATCATATTTCTCATTTAATAATTTATATCCATACAAACACAGAATGGTTAAAATTGTTATTATTAAACTTAAGAAATAAGATAAATAAAATTGCACTTTAAAAGCTTTATTTACATATCTAGATTAATAATTAAGATACATCAATTAGGAAGTAAAGAGAAAAATCAAAAAGCCAATCCTCAGATATAATAAGTAATGAATACTCGATCCACAGATCTCTGGATATATGTTTAATTGTAATTACACTGCATCCCAAGCAATCAAGCCAATACAAGCAATTACTATCAAAATTTATATTAGAATCTCCCTCTAACCAAATTATAATGTCAATGGCTTGATAATTTTCATTATAAATGATTAATCAATCTCTTTTTATGAGAAATTTTCTTTTATACATTTTATATTTACTATTATTTTAATATATAGGCTCTGATATACAAATTTAGTAAAATTACTAACATAAGAAATTTACATGGTTGCGTAATTCAAAAGTATTTAAAGAAAAACCAAAAATGGATGGATCTACTTTATATTATGATAATTTAATTCTTCTTCCATTTTAATTCTTTGAACTTCCTATAGTTAACAATTCTTTATCAAAGCAATCATTCACATAATTAATGTGATCTTTTAATTCTTTTTGCATTTCTATCATTTTTTTGTCTTTATTTAATGGCTATCCTAAAGGAATATTGATTCCTACTTCTCCCATAGGACAATATTTATTAAAAATATAATTATAAGCAAATGATAAGATTAAACAAACAGTTTGATGATTAAATCATATTAAATAAAATAACTTATTTATTGATAGCTTATTATCGATATATTTATAAGAGATAACAAATTTGTATTAAAAATGATTTCATTTATATTACCAATAATTATATTAATATTTTGAATGTAGATTTTATAAAGAGTAAATAATTCTTATTTTTTGTTTGTAGAGTAATCAATTTGGTTTATTCTTTGGTGAACATAGTCTCTCTAAAACCTCTTTCTGTTTCCTATTTTTAATTTAATTTCAATCTACTGTGATAACTATCTCATTTTTAATTTCTCTTTGACAGACATTTAAGGTGCCCTAAGAAAATCATTCGATCTAAATTCTTATGGAATTTTATCATAAGATCTCAAATTTGCCAAATGATTATGCTTCTTCAAACTAGAAAACTACCCTCCTTCATTAATTCTTAACTTCTTAAATAACAAGTACTTTATGTAAAAATCTCTTCCAGTTCCATCTCCTTAATAATGTTAAAATTTTGGAGATAGTGATGGCAATCCTTTACTCTAATATTCACCACTTAAAAACCTTCTTCTATCATAACATCCTTCCTCATGAACTTGAGTATTTTTTGCCAAACCTCCATTATAATAAACAACATAATAGTCTCTTCCTAAGAAATTATCATTATATTATAAAACCAGTTCCATTAGAGATGTAATTTGTGAAATTTCTTGGACTAACACAAGATGGTAACTGATGAGTTTACATAATTAATAATTATATTATTTTTATGTTAAAATAAAATAAAATCAATCAATTTTTTTTTAATGTTATTTCAATTCCCATAGATTATGATTCTACTTCTAAAGGACCATATTTCTTTAATTCTTCTGCTTATTTCTTTAAATCTTAGATTTTTTTAGCTAATGCTCTTCCTTTTTTGTACAATAATATTAAAATGACTAAAATAAAAATCTATAATATATAAAATTAATTTTACTGCAAAAACACATACTACAATAATTATATAATTGGAATCTGATTCTAATAAAGGTCCTGATGCTAAAATTACAAATTATTAAGTAATTTGACATTGTTCAAATAAATCTGTATTAGTGTGATTCTCACATTTGGAAGAATTAGCTCTAATAGTGTAATTTTATGTAGTTCCATATTAGAATCTACAAATAATTACAGGATTATAATCATTGAATCTCCAAATGTGTAATGAACCTTTTGATAATCCAATATAATAAGATGTTTCAACATATTAAGTTTGAATAGTTTGATTCATTTCAATATATTCAAAACGAATAAGTTCATCTTCAAAAAAGGTTTTAACAAGATCAGTATTATTTTTCATAAAACCATTAAATATTGAATGTCTAATAACTAAGTGTACATCTTCTCCAATAATGATAGCATAATCATCATCAATTTATATATCTCTAAATGAGAAATCATTAACATAAATTCTATTTATGTAATATTCTTTAGTAGCTGGTAAAACAAAGATTTCCATCATATATTCAATATTATTAGGTGTTTCAGCAACAATTAAATAAGTGTTATCACTATGATCAAATGCTACACATCTTTAATAAGGGAGACTGAGCAATAATGAAACTTATTAATCAATTATATCAAAAAGGTAGAGTCCTGTATGTTCATCTAAAATACTTAATCGATTCTAAGTTAATTTTAAAGAAATGATATTAATTGAAGTTTAATTCAAATCTTTAGAACTAATTCTTAAAATATATTAGAGTTTATTATCTTAATATTGATACAAATCTACTCCTGCATTTCCATTGGCTATAGCAAGATATTTCTCAAAAACACTTACTTTATATAAATCATTAGATTATTAAATGACTGGTTCAACTGTAAGAATTGGTTACTCTATTTCAGAATTTTTGTCTAACCAGATACCTCCATAATTGGATAATATTAGACATTTCTCTTGATTAGCATTAAAACAAGCAAAATAAGCATTTGTATAGTTGATTTGTTATGGATATTGTGTTTTAAGAGAATAAGAAGTGTTCTTAATTTCAACATTCCATTAGGGTTATTAAGTCTCATTATATTTTATTATAACTTATTTCAATTCTAATTCATCAGTCAATAGAAATATCCTATTTAGATAATTAATAATTTACTTTTCAAACTAAGGTAATGACAATATATCTGTGTAATATATGTCTAAGGTATTATCTAATAAATTAACACTGAGTATTTCATTCAATTTTGGATGTTTTGGTAATCCTACACAATCTAATGATAGCTGCCCATATCCTACCATTATCTAATTATTTTTCATCTAGATACTAATTATCTAAACTAAGGAATGGTGTTTCTATTTACTCTCCAATAGTATCTCCATGATTTCTAAATAAATCGATATCATAAATTGAAGGGTTACTAATATTAAATTAATTACATATCGAACCTTAGCAATTTAACATGAGCTTCTGGTGTTGCAAATTTAAATGATAATAGTTCTTCATTAATTGAATATGTATAATTTGGATGATTACGAATTCTATTTGTTTATAAGGTATTTCCAATGAGATATGAGGTAATAAAGCCTATTTAAATTAAATACATTAATTTTTATTTATTAATCAGAAATATTCTAACAATTAAAATTAATTAACTCTATTGGATTTCTATTTTAATGTTGACTGCCATTAAAAGACATAATCTAAATTAAATTATATATTTTTATGCATATTTTAAAATATTTATAAAAAAATAGGTATACAATATTATTTAGACATAATCTGTATCTATCTATTGTTAAAAATTTAAAGAATAATTTCTAATTCATAAAGATTATATTTGTTTTATTATAATTTTCATTTAATTTAATTCTACAATTTCCAGTCTTCTAAAGAACCATCATATAAAATTTATCTAAGTTTCATAAATAATTTACTATTTGGTTTTCAATAGTTCTTCAGCAATTATAGCTATACAAGCTAATTTGGCTGTTTAGCATGTATTAATTATTCTTGTTTTATTTAAATCGATTCCATTCTTTTTATATACATTCTTTAAATCTTCATCAGATTTCATAGTTTTATCTTTATTTAGATATTCTGAGAATTCTATATTTATAGATCCAGGTATTGATCCTTTTTTAAATCTATTAGAATCACGAGTATCTATTATTGCCCAATCATCTCCTTTTGGATCTTATTAATATTTTAATTATGAAATTGCAGTTACTTCAGAAGTATTTATGACTTTACCTTAAAATTTTGGTTGTTCCTCTAATTTATTGAAATTTTAATATACAGATTTCATGCTCCTAAAATTCAGCTGGTTAATGATTCAACCATTTTTAATATCCCCCATCTAAAACAAATACTTTATTGAATCCAAAATATTTAAATGTGAACCAAGCTCTGGCAGCTAAAAGAATGTGCTGATCAAAGAAAACAATAGGGGTTGACTAATCAAATTAATATTCTTTGACAAACTAATCAAACTATTATTATTATGGTAATAATCTAGGTACTGGTTTTAGTTAAGCAGTGATATCACACAAATTAAGTACTGATTAGTTACTTGTTATTATGAACATAATTATACTCACATAGCTTCTAAGACAACTCTATATTGCCTTTCTTATTTAGAGGTTACTCTGTCATGATTACATTTGCTACTCTGATATTTGTTTTTTATTTTAGTAAATAACTAAGAAATGGTGCTGAAATCAACGATCCACGCATAATTTTAATTAACAATTTTAGAGATAATCATATTTAATTTTATTCCTATTCTGGCAAATATCCATACTTCTTCATTTCTTTTAATTAGTACCTGTTTTCTTCTAATTCTTTTAATAATCTTTTCCAACGAACACAGACACATATACAAATTATACATAACACAAACTAAGTTTAATATATTTATTACGCCCAAGAAAAAGAGAATAAAAACTAAAATTGTTAAGGTATCTGAATAGAACAGAGGTCCAGAGACTAAGACATTAATTTTTTAATCTGCTTAACATTATTAATATAGAGTTTCTCTCTTAATATTTTCATCACAAGATGTTGAATTTAATTTAACAATTATTTCATGTTCTGATCTTTCATCAAAACTACATAATAAAAAGGCATGATAATCCATAAATTTCCATACATGTATAGCTTAACGAGATAATCCTACATAATAAAAAGTTTCTTTAAATCTTTATTCTTCAGGTTCACTTGATTTACTATATAATTCAAAACGAACCAATTAATTTTCAAAGAATGTCCGCACCAATTCTTTATTGTATTTTACAAATCCATTAAAAATTGAATGTTTAATTATCAAATGTGCTTCTTCTCCAATCAAAAATGCATAATTTGGATTGATCTATAAATCTCTATATGTAAAATCATCAACTAAAACTCTATTCACAAAATAAGAGTGATCTCTTAAATCAATGAAGATTTCCATAATGTATTCAATATTATTTGGAGTTTAAGCAACAACTAGAACAGTATTCTCATATACTTCAAATGCTACTGTTCTAGGTATATGTATATCCATTATTAGAATTGGTTTATTTACATTAGAAATATTGAAAATAAATAATCCTTATGTATCATCTAAACAAAATAGTTTATCATTCTAAATTTTCACCCCAATAATGTTAATAGTAACATTGAATTATTACTTTGAGATTGTTAATATGTGAAGAATACTTCGTTTATATATGTCTTAATGTTCTTATTCATATGTATATAAATCTACTCCATCAGTACCTACAGCCACTACTAAATATTCACCAAATGTAGAAACTTTATGAACAACCTTTCTTTTTAATATATTTTATTCAGGATAAGGCTCAATAGGTATATCTTTTGAATCAAAATCTGAAAATTTAGAAACCCAAAATCCTCCATATGGAGTTACGATTAAGCAATTTAGATGTTTCTAAGAAATCATATATAAATAATTTACTTTAGGACAACTGAATTAAGCGTTAGTTTTGATTTTTGGATTTACTAAATTTAGTTATTTTTTCAAATCAAAGACACTTTAAGACTCTTAAGCAATCCATCCAGAATCACTACAACGGAGTTTTATCTAAATAAGAACTAATTCTTGCGTGATTAAAAATAAATTGGAATACTCTGATAGAGTCACCATATCTGTATAATAAGAATCCTCAGTGGCATCTTTAATTTTATATTGTAAAATCTCTTTTAATTAAGGATGTTTAGGAAAACCTACACATTCTAAAATTGAAATTCAGTTATTACAATTTTTCACTTCTAACAGTTCAACATCTTTATTGTCCAAAGAAAGGAACGGAGTTTATATTGGATCTACAGAATCACCAAATACATCAACATCATATGCATTTGTCAAACTTTGTTTATTTCAATATACCTACTTTAACACATATACTGTTTATTTTTTATGAGCCATCTTGATTGTATCGTGTTCAATTTCATAGTTTGTTGTGTATGATTCTTTCGTCCTGATTCTAGTTGATTACATACTCAAATTAATGAGTAAAGAGAATATCATATAATAAATCATTTAAATAAAATGTATTTTAATACATATGTATAATACTTATGCATAATAAAAATCTTAAACTTATATAATATATTTCATTGGTTATATACAACCACCTTAATTTTGGATTATGGTATAGGAATAGTTTAATTTCCACTAATATCAAGAGTCAATTGTTTTAGTTTTTTAATAGATGAGGCTGCAATAATAATATTCTTTTAGGCTTAATCAGATATAGTACATTTCTTAAGATTTAGTACCAATAATTATAAATATTAGTACTCAACTAAACTTGACATCATTTTGTCAATTAAATCATCTGGTATAGTTTAAGGAGATACATTAATGTGTAATTGTATTACAAATTCTCTTTTGATTCGTTCAAAATTAAATATTAAGATCTATTGTACAATATGTTTATCAATAGTCAAATTTATAATGTATTACTTTTCTGAAGTTTTCTCCTTGAACTATTTATCCATGTCTTCTAATTACTATTAAGAAATAGATAGAATCTTATTATTAGTAGATTAATACTTATATACGTTCTATTGATTTGATTGATTTTAATTACATTTGATTCATGGGCATCAATTGTTATGCAGGTATAATAATATCATCTATAGAAAATCTATCATTTTGATTTCGTTACAACATATTCTTAAGTAAAAGTGCTAATTTTTCCCTAATTTTATATATTTTATACCCATATTTTAATTCAACTTATTTTATTTTATTATCAATAGCTTCACTTTATGTAAAATTTATTGGTAATGTGAGTGATGCCATTGAAAGAATTACAATACCAATTTGCCAAATATCAGACTTAATATAAGAATTCAAATTATTTTTAATACTATAACCACCTGCAGATCCACGTAATTCTGGTGGATTTAATGCCTTGTATGTGTTAGGATCATTTTCATTCTTTAATCTATATTTCTTTTTGTAGATATATATTGGTGACAATCCTCCAATTTTAAATCCTATTTTTTCATCATAATACAAATTTGTTACAGAAAATTACTTTTAAAAGATTTATAAAAATTGCAGATATTAAGCTACATGTATTAATGTAATCAAAGCCTCTGATATAGTTTCTAATTTAAAATGATCCTATCTCTCTTATCTCTTTTAAATTAATTTATTTATTGGCTATTTTGCATAATCTTCAATTGCATAAATAATATCATATGATGATTCTAATCCAATTTCCAATTCATTATAAATACTCTTTTTTTATTTCCTTTAAAATTATTACTTCTTCTTAATTATTTATCCTATCTCATGACATTTTACTATGTAAGTGTAATCAGTAATTAATAATTATGCCCTTTTGTAATTTTCATAATCTTTTTTTGCTGCATCATTAGAAGGCATTAAGAATTAATGTACAACTCTATCTTAATTTTCTCTCTTTACAAGAAATATCTTATTGAATTTACCATTCTTTATTTCAGATTTTTTTATGTTCAATTAATAAAATTCATCTTTATTTATGCTTTAGAATTTTAATTATTGACTTCTCTTAAGATCATATGTATTTTACACAAAATGATTAATTGCTTCATATTTAAATGGTGGATTCCTTATATTTAGAACTATTTTTTGTACTTGTTGATCCCCTATAAATAATTTTATACAGATTCCTTGGTTTCCTATAACTCATTTCTACTCTCTTTACTCTAAAACCATGAATAAAATAATGATTTCTCAGGAAATTATGGTAACTAATAATTATATATTCTCTTTCACATGTGATTAATAACTTTCATTTTATAGATTCTTTTGCAATTAATTCAAATCCTAAAATCGAACATGTACATCACGATAATAAATACTATTATTGTTTGTAATTCTTAATTTGTAATACCATTTATTCTCAAACCCATCTATATCTATGATACTAAGTTAATATTACATTTTATTATATTAAATCAATTTATTCATATATTAATTTATAAAATAGAACTGAGAAAAATATCAATCTTTTTTGTATCAGAGATCATTTACAATTATATTCTTATGGATATTATAATTATATCATAAAATCAATGCTAATGTGCCGCTTGCTAGAGCACCTACTATTGAATTTCTGATTAATGCATCAGCTTATTTAAGTTTATTAGATTCACCCATTTATTCACGTGCTTCCTAATTACTAAATTACTATTTTTATCTTTTCTTTGGTTATGGTTTAGGTTATTAATCGTTTATTTGAATTTCTTGATTCTATTGTTGACGAGATTGATTCTAAATTACGCTTTCTTACTTTACAGCAATGATACCATTTGCTTAAATAGTGGGTTTTAAATCTTTAGATTTATTAATAATTTTATTGATTTGATTATAATTGGCGTCAAGATTTTTATTTATTGGTGATTTTGTTTTTTATGCTGAACTTTATCTCAATTAAGAATTCTTTTAAGGACTTTGAAATTATTATTATTATTATTATTATTATTATTATTATTATTATTATTATTATTATTATTATTATTATTATTATTATTATTATTTTTATTGTAATTGTTATTGTTATTGTTATTATTATTGTTATAATTATGATTTTTAATTTCTTATTATTTCGTCTTAACCTTCATCTGTTGCAAATCCATCTGGTTCTCCATATTTTTATTCTAACCTTTAAATTTAATCCTCTAATTCTTAAGGATCAATATTCTTATAATTTTCATTATTTTAATTCCATTTTTAAAGAGTCTCTAATTATTTAAAGGCATCTTCTTTCCTGCCATTCTAATGCAATAATAAAAGCAAATAGTATGCTAATATAAATTATTTAAATTACTATGATCTTTTTTCTACTCCTTTATTCCAATCCAATTTTTGAATTTAAATTAGCTTTAACTTGAATTTATCTATTGACCATCAAAATGCTAATTGACTTCTACAATTAGTTCTTTTTCTTCGATATTGAAGGTTTTTAAACATCCTCTTTTGTGAGTTATAGTGAATTATCCATCTTCTCCATTCAATCCTATTTTATAGATCGCAAAACATCTAAAAGAATTTTTTTTTCTGCCTGACATTAGTTTTTATTATAATTATTAATGTAATTTCATAATATTTTTAGAATTTATATGAAAGTTATAATATTATGATTGTAGAGTAGAATATTAAGGAGATAATTTATATTAGTTTGGTAAAATGTTTTGTTAAGATATTTATATTAATTGATATTATTAATTAGTCAGATGCATAAATTTGATACAATATAAGGAAAACTATTCTATACAGTTTATATGATGCATCAATAAAGAGAGATTGACACTAAATAGAAAGGGATATTGAAAGGTATGTGTATGTATTTATATAGAATTATAGACTTGATCATTTAAAAACATCCATCAATGAATAAAATAAAAACTGACAACACATTAATAACAAGACGTAGTTTACTTGATCTTGCAGATGTAGAAGAGGATTAAAAAGATGAATAGAAAATAGAAAAGAATAGACCTATAATAATTAGACCTATTTTAACTAATAGTAAATACAAATCAAACCAATCTTTGTTGTCATCTCCTTAACGTAAATGAATGTAAATAAATATTTATCATTGCCAATGATCTAAATCTTCTAATTCTGGTTTCATTTATTATTATTATTATAACTAAACTGATTATCTGTTTTGTTCACCACCTTATTGTCTAATAGTAACCTTATGTTCTGCAACTGGTTCTTTTCGAAGTGGAAGGATATCATTGTTTAATAGAAGATGTGGGAAATATTTATATTGCCAAAATTTAACTGTGTTGTCTTTGCTACTTGTTATTAAGAGTCCTATGGAATCAAACAATTGTATTTTAGTGATATCTTTATTATGAGCTTCAAGAGAATATAAATATTTCATATTTGTTGATTCTAAGATTATAACACAATTTCCATAATTAACATATATTTCTTTGGTGCTAATTGAAAATTGTACAACTTTATTTGGAATAGTTTTTAATAAAGTTATTTGATTAGTACTTTTCTCTTTTCCTTATTTACCAATTTCAAATACACTTAAGTAACCTTCTTTACTTCCGCAAATAAGATAATTTTTAATAGGGCAATATTGAATTGAAGTCAATTACATTACAACATCCTATTTAATCTAATGAACAGCATGCAATGGACCATTTTCAAAGGAGAAGATATAAATACTTCCTACATTATCTCCAACAAATAAACGATATTGATTTGTTGTTAAACAAGTTAATTCATTTACAAATTCCTTTTCTATTATTTAATAAATGAGAATACCTTTTAAAATACTACTAGGATTAGCTAAATCTGTTGTTATCAAACATTTATCTTTGCTAATACTATAACAATGACCAGTCAAACTATTAAATTCTATTCCATTGACTGATTATGTGTGTTTATGAATGTAGCAGAATTCTGAATATTCTTAATACTTTTTATTAGTGGCTATTCTTAAACAAATTATATGACCATCATCAAAACCAATACCTAATATAGTTAATTTCTCATCCCATTTTATCATTGTTCCTCTCTACTAATATTATATTGTCCATAAAGTTTAAGTGATTGGTTCTTCATTATTATCAACATCCAATCTATAACCAATTAATTAAGAATGAAATGTAGGTTTTAATGATTTACCAAATATTCCCATTAACCCTTACATTTTACTTGCGATTGAATCATCAGTCGTTAATACAAAACAAACTTATGTGTCTGGCTCATAAAAAAAGTCTTAAACTGGAAATGAATGTCCATAATTAAATTTCAATATACAATCTGGCTATTTTAACCATTTTTTATCAAGCACCTAACTCAACTAATCATATTATATTCTTATTGTTTACATTACAAAAATTATAAAAGCTTTCACTTCCTAATACATCACATCTCCAAACTAATGCTCCTAACCATTTCTCCAAATCTACTCTTCTTTTTTCTGTATCAAATCCATTTGGTTTGAATCCAAATAATCCTATTCCTGGTAATTATGGTAAATCAGGACATTATTAAGATAATGTCTTAAAAAGAGTAAGACAATTCTCATAAGTATATTCAAAATCAATTCTTTTGAATGGCTCAACCAATGTGAATTATACTACAATTCTATAATAAACATGACCATCTGATTTCTCTCTATAACCTGGTACTTTGAACTAAATCAAATTTATATTGTACTTTTAAATGAGCCCCTAAATACTCAATTCCATTCAATGTTTCTAAACTCATAATGAAATAAAATATAAATATATCAAATAAAATTCTAGACTTCTTCATCTCAATCAAATTATACTATTACACAAAAAAGAAATGTTTCACTTTTATTATTAACCTATTTTTTTTCCTATCAAAACATTCAATTGTATTATTGGAAATTAATTCGGGTGAACTCTGAGAAAAAATATTTTAAATGATGATTTGAAATAATCAATATTTCTTACTAAATGTCTTTAAAATTAGATTTACATTAAGTAAAGATATATAAACCTAATAAATAATTATTATTTACAAATCTAATAAGAAAGTTATATCTAAATAAAACTTATTCTTTATTTTGAATATTTAATGTTAGAACCATTTTAAATAAATAAAAATAATGGTAAATTGTAAGCATGATAAATTGATTCTTTAATTATTAATCCAATATTTAGATTTAATTTAAATTTTCAATTTAAAAATTACATTAAGTATATCATTTTATTAGAAAATGAAAATGTAAATATTTTGAATAGGAATATATGTAGAGATGGGTTCTCTTTATTTATTGATATATATCTCATATGGTCAAAGGAAATATTCTATAATTATAGTAGGAGCTTTGTAATTCCTTCATAAAAAAGGATCTATTTCATATGAGTTTGACTTAAATCTAAAAATTGAAAATACAATTTATTATATTAATACAGTTTAAATAAAATAAATATTTAAATATTCAGTGATTGTATGAATATATATAATTAATGAAAAACTTTATAAAAATAGGAAATAAACTTTTGATCATTCTTATTCATTTGCTCCTTTAATGAGCATTTCAGTAAATTCTTATAATGTTACAACACCATCTCCATTTAAATCAAGTTCTCCAAATACATTACTCCATTAATTATCACTTAATTATACTCCACCCATAATATCTTAAAGTTCTTATTTACTAATTTAACCATTTCCATCTTTATCAAATAGCTTAAATGCTTTTTCTAATTTATTTTATGCCATAATTTATTCTTTTTTTGCAAAAGCAATAACAAATTCTGTATAATCAATTTAATTAGATCCATTAACATCTGCTTACTCAAATAGATGATCAACAATTTAATTGCATTTAAGTTCATCATTATAGATTTCTCTATAACATTAGAGTAATTCTTCTTTACTTAATGTACCATCATGATTAACATCAATTTTCTTAAATTATTTTTACATTTTTTTTTTTTCTTAATTAGACATGACTTAAGTTGTAATTAGTTACATAATAGCAACTTTTAATTTACTTTAGCTCTAATTAAATAGTTAATATAATATTATTTACGTGAAATCTAGCTAAATTCTCAAGTGATTTATGATTAATTTTTTTCTACTTTTATGTTATTTTAATCCATTCATGTTATAAGGCATCATGAGCTGAAATTCTTTTTTCTGGATCAATAACTAACATTTTTTTAATCAAATCTTTAGCATCTTCAGAGACTTCTTTCCATTCAGAATCTATAAAAATAATTGTAATATGAAATACCATTAAAAGTATAAACCCCTGCTTAAATTCTTTCATACAATTCTTATTATGATTAGCCATTAAATGGAGGATATCCACATAACATAATAAATAGAATAACTCCACAAGACCAAACATCACATTTTTTATCATATTATTTACTAATTACTTCAGGGGCAATATAATAAGGCTATTAAATATTAAATAATTAATTACAGTTCCAATTCTTTATGATAATTTTTTGCTTTCCAATAATTCTTTGGCTGTTCCAAAATCAATAATTTTCAAACTAGAATTAGTCTTTCTTGATTCAAATATAATATTCTCTGGTTTAAGATCACTATTATAAAATAGAAAATAAATACCGATGTACTACATTTTTATTATGACAATAATTAACAGCCTCCAAGATTTTTCTCATATAACCTGCTGCAATAGTTTCATCAAAGTGATCTATTTCATTTATTTTTTCAAATAATTCTCCTCCACTTAGATATCTTTTGCCTGATGATATTTCAATGTTTACTCTGTAATGATGTAAACATATTATTCATCTTCATATAATTCATAAACACTAACAATATTAGGATGATCTAATTCTTTTAGAATGGAAACTTCTTAAATCATGTTATCTCTTTATTCAATTTTGTCTTTTCGAATTTGTTTCATAGCTCTAGGTAATCCAGTCACTTTTTATGTTACTAAACTCACTTTCCCATAAGAACCTAGATAAGATTTTAAAACTCTGCAATACCCTCTCCTAAAGTTTAATCAATTCTATAGTAATTTAAGATATCACCTTTCTTTAATGTAACAAATATAGAAGGATTGACTTTGAATTATGTTTTTTAGGAATTGAATTCTTTTTTATCCTTTTTCTATCCATTATCTATACTTTTTGGATTTGTGTCTTATTATTTAGAATAGTGATCATTTTATTAATTATCCTTGCTTTTAGGTCCTTTTCCTCCACATATACCCATTAACAATAATATAATAAAATTAATTTATAATATATATATATAAGAGAGATCATGACTATTCAGTATCTATACTTAAACAATTACATTAAAATATTTTTGAGATCTCTCTTAATTAAATGATATATTTACTAAGCTTCCACAATTCTCTTTATATTACAATATGTTTATACCGTTTTTATTTATATATTATTAATATTAACATGAAAGCATTCGGAATTATAGCATTGTTGTTAATTACAACTTATTGTTAATCCAACGAAATAGATGTTGTATTAAAAATGTTAGCAGATTTGAAAAATGGAACTACAAAATAACTAGAACAACTAGAGTCTGATTGGTCTGTCACTAGATATGTAATAATATTATGCAAACTATAAGTCAAAATAAGATATTGTGAATGATTTAATGAGATCTGCTTCTACTTAAAGAGGAGAATGTAATCGAAGAGATCAAGAATGGGCTAACAAAGAAAGAGATATTAGAATTACTTTAAGCTATATAAGTTGGTTAGAAAAAAGAATCAAAGAGAATAATGAGAGACTATCAAGACTTGATATCAATAGATGCGAATCTAATTCCAACTTTATTAATGATATTAAAAATAGCAAGAAAACTTTAAATTTAATTGCCTTCCTTAGAAGAGCTGTTAAAAATGCTAAAGAAGTAAATCATTCAAATATACTCATAGACTGACTTACCAACATTATTACAATCTGCCTAATTCATCCAACTAAAATCATATTTAGCTGAAGATGAAGATGAGCCACAAGTCACTTCTGAAGACAATGAACCTCCTCATGTATATGAAGATGCAGAAATTGATTCTGATAACAATTAAGATAGCTCTTAAGAAGTTTAGGAGAACAATTAAGAAACAACTGAAGAAACAGTTAATGATGCACCAGAAGCAGAAGATCATGAAATTGAATAACATTAAGAAACTGGAGAACCTGATGCACCTGTTCCTGAACATCCTTTTGAAGCTGCTGAATAGGCTACCAATGAATAATTAGCTAAGGAAGCTGCAGCCTTCAATAAGATTATTGAAAAGGGATAAAAGGCTCCTGCAGAATCTGGATCTTAAAAGGATTATAGTTAATTCACAGTAGCTTAATAAGAGTTACTTAATTTCCTTGACATCCTAGAATCAGAAGTTAGAGGATCATTTTCAAAAAAATAAGATAATTAAGTTACTTCTGCTATGGGGTATAGTGATTTCAAAGGATTGATTATTAAGGAAAATGAAACATTTAAAGGTCACCTTGCTGCTGAAGATATCAATCTTGTAATATATTATAAATTTATCAATAGGAAAAATTACAAAATCAATTAATCACTATTTTATAAGCCACTGCTGCCTGCAAAGATAGATTAAAGAAAATCTAAAACTCTATTGATTTAGCTAATGAAGTCAATATTTATTTTTAATATTTAGGACTTGAACACTGCTGAAGCTCATTTTAAATCTGTTAGTGAAACTTTGACTGAAGAATTGAATACTTTTGATGATGTTTACAGAATTTATTCCAGTCAAGTTGGATCTCAAAATTAACAATATAAGAGAGATGTTCAAGGCAAGATTTCCAATTGATATTAAATATATATCAATATATTAATTATGTAAAATTCAATTAATTTATGTTGGTGTCATATATGCAAAAAATAATTTGAATCATAGGTTACATCTGATCTTATGAAATGTACATTTTGCTAATAAGAATTTTGTGAAATTATTGACCCTTCAAATGATCCTAGAGGTTTTATTCCTTATGGAGAAAATTAATCATCAAGACAATAATAAACTTAATAAAGACAACAACAAGCTTAAACTATTATTCATATTACTAGAAACTAAATTCCCATCAGATTTCAATAAAGAACTAATGTATTTGATAATCTACTTTAATTAATGTTTCCAAATACATAATTTCAACCAGGGCAATCTTTAGAATAGCTTATTGATTTTATAAGCCAAAATGATCCTAATAGATATGGGTATAATTATATTTTATTAAGATCTCCTCCTGCTTCTTAATTAGCAATAGATTCACTCTAAAAAATTAATTTACAATCTGAATGTTGTACTGTTTGTCAAGAAGAATATTAATCTTAATAAGCTTTATAAATGCCTTGTCAACATCATTTTCATCCAGATTGTCTTATACCTTGGTTAAAATAACATAATAGTTGCCCTGTATGTAGATTTGAATTAATAACAGATGATGATGACTACAATAAGAGAAAAAACTTAAAGTGATTTATTATCTTTTATTATTAACAAATAAATCATTTCTTCAATTTTTATACCAGAGGATTCTATAAAAAATTTAAAAAAAATTATGGCTCTGCTGAACTACCTGAAAAAGATGAAGAAATCATTTTTGGAGTTGCTGATTACCTTCTTAATTTTGTATTTCTACATCCAACGGATAAAGGTCTATTCTAAATTTTACTTTCAGGTTTATTAGAGTTATTAAATTGTTAAGATTATTATTAAATTAATTCTTTTTGTTTATTTTATCCAAAAAATTCTTATAATGAAATTCTGATTTATTCACATTTTTTCAAAAGTAAAGCATTTTGATTTAATTTATCATTTTCTGTAATGTTAGCAGACTGTATATTACTATTTATATTATTTGAAATTTATTCTCTAAATGGTTTACTAATATCTTATGCTTGAACTTGATCAAAAAACTATCTAACTTGAGATGTTATTAATTTTCTAAACCGAGATAATCTCTCTTCAAATTACTATTCAATTGTATGTTAATATTAAAAAACTTAAGTTTATTTGTGTTACTATTTTACTCTAGATGTAACTATGCTATCTTTCATTTAGGAATTAGAAGGATAAAAGAGTATCTTTGTTTCAATTGATTAAATGCTTAAATCTAACATTTATAAAGTAGCATATTCTGATGCTATTTTTGATGTATATTTAACAAAGTCCTCTAAACAGACTTTTTCATCCATCTGCTACTTTAACTTATCAAATTGGCTGCTCAGATGATTGTATCTGTCTTAAATCATTTCAATACTACGGAATTATGACTAGTAGTTGTCAATCTTACTATGAAATCGTAATTATTTTCTTTAATTTAAGTTGGAACTGATTCTTATAATTTGATTATCTCTTATTGCTCTTCAATTCTAACCAATTTTGTATTTAATCGATTAAGTTCTAACAGTAAATATTAATACTAATTATGCATCTCCTTTTAAAGTTTTTCCATGTATATTTTAAAATAATAATTTAATATTATCTGAAAAAAATGATAAACAAATTTTACATTATTTTTCCATTTTTGGCATAAAACTTACAACTCTATTTGACTAGGTAAATAGTTTACGAGTTCATTTGATTGAAATTGATTAGATAATATATGGTATATCATTTTAAAATATGTATATTTTAATTATCTATTTTCATATTGGTCTTTATAAAATATTGAAAAATGGACAGTAGATTATATAAATAGTTTGTTTGATAAGCTTGAGTAAATACTTGAAATAGTTTTTCTAAATTCGAAAGAATTGTTATTAAACTCAACTTTAGAATATTTATTTATGAGTTAACATATAGCTAATCAATATTTTTAACATCCCTTAAAAAACGAGCCAAACAGAAGAATTAAAACACTTTATTCCATGAATGATTCTAATTCATGTAGAATTAGGAAAGTGATCATTCCTAAAAATATCAGCATCGATAAAGAAACCCTTTATGAGCAATTACATTTAGAAAAACTAAAAACTAAACAATTACAAATAGAAAATTAATCTATATAAAATATACTATAATAATTTGGAAAAGAAATAGATATGATGGATGAAAGTGACCAAAGAAAAGTTATCTAATAAAGTTTAATAAGGATTAAATAAAAGGATCAAGAAATATAAATACTAAAAGAAAATGCTTAATTCAAAGCCTAATAGGATTTGAGAAAGTAGATATAAGACTTAAAAAAAGAGCTATTAAAATATTAGATTCTTTAGAAGTTTGAAGGTGACTAAAATTAGATAGTTCAAGATAATATAAATTTATTGAATAAGATTGAAACATAAAAATAATATATTAATGAGTTAGAGAAGATTAGAGCTGATTATATTTAAGTTAAAGCTAAGAATAATCAATTATAATAAGTTATGAAATTAAAAGATTAATAAATATAGAGATATAGAGATAGAGATCCATTATCAGAAATGAATATGATGAAACATCATAGTAAGAATGAAAATATTTTGGTTGATGAATTATAAATGAGAATGGATGAAATATAGCATTTATAAACAAGACTTAATTAATATTAATAAATTATTTAAGAAAACTAAAACGCATTAATCGAATTAAATTATGATTCTAAATAGAAAATTTTACATTTAGAAGCAGAAAAAAAATAAATTAATGATAAATATGATAAACTTTAAATGGATTATAATATATTATTGGAAAAATAAAAATAAATTGATAAGTAATTTAAATATATTAATATAGATTTCTTTAATAATTTGCTAAGAAGAAATTATCAACATAAACTTTAATTTATGGAGAGGATTAACTTTTTTAATCCACTACTTAAGTTCTTATATCTCCATTGACATCTCCTCATCATGGAGACAATGTTGTTGTTAAGTAAGTCAAAAAATAATAAATTGAATAAACTATATTAGAATTGAAATTGTCTTTAAGAAAAAAAAGAATCACTCTCTAAGATGCAGAATTAGTAAATAATTTAAAATTAAATTTAGATCTTATTTTCATAAGAAGATGAAATTGCAATTAATGATTTAGAAAAACAATTGAGATTAGATCCCTTTAACCTTAAAAATACTACTTTACTTGCTAGATACATGATTGAAGATTATTCTGATAAGTATATATTGTAAATTTATATAAAGAGATTTTGTCTATGATCCTGATTTAAAAGCACCTTAAGCAAAAGTAAAAAGTGTTTTTAGAAATCTTATGCAAAATTATAAGTTAAATTTTGATTAAAATGTATAAGATCTAGTCGAAACTTGCATCAAATAGAATCTCATAGATTTTTGTGTTAAAAAATAATTGAATAATCTCAATTTAGATAATATTAATGAATGCATGGTATCATAAGATATTCAATGGAATACTAAACATTCAGATTACCTTCAATAAATGTATTACAATAAATACAATAAGTATTTAAATTTCGAACTTAACAATCTATTAAAATTATTTGATATAACATAATGAATTAAATAAATAAATATATCATTCTTTAAAAAATCTACCTTAAACCCAAACTCTATACATTTTAACTTTTGTTTTTCTATTTTCTATATATCTATAATGAGCTTTAACATCTAATTGCTTAAATCCAGCTGTTGTAAATAATGATGTTACTTCCTATTATATTTTAAAGTGCTTACTTAATTACTAAAATAATAAACCCTCACACCATCATGCTTAACATAGAAATTATCTTTCAATTTTCTATTCTTTTTCTTAGACAAATTTATTTATCCAAAATCATATTAACCATAATCTCTAAAATAAAGAACACTTCCTGGTTTCATCCATTCAAATATTTTCCTAACTACCATTAAATGATTTTCTGGAGATATTGCAGAAAGAACAAATATTAAAGTTCCTAAATCAGGTCTCTCAAAATCTGGTAATGGATCCAAAACTAAATCACAAACACAAGCTTAAAATACTGTTTCATCATATAATTCATTAGCCTTCAAAACATCTATAGCTCTTTTACTGAAATCGAAACCATATACTTTTTTGAAGAATGTATAGTTTTTCTTTAAAGGAAATAAAGCATTTCCAACTCCACATCCCATTTCACAAATTACATATAATTTTGTTTCATCTTTTTGATGGCTATCTTTAAAATGATTTAATTCAGGTATTTCTCTTTCTAAATAATGTCTGTCTTTAAAAAAGTTATTTTAATGATGCCTATAAATTTTATCCCAAATTTTTGAAGCTTCTTTTTCATATTTCTCGTATTTATCTTAAGGTAATATAGTTGTATCCTAATTTATAACTTCTTCTGCTTATTATTTGATTTCTTCATTAAATTCATAATAGATCAATGGCATTACAGGTTTATTATATAAGTTTAATCCATTGTCAGTTTCATATAATAACTTCTAAACTCTTTATTAAAAGTTTTCATCAACTTCACCTTCCTAGATTATATCATCGCCATCTGATTCTTCTATTTTTTACTTTTTTTGAATAGGATCCATAATTTTTTCACTATTAAAAATAATTTACAATTTATTTCATTTATATTAAAAATTAAATGCTATATGAGTAAAGAATTTATTCAAATTAGATTAACTAACAAACATATTTTGAATATAAAAAACCCATTTTCAAATTTAGATGTCATCTTAATTGAATTGATAATTTAATTATCTATTAAAAAAATTAAATAGCCAATCTATTTTTAGCTCATTATATTGACATAAAGGGTCTAAACACTATTTGTATATAGTAAAATTAGGAAAGCCAATAAATTTATCTTATTGATTATAATGAAGCGTTTAGAATTTAATTTCGATTTATGAGTTATTATTAACTTTTTTTAATTATTATATTTTTATTTATCTTAGGATATACAAAAATTAAGCAAAATTAAAATTTCTAAGTTTCTTACCCAATATACTTAGAATTCATCAAGGAGACTTAAGTATTAGAAAAATTAGAATTAATTTTAATTATTAAAATTTAAATATCAATTAGAGTCTAATTATTTATGATCATTGAATTAGAATTCATGTTCATTTTGGTATAATTCTTTTTAAGTAGGACAATACTAATATGCTCGACATATTGGACATTGGATAACCTATTCCAAGGATTATTCGATTAATTTTTTAATATCAATCATACAGTAGGTATGCCCACATTTTAAAGGGAATAAATCTTTATCTTAATCCAAGCATATAGGACATTATTCTTAAATATAGATTTTTTATGGGATTTAATCCAATATTATGTATCCCTGTACTTTTTGATTATGATTGATACTTCCATTCCTTCTTGTAAGTTATGGCATTTCTAGATTTTAAAAGTCTATTTCATCCTCTAATAAAATTGATGATTGCTCATCTAAAGATTAGGATTGGTTATACATAAATAGTTAGGATTTTATAACAAAATATCATGATTTTGATTAAATTCTTATAAATTGCACTATATATAAAGGTCCACAAAACAAAAGATTTAATCAGAATAATTGTTGAATATTTTATTAAAATGAAATGAAATGACATAAAACTATTAAATAATTCAATATTTCTGTCTCCATTATTATTTAACTTATTTTGACAATACTTTTCTTATTGCCTTTATTCTTTTAATTCTTCTTCTCTTATTCAAATCAGATTTATATTATTATTCTTTTTAGTCTTCTTCTTCATACATTTTTTCATGTTAATTAACAGCTTCTTAAATAATTTTTGATATTTAATGTATTTTTGGTTGCAATTAATGAACACTCTCATCAGATAGATACAGAATTGCCAAAGCTAATTCTAGATGCTAATATTTATAAATTTAAAAATCTATTTTATTCTTATTTGTATACCTACTAAAATAAATAGAAAATAAGACTTGATTTTCTCATCCTAAAGATTTAGCCCTATAAGTTCTGCATAATCTGAGGATGTAATAAAATTCAATTAAAATTACATTGTTTAAAGCAGTTCTATTTCCATATCATCATATTCATGATCTTAATATATTCCTATACCATTTGAATCGTAGATTTTTATTTAGTTTGTCATACCTTTTTAATTGAACTAAAAAAATATTATACAAAACAACTTTTGCAGCTAAATTGAAAGAACAAATTGCTAGAAGTTAGAACTTTTATTCAGAGATATTTTTCACATTAAGGAATATATCAACATAAAGAACAGCCAATTCAATTGTTTTCAGAGTAATTTTATGTTAGAAAGTATTCTTTTTGAATGATATAATACATTTTACTTATATTAACCATTAAATGAGTAAATCTCTCTTGGGAACTGTATCTTAGCTTAATTTATTATAAACTGCAATTGGTTTTGGCTTATTTATTATTGAATTTTACTTTTTCTCTGGCATTCAATTCATTAATTAAAAGGTAATTTTGCATAATATATATTTTATATAATAAACAAACAAAGATTAAGTTAAATGCAAATATATGTACAAGTTTAATTTTTAAACTGTATATGTATTTACTCTAGATAAAAAATAGGATAGAAAGGATAGTCTATTTTAATTATAATTATTCAAAAGTAACCCTTTGATAATAAAATATAACTACTAGAACAATTACCTTTGTGATAAACGTCTTTTATGTGATTTAAAGAACTTAACTAAAAGAGCTAAAAAGATCATTCATATAGTCAAAATAAATCTGGAATAATTATGGTCATTCATTATTTACAGAAGAACTTGCAAATTAACTTTATTACTATTCATTAAGAAATACTTTAACGATTCATAACATTTATACATTTAACAAAATATAATATTAGAATTACAAGTAACATGATTTATTAAAATAGGAACTATCGAAATACTTACCATATAAACTTAAAGAAAAAGGTCAAAAAATCAAAGGAATCTAGATAAAGATATATAAAAATTAATAAGATGAGTAAAATTAAATAAAGATGTTTTAGAAATGCAAATGAAGTTAAGTGAATAAATAAACGAAATTATAATCTTAAGTTAAATTGTACGATTATAAGTTGTATTAAACTTTTCAATTGATAAATAATATTTTATTAGATGAATAAGATTAATTAATTTCAAGTTTGATCTAATTCATCTTAAAATATATTGATTATCCTATAGGCTGTAGACTAAAAATGATAAAATAGAACTTTAAATTATAATTTATAATAATCCAAAATATAATTCTTCAACATTATGATTTGCTAATTTATTTTGCATATGATTAATGTTAATAATCAGAAAATCATCGAAAACATATAAATTTTTTTCTTATTAATATATAAATCATTTTATGGTAAACAAAAATTATATTTATAAAAAAACTAAGAAAATTAAGAAGTTGTTCTTTGAATATAAAATCAATATAGAAATTCTTAATGTTTGTTGATTATATAAAATATTATATTTTAATCATTTTAATTAATTAATGAAAAATGCTTTATTGATAATTTTTGTGCTATTTTGCATTATAAATGCATAATAAGAAGAACAAAAACTTATGAATAAAGAAATCCTCAAAAATATAGCTTCCTATGTCGGAATAGAGTTACCTCATGAGTATATTAATAGGTTATTTTATTAGTTTACATTTATTCTGTTTACCTTGTAAATTGATGATGAAATAAGTTTAAAAATTTTCAAAGAATATTTTAATATCTATAATAACAAAAGAATATGTAACTCTTTGTCCAAAGTTTAAAAATCCTTTAATTTGTGAAGGTAAGAAACAAAAATATCTTGATTAATTTGCAGTGCAATTTATTGAGTATCATATTTAATAAATCTTAGTAATTATTTGAAATCATCAAATGCTTGTTAAGTTTTAGGGGCTTGCAAATTGGAACATGAACCTTAAACTTTAAAAGAATATATAAATGAAATTATGGAAGATAAATTTACAAAAGAATAATAATAAAGATGGAAAGAAAAATCTGAAGCATTACTAATAAATAATGAAAATTATAAAGTTGTATAATATTCTGATTTACATGTTGATATGGAATATACTGTTGGAGCTGATGCTTTTTGTGGTGCATTTAATTGTTGTAGAATGGAGAATGGAATACCTAAAGATTCAAGTAAGGGTGCTTAATATTGGGGTACATTAGCTAGTTGTGATTTACCTTTTAGAACAGTCTAAAATTTAATAGAATTCACAAAAGATAAAATAAAACCTGATTTTATTATTTGGACAGGAGATAATGTAGCTTAATATAGATGGAATCAATAGAAAAATCAAACTGTTCCTACTTAAATGATAACATAAGAAATATAATAGATTATGCCAAAAATTTAAGTTTATGGAATATATGGAAATCATGATCTTTATCCTAGTGATTAATATGATATGATTGGAGAATCAACATAATAACTTAGAGATGAAATATCAGAAATATGGAAATAATATTTAAGTTAAGAAGCATATTATTAATTAAGAAGAAATGGATTTTATTCTTAGGTAGATGAGAATAGAAATTTAAAAATTATTGCTTTAAACTCATAAGCTTATGATTTTAATAATTTCTATTTAATGGAAGGAGTAACAGATCCAAGAGGAATGTTAAGTTGGTTGATAAATGAATTAAAGGATTCAGAATAAAAAAATTAATATGCTATAATTATTGCACATATTCCACCAGGTGATATTTCATGTAATTCATAATGGGCTGATAGATTTAGTGTTATAATGGAAAGATTTGAACATGTAATTTCTGGTCTATTTTATGGTAATTATACATTAATTTTAGGACATACACATTCTGATTAAATTTCTCATATAAGATCAAGGATTGATGGAAGATATATTAAGACTATTTATATTGCACCTTCAGTAACTACTAATTCAAAATAAAATCCTTCTTTTAGAGTATTCTATTTTAATGGAAAAAACAATTAAATAATAGATTATACTTAATATAGATTAGATATTACAAAAGCTAATAAAGATGGATAATATGCTATTTTAAATTGGGATATAGCTTACAACTTTTTAGAATATTATGGTTTATAAAGTTCAAGAATAGAAGATGTATCAACTTTAGGTTATAAAATGACACATGATTAAGAATTATTAAGAAAATATATTTATAATTATGCTACTGGAAGTGATGTTCGTTATAATAAACATTTAAAGTAATATAATTATTATCTTAGAGATTTAAAAAAGTTATTTTTAAAAAAAGGTACAAGAAATTATTTCATTTGTGGAGTAGATACTGCTACTTTTGATGATTGGTTTAAATGTATTGGTTTTTTGGAAACTTTATAAGATTCTGATTATGCAAAATATAAAATCTATGAATTATTTTATGGAAAATGGTTAAAAGATTGATCAAAATTATAAATATAGAATTATATTATATATTAATTATATTTAGATGATTATAAAATCAATTTTTAATTTATAACTCAACCTCTTTATATGGTTAAATTGGTTATTTTAGAATTTAAGGTTTTTTATCAACATTAATACTTAAATCTAATTAAGTTAGTTGAGAAACAAAGTTTTTCTATCTATAGTATGTTGTTGAGAAATCAATATATTCTGGATGATAAATCCAAAATTATTAATTAAATGGATTTCCAGCTTTTGTTTTCCAAAGCTATTTGAAGTATTCTTTTGATGTTTACCTTGTAATTATTAAATATGAATGCAATCCTTGAAGACTTAAGATGAAAAAAAACAACTAATTTTCACCACTGAATATTTACAGGTATTGTATATATAATTAGGATTATCTTGATTATCATTTCATCATTTAATGTTATACTGCAAATAGAGAATATGCATAATTAATTAAACATTCCAAAAATTAATAATTAAATATATTATCTAAAAACCATTATTGTATTTTTACCTATAATTATTTTATCCAATACATTATCCTATCCAAGGACAATGATGATCATATTTAAGAATACAATTTCCACATGTATAACAATGAGAACTCCTTGGTGGTCTATATATATGGCAAAATGCACAATATTTTATTTAATGAATTAAATTATCTTTCCAAATCATGTAATCATTATTTGGTTACATAGATGAATATTTTGTTATTTAAGGTACTTATAGTAATTCATATTTTAATTCAAATCCAACTATCTATTATAATTTATAAAGTAATATACATTTTTAGGTATTATTCCAGGATTTCTAGTTAAGACTTAAAATAAAGAGATATTTGTCAATATAATAATACTCAATAAAATCCATAATAATAGCATTGAATTTGTTATCAAACTAAGTAATGTTATATTTGAGACATTCAATATTAAAAATGTAATAATAAATCTAATTGGTTGAGATCCTAGCATTATTTTTAATCTTTTTGAATATATAATATTAGAATTCCAAATATCATCATATTTTAGTAAAGTCTATTCAAATTCCATTAATTTTTTTATAAAATATAATTATTATTATATTTTGAGTACAGAAGAAAAAAGAGAAGCTATTGAGGCATTAGCTGCTAATCCATCAGATGAAAACTTTGAAATCTAGAGTCATAAGTATAATACTACAGTCAGAAATTTAAAGAGATGGTTTAATCAAGGATATGTTAGGAAACCAGGATGTGGAAGAAAAAGAGTTAATCCATAAGCAGTCTCTGAACTTGAATAATGGATCTTGACTGAAACCAAGAAAGGTGGAAAGAAAATTACTAGAGACCAAATTAAATTCAAAGCCTTAGATATATTCAATAGTGATACATTCAAAGCATCCAAAATGTGGATGGACAAATTTCTTTCAGAATATGATATCAAATTCAAAGTTTAATCAATATTATAAGAACAAGGATGCTTATCAAAATTATAAGAAGTCAAATTTAAATAGGAATAAAAATAAAGATAAGAAAAGGAATCAGAAAGTTTGGAGACAAAACGATTAATTAAAAAAGAATCATAAGAATAAATTAAAACTGATTTAAATATTAAATAAGGATTTGAAGAGAAAATATATGTTGAAGATTTCTTCTTAGATTAAGATGCAGTTAACTTTTTTTCTGATTCATTTGAAATCTAAAGTAGACAAAATTAAGTTGAATTATAATAATTTTCAGAATAATTTATTCCAAAGTTAGAGTTTCTAGGAGATAACTATGAAGAGATTTTTACAGGATATAAATTGATTTATTAAATATATATAAGACTATTAGAATAAATTAAGCTAATAGAAAGAATAAATAATATAGACCAAATTGAAGAATTGAGTTTTCTCATGATTATTATATTACTAATTAGTTTGTATATATTTGCCATTCTAATTGATATTAGGAATATTATCTTTGAATTATTTTAACATAAATGAATAAAAGATTGATAAAATTAAAAATTATATACATTATTAACTATATCATTAATAATTGTTATAAGAAATTCTATTTTTCAAAACTTTATTAAATTATCTTATACTCTTATTATTCATTATAGAAAAGTAAAGGAGTTTATCTTAATTTATGTTCTGTTGATATTCTTTCACTTTTAAAGGTTTTTTTGAATAATACTAATGAATTTTTTTATAATTTGATTTTAGACAATTCTAATTGATTTTTTGATAAAGATTCTGTATATATAATTTTTTAATTTATCTAAATATCCTATTATAATTTCATATCTTTAAAAAAATTAAACATAAATTTAGTATGTATATTTATACTATAATTAAGTAATTAATAACCATTTATAATTATTTTGTTTTTCTGTTAAATAATATCTATATATAATTCGAATTTAACTATTTTAAGTTACCTCTTTCTTATGTGAAAGGCAAAATGGTTATTTTTATTAGATATTATTTCTATTTCTTATAAAAGAATTAATTTATGCATTTTATTAAGTGTTGATATATTATTCAAATTATTTTAATATATATTTCCATATTGAAAATCTAAAATTCCTTTTATTATTTAAAATTTCCAATTAAAGGTAATGATTTATGAGAAATGATATATAATAAAAAACAATGAATGAGAAAGAATCAATCATAAACATACATCTTTCTTTTTTATTGTCTTAATTGTCTAGTTGATTACTATTTCTCATCATGCTGTTATTAAATGGAATTTTCTTCCTTTATTTTTGCAAAACCATTATTTTTTTTAACTGATATCATACTCTGACTTCTACTTGTTTCATATTAGGTTACTGATTTACTGACATATAAGGATAGATATTCATTTTCTTCATTATAATTATTAAAGAACTTTTCATCTTAAATTAACTTTGATCTTTCTATACAATCTAAATAGATTAAATTAGGCATTAAGTTAAAAATATGATTTCTCATTTCAACATATTCAGCTTCTTCTTTAGGAGTAGTTTAATTTTCATCTTCATCCAATTCAAATATATTACCAATTAAACTTAACTATTTTAAAGCTGACATCTATTAGAGATGTTATATTGAAAGAGATCCTGGATATATTTTTAGTTAGTTATTAATCAAGGATAGTGATATCAATTTATCTTTGTAATATCCTATACATTTTAATTATTCTCCTTTTAAATAATTATTGTCCAAAGTTAATCTTTTTAAACTATCTATCAAAGGTAAATGAATTAAAGATTTTATTTAACATCCATTTATTCCCAAGTAAATTAATTATTACAATTTCTCCAATTACAAAGAAGTCTAAGCATCTAATACAAAAGTAGGACAGTTTTCTAATATTAATTCGAAAATAGGAAATTCTTCATTCATTTTAATGTATGATATGATCTCTATTGGCTTTTTCTCTTATTCCATTTCATATTCATCAGATTGAAAATACTTGAATAAAGTTTAGATTTATTTCTATTTTTTCATTTAATTACAATGAATATCTATGATTCTTGCTTCAAATTATCTAAAATTTATAAGGATTTTTGAAACTTTTAGTGCTTTCAAATATTTTCAAAGGGAAGTCATTATATGAGATAAGAAGGAATGATTATATTATTTAATGCTTATAATATTTAATAATATAAATGGCTGAATATTCTAACTCATTTTCTAAATAATTTAGAGAAGATTAAGAGGAATTTTTGAATATTGCCATAAAGAAATGGAAATTTCATAAGAATTTCAAAAGAAACCTGATAATATTTAGTATAATTGGTATGAGTATATGTAACATAGGAATATTTTTATTGGTTTTTGCAATAGTATTTTTAGTATTCAATTTACAAATAGTTGAAAAGGATGTCTATTATGGATCATCATGTACAACAAATTAACTTAATTGTGAAATACCAATTGAAATATCAAATGATATGACAGCACCAATATTTGTATATTATTAACTGGAGAATTTTTACAGAAGAAATAGAAATTATTTCAAATCAAAATCTGTTGAATAATTGAAAGGGAATGTAGATACTGATCTTTCCAATTGTGGAGATTATTAAACTAATTCTGATATGGGTAGCTATTTGAAATTAATTAAAATAAAGAGAAAGTAAAATCATATGGTGGCAATACATTAAATAAGAGTGAAAATGCATTTCCATGTGGTGAAATAGCCTATACATATTTTACTGATACATTTAAATTAAAAAATTCTAATGGAGAATTTGTTGAGATTGATGAAACTGATATAGCTTGGGAAAGTGATAGAGAATATAATTTTAAAAATCCAAAAGGATGGGAAAAGTTTGCTTGGACCAATATTGAAGATGGTAAAATGTTTTAAATGAACTAAAGAACATTTTATGGTTTGGATGAGAACAGCCGGATAGGGTAGATTAAAGAAATTATGGGGTAGAATTTAAAATGATTTAAGTAAAGGACAATATATATTGATTGTAAATAATAGTAATTCTTTTATTTATTTATTAGCTTATAATGAATAATTGTATTCATCTGATATGGTCAAGAGTTTCTTTATGACAACTACAACAATATTTGGATAAAAAAATATGGTAAAAAAAATGAATTTAAATTAATAGGTTCTTGTTGGTTCATATTTTGCTGGAGCTTTTATATGTTTGTGCTCAATTATTGTACTTGTTGTTATATACTTTAGAGATAAGAGAAGAAAAATAATTTGATTATTTAATTTATTAATTTATAACAAACATATATGAAAGCAGATAGTTTTTAAACTAAATTCCTAGCATAATAGATTAAGAATAAAATAGATCAAAAAAACTATCACTCTTCTTTTAATCTTGGAACCAGTGTTTTTACATCTAAAATGAAATCAGAGGAGTCAATTGATAAAAAGCTATCTGTTAGTTAACCAATGTCTCCTAGTTATTTAAAAGCCATGAGAGCCTTATAAGATAGAATAAGAACTCTAGAAGGAGAGAATGGTATTCTCAATGAATAAATAGTATGATTCAATCATTATACATTTATAGAATATATCGTAAAATTATTGTACAACTGCTCATGTAAAAAGTAAATAAAGAAATAAAGTTGAGAAACTATTAAGTATTATGACAAAGAATGATGTATCTTAAAAAGATAAAAATGATGAAAAAGATTAGAAAATTAAAGAACTTGATAAGAAATTAAAATAATCAGAAATAGAAAATGAGGATAAGATTGCTTATATTCATTCTGATTATAAATTTTAGATTAGTTAGAATGAATCAAAGATTAGAGAATTAACAGAAGAAATTAGTAATATGTAATGTAAAAATCTTAATTAGATAACAATAATTAAATTTGAATATGGATACAAATGAAAGTTATAAAAAAAAGATTACTTAATTAAATTAATAATTGCAAAAAGAAAAATAAGTAAATTTATTCCTTTTTATAAATAGATTATACTTAATTATCAATTATAATTAGATACATTTATAAAAAGTAGTAAATAATGGAATGAAAGTATGTCTAAAATGAATTAAGATATAAAATAATACAAAGAATAAATATAAGAATTATAATAATATTTAGATTGGTATACTACTTAATATCCTGTTGATAAATTTTAATATATGGAATTAGAAATTAAATAATTATAAATTAAAAATACTGATTTAGTAAATTAATTGGATTAATAAAGATAATAAAATTCTCAATTGCTTTCTGATATTTAATTACTTAAATTATAATATGAAAGAATAGAATCACAAAAACATAAATAAATAGAGTAATTAAATGGTAAAATCTTTGAATTATAATTATTGGTCTAAAGACAAGACTCAAAAGATTAACATTAATAAACTTCGAATAAAAAACAAGTTAAAAAGTTTTCTATTACTCAAGTACCTACTTCAGAATAAGAGTAAATTAAATAAACAACTGATGATGATAATAGTTTCGTAATTATTAAAAAGAATAATGAAGATACTTAAGAGTATGAGAATATTTCAAGATAAATAATCAAATTGGAATTAATGTTGGAAGAACTTGATTAGAAATATGATTAAATTGTAAAATAAGCTTAAATTGAGACAGATATGAGAGTAAAGTAAACATTGAGACAAGAACTAATTAAAATCTTGGCTTAAATTAAGGATATTAACTAATAAATTAATTTATTGATTTCCTAGTAAAAATCTTTAAAAACTAAATTATGATTTTACTATTTACATATAATAAAATTTATAATAATGTTAATAAATAACTAAATAAATGATCTTCCATTTAATAGTAAATAATATTAAATTTAAAATAATTTTAAGTTTTGTTAAGCTCTTCTCATAGAACAGTTGAAGAATATAGGTTTCAAATAAATATAGTAGATGTGGAATATCAATAATACAGATGAAAATATCTTAGAGTCATCTATAAGGATTTAAATTTTATATTTAAATAAAGAATCTCAACTTGTCAAAGGATAATTAAATTAAATAAGATGAGTAGGCAATTATATATTTTCAAATCAAATAATTAGAAATCAAAGGAAATATTTACATATATTTAGATGTATAAAATAAATATTCATACTCTCACTATTTGAAATTTTTAGGAATAGAAAATGCAATATGTAAGTAGATACTTATTTAACTCCATAAAAATTATAAAAAACTTAATTCAGGCATAGATTCTTTAGCTGTCTGCTTATTCTTTCTATTAAATGATAAAAACAAAAAATTGATTGCTTATGTAATCCTAGACATCTCAATAAGAATAAATCAAGACTAAAATCTTCTAATAATTGGATTCATATAATTTGTTAAAATTTAATAATGGGGATTCTCTTTTTTATAAATTAAAGTAATTTAAGAAAAATAATAAAAAAAAAAATGCATACTGTATCAAAACTTAAGGGTTAATAATTATTAATAATTTGATATGGTATTTTATTTTCAAACAATATTATCAAATATACTATAAAAAAGTTTATTTATTTTAATTAATTGGATATCCTTATGAATCTATGATTTTTACTAAAATTATATATAGTACTAAATTAAGTAAAATTATCTGATATATTTAACTCTAAGTCTAAAATGAAGGTTTTAGTATAGAGTAGATGATTAATGGATATTTTTTAATACAAATTAATAGACAAATAAATTATATATTTGATTGGTAAATAACGAATTTTTTTCTCATACTAGCAAATTTCATGATTTAATACACTAGAAAAATAGATATTTATTAATTAAAATAAATTTTAATGAGTAGAGTATTGCCTGCATCTATTCGTCATTTTGTTTCTCCCCCAAGAACGTCATAAAATCCTAGAGAGACTACAGTTATTCCTATTCAGGAAACAATTGTGCCAATGCAACCAGTGACATGTAATAATTTATTAGTGATTATCAGAATATATCGTAAGAGAATAAAAGGGCTCGGTAAGACAAGAGTAACCAAGGACTCAAATAAAGACATAAGTAATTGTAAAGGAAGCGGATCATACTTTTTGTGAATAGAGAATCATTGAATAGTAAAAGGAGATAGATTTATGGCGTAAGAAATATTTAGAGCTTTAAGCTGAGCTAGATCGTAACACTTCATATGAAGAGACTGTATATTAATTATTTGATCTTAGATATAACAATTATAAGATAGAGTTGAAATTTTAATTGGAGAGAATAAGAAATTGAATCAATCGTTGAAATAGAAGATAGGTGATTTGGATTAAGCTAGAATATCTATAAATGAATTAGAATAACATATTAGGGCTCAAAAAAATTAGAATGAAGAAATTTAAAGATTACAAAAGCAGTTGGATCAATCAAAAAAATAAGTAAATGAATGGAAAACTCGTGTTTTTACAATAGAAAAATAGATAAGTACTATCACCAATACAGATACAAAGACCTCTGAATTAGAATCGAAAATCAGTAAATTGTAATAAGAATTGACTAATTGGAAGGAGAGATGTTTAAGAGGTGAAAAAGAAAAAAAAGATTTAGAAGATTGTAAATAATAATGAAATAATTTAGTATTAAAATAACTTTAGGGATAATTAGGATAACAGCCAAGAGAAGTTCCATAATAGAAGGGGGATGTTGAGAGCTTACATCAACAAATAATAAAATTAAAATAAGATTTATCTTAATCACAATAAGAATGTGAAGATTGGAGAGGAAAAGCTATTGATTATGAAACTCTTATTTAAGCAGAGTAGGCTAGAAATGAGGAATTAGAAAATGATGTTTAATAACTTAATGATGAGAATGCTAGATTAAATGATGAAATCAAAAGATTGATGGGTGAATTAGGTAAATTATAATCTTAAGTTTCTGAATTAAGAGAATAAACTACAATAATTGAATAATTAAGATCTGATTTACAAAATATACAACATCAATTAGATTTGAAATTATAACAAATTAATGATTTAAATCATGATGTTTAATCAAGAGATGCTGAATTATTTAAATTATAAGGAGGATCTTCAGTTACTATTGTTACTGAGAATAAGTTATTATAGATGTAAAGTGAAATTGATAGATTACAATCACTTCTTAGATAAAGAGAAGCTGAATTAGATGGTTGGAGATTAAAATATTCATCACTTGAAAAAGTTAATATTTAATTAAGAACTGAAAATGCTAGTATAGATTCATTATAAGGAACAATCAAGACTTTGTAATAAGAATTATCATCAAAGTAAGAGAGAATTAATTTAAGAGATGATAAAATTCATTAATAAGATGAAATTATTGATTAATTGTAAACTGAATTAAATCATCTTTAAGCATTAAAATTAGAAGTTGAGAATCTTAAATAATAGGTTCATTTTAAGATTTAAGAACTTACTACATGTAAAGAAAAGTTAGCAGCTGCTTTAAGAGAAGTAGGAGCTTTACGTTTGTATAAAGGAGAAGTACAAGTACTTGAATCAGAGAAATAATTACTTAGAGATGAAGTTGATCATTTAAGAAGTGAAATCTAAAAGAGATTATTAGAAGTTGAAGAACTCTCATTTATTAAAGCATAATAAGAAGCTTAATTAAAATAAATACCATTTTTAGAAGATGAAATATCAACATTGAGAAACCTTTTGGCTGATGCTATTTCAGAAAAGGGAATATTATAAACTTAATTTGGATAATTATAGAATGAGAATCTTGCACTTGATAATAAATATCATACATTAGAAGGAGAACTTGATGAACTTAAATTAGATAATTAAAGATTATTATAAATTAATGATCATTTAAATGAATAATTATAAAGAGTTAGAAATGAAAGAAATTAATTTGAAAGAGATGCTGATTAATTAGACAAAACACTTCATGATGTTTAATAATTATTGGCTGATGCTGAAGATAAGAATGCATAATTAGAAAAAGAAATTAAAGAATTGAAAGATGAATTAAATAAATTAAGATAATAAAATTTATAATAAGAATTAGATTTATAAGCAAAAGATAGATAATATGAATAATAAAAAGCTTAATATGAAGGATATTT